CACCTCTGTCTGCCACATTACATTTGAGCACATCTGACCTGGTCCCAACACTCTTGCCCACTCCTGAATCACATGCTGCACCCCAGCCTCTAGAAAAGGGTCAGAGGTCACCTGTGCTCCCAAGGGTATGCAGCCATCACCTGTGAAGCTGGTAATCACTCAGCTGGTGCTCATTCCTCAGTTACAAGTGCTCAGAGCCTGGGGTATGGCTGATTCATGGTTCATGACTTCTATAATTATTGTCTGCCTTGCCTTGGGGCACAGTGGTTAGGCATGTGCCCTGAACTGCCTGGGTGACTTAAGAAACTCATCTGAGCCTGTTGGTTGATAATGCCTCAGGATGGGATGGGGGTTGAATGATGTTTGTACTGTGAGTGAGTGGAGACCTGGGAACTCTTAGCCACTGTCATTTGACAGTGCAGAGTAGCAGTCTGTCAGACACTGTAAAAATCTCTTAGGAAGGTCCCTCTCTCCTCCCTCTCCTTCCTGCCTAGGGGGTAATGAAGCCAGTTTCTTCTCCAGCACTGGAAAGATCACATTAGATAAAAGCAGTTGGCTTATGATGGGGGCCACTTTACCCAGGAAATACCAACCTTGAACTGAGGTACTATAGGAGATCATATCTGGCACCACACCAATCTGATGTGGGTTTCTATGCCTCTCTGTGTAGAAATATATGGTTCTGTATGTTCTTACCTAACTTCCCTGCTCTGGGCATTGGTTTATGACTTTTTCTTTCTTTTAAGTGCTAGAGATTGCATCCAGAGCCTGGCATGTGCTAAACTCAAACTCTACTATGGACTATACCCTTGGGCTATATATGTTGATTGGTGCCTTTCTTTCCTGTCTGCAAAATGGGGATAGTACTAACACATGTACGACTCTTAAAAACTGAGCTAACATACATACTATGGGTAAAGCACTGAGTAGCACCTGGTGCGTTTCATTGTAAGCCCTGAAAAAAGACTCATACCTGTCCCCATGGGGTTAAGGACCAGAGTTTTTTGATTCTGGGAATGAACCCAGCCAGAGTTTCATGCACGTTAGGCTAAGTGCTCTATCACTGGGCTACATCCTCAGACCTGCCCTGTGCCCTCCTCCAGATTACTTGAAGCAGAGACCCTAGGAGAGATCCTCTCCTGGCTTGTTCTGAAGGCTGAGAAATCATGTGTGGTAGGGAGATGGGAGGGCTAACAGTTGCAGGGAAGGAGCAGCACACGTCTAGAGGCTGGATTTGTTTGGCTTATGTGTAGAAATTGTGGATCGAGGGAGGAACTGAGATGGGCTTATTTAAATGTTTTTGCAGTGCTGGGCATAGGCAAGCACTATAAATAACACTGAGCTGCATCCCAGCCCTTGGTTTTTTGAGACAGGGTCTCACAGTGTAGCCTAGGCTGTCCTCAAACTTGGTTGATACTCCTGTTTCAGCCTCCTGAGTGCTGGGATTATGGACATGCATCGCCACAACCAGCTAGCTGGACATATTTTAATATGGACGCAGGTGCTGGAAGCTGGTGTGTGCTGGATGCATACCCTGTAGGAAGATTTGAGAGAGTCAGCTTTTGAGTCCTTCCCAATGCATAACTTAAATGTGATTTCATTAAAAATTCCTTCTCATGCTCGCTTCAGCAGCACATGTACTAAAATTGGAACGATACAGAGATTAGCATGGCCCCTGTGCAAGGATTACACACAACTGCCACCTGCACAGTTGGGACTAAGGCAGTAAGGGTAGTTACTTTTAGTACAAAGTCAGGGTACTGACAGAGAAGGAATTTTGTTTTTTGATACATGGTCTCACTATATATAGTTCAGGCTGGTCTCAAACTCTAAAAAGTTTTTTGGGTCGAAAAAATACACAATGCTTGACAAATATGAGTGTCATGAAATCATGTTTGAGTTATGAATTGGGAAGCATTCAAAGCAGTGCCTCAGGGAGTGTATGCAGGGCAGGAGGTTTTTCCAGAATGTTGAAGTCACCCACACTTCAGACAGATTGGCAGGCAAGTAGGCACTGTTAATGTCCTGCCGGAGGTCACAGGTGGTTTAATCATTGTCAGCTCAGGGCTGCAGGGTCTGCCTGGGCCTGTCTGTGACAAGAGGACATTACTGTCTGAGGGACTGAAGTCCAGTCCTACTTTGCCAGAGAAACCCACCACTGAACCTGGATAAGAGGTCATGTCCTTCCATTTAGGACTGTGGTACTTCACAACTTGTGACTACAAGACCTATGTGTCCCCTCTAACCTGTTCCTTGAGGGTGGACCCTCCTGGAGTCTCCCACCTGTTACCTAGGCTGCTGATTTGGCCTAAGATGAAACAGTTGGAATGAACTATTCTGAATAACACCCTAGCAGCTTTACTAGGATTCTGGCTACTTGGGCTCAGGGGAACTGGCCATGGGTCAGCCAGCCTGTTCTTCCAGGTCAAGGCTTGGAGACAAGGGACTGAGAAGCAGCTGATGGATGGGGCTGGGTCAGACTTGTCTTCATTGCTATGGGCAGTAGCGGAAGAGATTCCTTGTGTTGAGAAAACCAAGAGCCCAGTAGCTGTGGACCTTGGAGAATAGAGAAACCCCATGTGCTATGCATCAGTGTATACATTAACTACAATTGGAACAGTGCTTCTCTAACAGGCATGTGAATCGCCTATGTCTAAGGGTGTTGGTTCCTGGACCACATGGGGGAATATGAGGCATCTAGTGCCCTTTGCACATTCTTGGAAGATGGGGAGGTGCAAAGCATGGGATTGGGTCATTGGATAAATTATAAATCCGCTTGGGGGCGCACAGGGCGTCTTCATACTGAACTCTACACCGCCCCCTGGTGGAAATGGGACCTGTAGAGCCCACTGCCAGGCAGCCCCAGGTGCTACTTCTAGAAGGTACTGTCAGAGGCTAGCAGGGTCTGCTGAGTCTCTAAATGAGGTAAGGGGGAGGAATGGTGCAGATCGGCAGCAGCTTGTTGGGCAAAAGGGTTCTAGGGCAGGTGGGTATATTGTGAGAGACTATCGGGGCTATTTGGAGGGAAACTAAGAAATGGGATGGACGAAGGTGGATTGAAAAATGGCAGGGCTAGTGGAGCTCGAGCTCAAGCTGCAAGAGCACCTGCCTAGCAAACATGAAGCCCTAAATTCAAACCTCAGTGCTGTCAAAATAAGTAAATACAAAATAAATCTGGGTGCTGGTGACTCACGCCTGTTACCCTAGCTACTCAGGAGGCAGAGATCAGGAGGATTGTGGTTTAAAGCCAACCACAGGCGGGAAAACCTATCTAGAAAAAAACTCCTTGTTGAGTGGCTCAGGGTGAAGGCCTTGAGTTCAAATCCCAGTACTGCAAAAAGAAAAAACCCAACAAAACAAAAAGCAAAGGATGCTGGTTGCTCATGCCTGTAATCCTAGCCAAAAGGACCAATGGACTGCAGAGTGAGGCTTAAGTACTGGGGCCTGCCTAGCAAGCATGAGTTCAAACCCCAGTTCAAACACCAAAAACAAACAAACAAACAAAAAACCAAACAAATCCCCACAAAAAACAAAGGCCACCCAGGCTCTGGTGGCTTATGCCTGTGATCCTAGCTACTTGGGAGGTTGCTATTAGCAACACCTCATATCAATAAGCAAGCTGTGTGTGGTGACACACCTGTAACTGGGCAAAAACCCCGAGACAATGCCTGTCTAAAAAACAAGCAAAAGTAGCTTGGCATGGCTCTCGTGATAGAGACCCTAAGATCAAACCCCAGTACTGGGAGAAGAGAAAGCATTTGTGTGCCGGGAGTATTTAGCCTGGTCTGTCCTCAGTGCTTTGATAATTTCTTTTTTGAATTGTATCCTTGAACTCTCCTCCTGTATCAGCCTCTGGACTGCTGGGACTATAGATATGCCCAGCTGAATGTCAACCTTAGAGACACTAAAACACTTTAGCCATGCCCACTTCCTTTTTTTTTTTTTTTTTGTTTTTGGGTGGTAATGGGATTTGAACTCAGGGCCTCATGCTTGCTAGGCAGGCGCTCTACCACTTGAGCTACTCTGCTCAACATTGATGAGATAGGGTCATGTGAACTATTTGCCCAGGCTGACTTTGAACCTTGAACCTCCAGATCTGTGCCTTCCAAGGGACTTGAATTACAGGCATGAGCTAATGATGCCCAGCCCAGTTTTTTTTTTTTTTTTTTCTAAAATGGGCCCACAATCTCCCTAGGAGAAAGGTGCAGATGGTTGCATCAGGAGATGTCTTAAAAGTGCCCACATTGTTGCAGACAGTGGGCCAGGCCAAAGGTCACAGGGCCTCTCAAGCCATCGTAAGTACGTGGTCCTGTGTCTTAGTCCAGTAGGTGGGTGTGAGGCTGCAGCAGATCAGGACATGGTCCTGCTGGTAGCTGCCCTCTCTGCCTCTGTCCTTTCTTGGGAACTTGGGACTCCACAGCCCCAGCTGGTGAGGGAGGAGGGGATTGAGCGACAAGACAGCAGACCAATGGGCCCCTGAGGATGGAGTAGGGCGGGGCTTGGGCTGCCATGGAGAAGAGAGAAGCGGTTCAGTGGGGGAGGAGGGGGCGGTGGGAAGAGGACCTGGAGATTGAGGGGAAGGGAGAGAGCAAACAAAGGGGTCAGGAGGGAAAATAATGCACTGGCTTCTTGAAGCCCTGCAGAGGCTGGGCAAGGAGAGGGAGCCAGGGGCAGAGGGGACCGAGGCTGGCGGCAGGCAGGCCAGGGCAAGCAGGTCCTAAATGGCATTGTTTGAAGGGCCAGCGAAATGCACAGAGCAGCCTGAGCCTCAGACCCAAGCCCCAAACCCCTCCTCTGTCCTGGGTCCTGGCTTCTGAGCCACTTGGCCACATGGAACCAAGTCCTGAGCCTCCGAGTTTGGTGAGGGGGCAGGCTATGGGGGGCAGCCTGGGTGGGATCCTGGGGCAGGGTGTCATCCTGAGATTGGATCATGGGTCCTCTCTTGGCCTGAGGACATAAAGCCAATGGTGGGAATTTTGGGGGTGTGGTGCTCCCTCATATCCTTACTTTCCTCTTTTTCTCCCTGACCCATCTGGCCCTCTCTCACAGGAAACAATGAAGGGAGACACCAGACACCTCAATGAAGAGGAAGGCGCCAGTGGGAGGGAGGACTCTGTTATCGTCAACGGGGCCTGCGGCGACCAATCTTCGGACTCCAAGGACGCCCCCTCGCCCCCCATCCTGGAGGCTATCCGAACCCCGGAGATCAGAGGTGGCTGGGCCAGTGGGTTGTGGGGGCAGGGTCGGGCTGGCTGATAATGGCTGGTGCCTGCAGACCACAGCTGGAACAGGAGCCTCCTGCAGACTTGGATATTTGGGAATAGGGTCTCTGATAGCCTACCACAGTTTCTAAGAAGTTCCTTTGTAGAATGTGAAAGCCAAAGCCCTGTCTCATCCCTGCCCACAGCCCCTTGCACCCTCTCTGCTCCTCTCACCTCAGGTGGGACTCTGAAGAGAAGGACACCAAAGGTGATGGTCCCCTGTCCTTTGTCAGTTCTGAAGAGGGTGCTTTCTGCACAGGCTAGGGTCTTTTGAAGCTTCTGCAGTGCTGCCCCTGGCTTTCAGAAATGGGGCTGGAGTTGTGATCAGCAGGAGATCCAGTCTTGCACCACCTGGAATTCTGTCCATGCTGTTTGGGAACTCTGAATTGCCATTTCCTTTCATGAAGGTCTGTGCTCTCCTATAAAACTTTTTCAGGGTGAAAGTAAACAGGCCAGACACCTATCTCCTTCAATTTTTTTGCAATATTGGGGTGCCTCACACTTGCTAGGCAGGCACTGTACATACCACTTGAATGAGTCATTCAGCCATTTTTTTGGTTGTGTGTTGGGTATTTTTGAGATAGGTCTTACCAACTGTTTGCCCAGGATGTCTTCAAACTGATCCTCCTAATTGTGACTTCTGAGTAGCTAGGACTATAGGCTACTCAGTAGCCTCACAAAAAGGTGTGAGATCACACCTTTTTTCCCTTCTCTCCTTAGAAGGCTTTCCTACTATGTGCCCATGCTCTGTTGCCTCATAGGCATGTGGAGGGGAACACTGATTTGGGGAGAGACCCAGGCCACAGCCCTAAAAGCACTGACAGCAAGGCTGCCCTTGGCTGGTGCCTGCCCCTTCTCCCTGACAGATTCCTATCTCTTTTTGCTATAGGCCGTAGATCAAGCTCACGATTGTCCAAGAGGGAGGTCTCCAGTCTGCTGAGTTACACGCAGGTACCTTTTCTTTCCCTTTTCAGGATTCAGGGATATTTTCTTTAGCTTTCATCATATGAGCATCCTGAGGCTCATAAAAATTGGCATCCGCAAGTTAAAATCTGTGTTCCTTTTAATTGTTTTTGGCGGTACTGGGGTTTGAACTTGGGGCTTTTTACTTTCTGGACAGTTACTCTACCTTTGGAGCCATTCTGCCATCCTTGTTTTTTGTGATGGGTATTTTGAGATAGGGTCTCACAAACTATTTGCCAGGGGCTGGCTTTGAACTGAGATCTTCTTGATGTCTGCCTCCTGAGTAGCTAGGATTATAGGCATGACCCGCCAGTGCCTGGCTATTTGATGGGTTTTGATATGATTAACTATCTTGATTTGTGACTTAATTACGTTGGAAAGTTGATTGTCTCCTTTACAAAGGATCTGACTGGCGATGATGATGGGGAAGCCGAGGATGGGGATGGTTCTGACACTCCAGTAATGCCCAAGCTCTTCCGAGAGACCAGGACACCACGATCTGAGAGCCCAGCAGTAAGTGCCCACCCCCTGAGCCCAGGCTCTTCCACTAGAAGATCTCCCTAAAGAAAGTGTGAAGACAAAAGTTAACAAATGGTGTTAGTCTGGTGTTTGGTGTCAGTCTGACCTGTTAAGGTTGGGGTGCTCCTGGGCAATAATTATCCTCCATTTTCAGACTTCAAACTTCTTTGAGCCATAGAATCCGCCCACAGGAATGTGGAAAACAAGGCTCGGTGGTGTTGTCGGAAGGCCTGATTTTACATGCTTTTTCTCTTCTTTTTTTCTTTTGTTTTTTGGTGATGGGGTTTGAACTCAGGTCCTACACCTTGAGCCACTCCATCAGCCCTTTTTTGTGATGCGTTTTTTCAAAGTAGGGTCTAGGCTGGCTTCGAACTGGGGTCCTTCTGATCTTTGCCTCCTGAGTAGCTAGGATTGCAGGTGTAAGCCACCGGTGTCAGGCTTCATACCATTTATTTGGAAGGTGTCAGGTTCTTTCTTGGACTTCGATAGTTTGCAGAATGGATGGCTTAGCTGTCACCCATGGAACTTGATTCTGTGATATGGGATTGACCATGAGCACCCCACCCATAGCAGGCTAGACTGACATCATCATTTCAGTAGCTTCTCCAAGTGACAATATTTCAGTAACTTCTCCAAGGTTGAACATGAACTTTCACGGACAGAATTTGAACAGAGGACTGTAACACCAAAGTACATGTTCATAGAACAGAAGGGTACTTTAGTCTGTATGATTTAGTGCTTTCCTAAAAAAAACCAGTAATTGGCCTTAGTCTTTGGAGAGATCTTGTTTAGAGGAAATAGGTATTTTGTTTAATTTAGATTTGCAGGTGCTGGTTTCGGTTGGCCAATTCTGCATGTTGTGGCAGATAGGATCTTTTAAGGATGGTCAGGCCACCTACCTGGCCAACTGGGGAAATGGTTAGTGTACAACAGGATGATTTTTGGGCTGGGAGTCCAGCCAGAGTCCCCATCAACTTAATTACCTGTTCACTTTAGTTCACCTGAGGCCGCCAGGTCACCTGGACGAACCTCAGGTTCAGTCCTCTGGGTTCCACTGCTCTAGCCCCCATGCTTTCACTCACCTGAGCCCCATACTTATCCTCTTTTACTTCCAGGTCCGAACCCGAAATAACACCAGTGCCTCCAGCCGAGAGAGGCACAGGCCCTCCCCACGTTCTACCCGAGGCCGGCAGGGCCGCAATCCCGTGGACGAGTCCCCTGTGGAGTTTCCAGCTACTAGGGTTGGTCCCCCGCCCCAGTCAGTCTCTGGAGGATCTGCCTCATTCCTGCACCCCGGCTGTGGCTGGTGTATAACCTGTGACCTTTCTTCACACTCAACTACTTTTTTAGGGTTTTTCTTTTCCTTTCTCTCCTGGGCATTTGGGTAAGCTTCTCCTGAGCTGAATGGCTTCTCTCCTGCCCTGGTCCTGTATGAAACTATATCAGGAACACAAGAAATCCCCAATAGCCTAGGTTCTGGCCCACCTTGGAATTGAACTGAAAGCCATTTACTTCTAGAACTGCCTTCTCCATAGTGTCTTCATCTGTCTTCACCACCCCAGCAGGTCCAGCAAATCCCGCTTCTGTTGCCAGATTGGGCACAGATGCAGCACTTAAACCAGGACTCTGGAGCCTGTAGGCGTTACCTGTCATTATGCTTTCATTCCCTGTTCCTTCTGCTTTGTCTCTAGATGGCTACAGTGACTTTCCACCATTTAGGGGATGCATGTTCCTGGAAAACTTGTCTGGCTATCCTAAACCTGTTTTTTCTTGTATGGGAACACATTGAGGAGCTATTGGTCTCTGTCTACCCATAAGCTTCGCTTCATTGTGGCTTAAACTGTGTCCTTCTCTTCACAGTCCCTGAGGCGGCGGGCAACAGCATCAACAGGCACACCATGGCCTTCTCCTACCAGCCCTTACCCTACCATTGACCTCACAGATGATGGTGTGACGCCCCAGGGCAGCAGTACCCCTTATGCTGGGCCAAGCCAGGATAGCCAGCAGGAGAGCTTGGAGTCCTCACAGGTGGATGTAGACAGCACTGAGTATCAGGTACCTCTAAGAAGGGGTTCCTGCCCCGGGTAGCCAAAGACCCTCAAAATAGGGAAGAGAAAAAAAACAGTTGCCAACTACTCTTGGTGATTACTTATTTGTAGTGACCAGTTATTACTATGATTGTCATTTGTTATCACAAATTTGAATTCTAAATATTTTTCATTAGCAACATGGGTCAATCTTCACTCTACTTCCCTTCCAGACATAAGTCAAGCATCAGTTACCACACAAGTGTTGGATTTCTGAGTATTACCTACTTGTACATAGAAAGTATAATGTTATTCTGTAGGCATGTAATTATAGATTGGCTTTTTTCACTTCAGAACTACATCCAGGAATGTGCACAGTGTTTAATTAGTTAACCAATTGGGCTTGTTTATGTTCACGCAGCATTGCTGCATGAAGCCTGTTGCACATGTATGTACCTGTGGGAATCCTTTTTTTTTTTCTTTTGGGTCATTGCTGGAATTTGAATTCAACCTCATGCTTGTTTGGCTGGTCTTTTACCACCTCAGCCATGCCCCCAGCCAAGGTTTTGATTTTTTTTTTTCCACTGTGTAGCTCAGGCTGACCTTGAACTAAGCTGGCCTTCCAACTCAATACTGTGCCTCTCCCTGCCTCCCTCCCAAGGGCCAGGATTATAGTTGTCCACCTGCACACCATGCTCTGCAGGGCCTTATGCTTCCAGATAGGCTCGCTACCACCTAAGCCACACCTCCAGCCCTCTGGGATTCTTTCTGTATGTACGTTAATTTCGTACATTGTACTGCACATATTCTTTATGGCTTGTTTTCCCTGGGCATATTTTGTGTGTGAACCTAGGGCCTTCCTCATGTTCAGCCCTTGCTCTTTCACTGAGTTATGCCCCAGTGAGCATCAACTTTGTATGACAAGGCTTTTCTTGACCTTAGGATGGTGAAGTTTTAGGACCTGGCCCAGGGTAGTTTGTCTTTGTAACTGGGAGTTCTTGTGGTTTTTGTTCCAGGATGGGAAGGAGTTTGGAATAGGGGACCTCGTGTGGGGAAAGATCAAGGGTTTTTCCTGGTGGCCTGCCATGGTGGTGTCCTGGAAGGCCACCTCCAAACGCCAGGCCATGTCCGGCATGCGATGGGTCCAGTGGTTTGGTGATGGCAAGTTCTCCGAGGTAAGTCCCATGAAACACAGGATCTCCCGTCCTGCAGATAGATGCTCAGGTGTTAGCCAGAGCTCCATAAGTTGGAAAATTCTGGACCCACAGCCCATGGATTTCATTTTATTTTTTGCATTTATTTTTCTGGGGTAGAGTCACTCTCATAGACTTAGGAGTGCAACCATCCATGTTTAATGGAGAAGTATTTGAGAGACTAAAATGATGGTTCCTTGCTCTTGTTTCTTTTAACCCTGGACCAAGTGGGAGGGCATCTCTAGTTATTAATGGAGATGGGTTTAGGGTGACCTGGTCAGTTACAGAAAAAAAGAGTTGGCTATTTCAGAGCCTTTTTTGGCAGGACTGGGTCTCATGCTTGCTCAGGCAGGTCCTCTACCACTTGAGCCACTCTGTCACTCCTTTGGAGCCTCTTGATGATTGTTACTAGCCTTTTAAAAAGGAATCTTTCTTTAAAGTGAGGGTCTGATGTGGTAAACTCTGTTGGGCATATTCAGGCAGTTTGGATTTTTTTCTTTGATGTCCTGGAATCAAACCTGAGTTATACCTTTGATCTGCAAGAGTTTGATTTGAATAATGCAAGTAGAACATTTTCTCCATCCAGGGAGAGAAGTCAGTGAGGTTCCATCCTGCAAGCTAGGCAGGAAGAAAACACAGGGAATGAAGGACCATCTAGTACGTTCCTGGGATTCAGCCTCACTCAGTTGGAGGTTTGGGTTTTTTTAGGAAATGGACTCCATGCGACCATTTGCCAAAGGCAAGAATAATAGGACTTGACTCCAGCAGGTGTAGAGACTGTATGCCATTGTCCTCTCTGACCAGAAGAGGGAGCAGAAGTACTAGTTTTTAGCCTATTGTGGCTGGAAGCATTGAATTCCAGGAATATGTGATCAATGACTTCTGTGACATGATGGAGGATGGATGCTTTGTCATTGCTTTGGCCCAGTAGGACATAATGCTCTTTTTCAGATGCCAGTTGGGTGCCACATGGGAGTGTTAGAATAGAGTGGAATGTATTCTCCATGCTCAGGAAAGGGAAAGAACATAAGACATGTGTAAGCCGCCATTTCAAAATACACCCATGGTGGATTTTTGGACTGTACCTCAGGGGTCCATACTGGGGACACGGAGTCTGCACATGCATGTAAACACATACGGATGTGCGGACATACATAAGTACATGGTTATCTAAATTGTGGCCATTCTGAGTGTCTTACTTTACCAGATTTGGCCTGTGTATATGTTTCTGGCTATAGGGTATGTCAGGGACTCTACAGTTTTTTTCTTTTTCAAATTTGCATCTGTGAACTTTGTCCCCAGGAATGGGCCCTTGGTTGAAGGGTGCAACCTTCCCTTCCCTTAGAGATGTTGATAATGTCTTTCTCTTCTAGGTTTCTGCAGACAAACTGGTGGCCCTGGGCCAGTTCAGCCAGCACTTTAACCTGGCCACCTTCAATAAACTGGTTTCTTATAGGAAGGCCATGTACCACACCCTGGAGGTAACATGGGAATGGGGAATGAGGACCTGAGTAAGGAGGAAGCAAGAGACTCCCTGATAGCTAGCCAAGAGTATCATGTTATTCAGGATGACCTGACCAGGTGGCCTGAGACTGAGAGGCACCCTCAGGACTTAGACCTGACTGAGTCAGAAAGGATGGGTACTGTCATGCAGGACTGTGGGCTTTTTTTCCACACAGATCTCCAGAGGTTCCTTCCTTTGAGTGGTGTAATTCAAGGCTAAGAGGAGGCAGCAGAGGCCAGTTGCCTCCTCCCCTTGTCTTCAGTTCATGTTATCCCCTATGAACCATTAGGCTCTTTCCCTTCCTTCACCTTCAGTTGGAATTGCCTTTGTCTCTTGGCCATGTGTTTAATTAGACACATCCTCAAGGGCCTTGTAATGAAGGACACAACTTCCATCCTCTTCATTAGGGAGATAAAACAAGAAGCCTGGTATCTTCTTAAAAACAAGGTATAGGATGGATAAAATGGGGCTTGCTGATGCTTCTCCTACATCTTAGTGGCAGAGCTAAGTCCTCTCCTGAGGGAGATTCCCTTTGGGGAAGACGTCATAGTTGGTGCCTAGTAGGGAAAGAGACCTCCCCCCCCCCAGAGTTCTGCCAGTCTCTACACAGGCCCTCCCCCTTCTTCCTGTCACACATACCACAGTTCTGAACAGCTGTTTCACTATGAAAGAGCCCAGTGTGAGGGGGAATGTAGGCCTCAGCAGGGGAAATATCTGGGTGTGGCCCTGCAAGTACCCCCTCCCCACCCCTATTCATCACAGACTGCCTTTATATCTCGGCAGAAAGCCAGGGTACGAGCTGGCAAGACCTTCCCCAGCAGCCCTGGAGATTCACTGGAGGACCAGCTGAAGCCCATGTTGGAGTGGGCCCACGGGGGCTTCAAGCCCACTGGGATCGAGGGCCTCAAACCCAACAACAAGCAACCAGGTGGGAATGAGTCCCTGGGCAGCATTCACTGCTCTCCCCTAGCCAGCCTCAGGCCAAAGCCCACTTGTGCCTTAGGAATACCCAGGGGTATGAGAAGCATTCCAGGGTACACACAGTCTGTAACAGCTTTCCCTGCCTTTCCTGGCCACTTTGCTGCTAAAAGTCACTGTATGTAATTAAGATTAAGTCTACTGAAAACTGCGATGAACAAGAAGGCAAGATTCCATCTTTCCTAACCCTTTCCTCAAAGAAAAATTAAATTTGTCATTGAAGAAAATTGTTAAGAAAACAGATTTTGGCCAATTGTATCTCCTCCATTATACCTGTGGTTTCCTGAAATGCAGGCTGTATCTTAACTGTCCATACATTTAATGTCATGTTTTCTGTTTTGTTTTGTTTTCCCCCAAAAAGTGGTTAATAAGTCGAAGGTGCGTCGTGCAGGCAGTAGGAAATTAGAATCCAGGAAATACGGTATTCCCTTCCCATCTTTGGACTGCATTCTGTTTGCTCTAGCTTTGAATTTCTTGGCATATACAGTGCTCACTGGAAAAGGATAAAATTTCTTAATCTATCCAAACTCACACCCACCCTCCACTTCACTCCCCACCCTCACTGATGCCCCCAGGTTAAGCTCGTTGGGTGCACATCCTTCCACCGTTTTCTGTGCACTTTGATTCCTGCTTTCACCTTATTTCTCAACATTAATAGCAGAAGCACTGTCAAATGTCATTGTGTCACTAAAATTTCCTTGTGTTTTTTTGTTTTGTTTTTGAGACAGGGTCTCCCTATGTATACCAGGCTGACCTCGACTTGTGATTCTCTGCCTCAGCCTACCAAGTGCTGGAATTACAGGCGGGCACCACTACACCAAATGTCCTTAAGAGTTTTGATGGCTGTCCAAGGGGCAGAGTCATTTTTAAGCATGATTCAATAGATTAAATAGAAATAGAAAAAATAAATAGAAATAGAAAAAAAAGGTTTATAGTAAGTTAATTAAATTTTTTTCTAGTAGTTTCTTTAGAAGAGAACAGGTGAAATTGGTAATCTAATATTTCTATAATTTTGAGTATTTTAGCATTTAGTCAGTCTAAAATTGAGATTTCACTTTTGTGGGGGAAGCGGGTACTGAGGTTTGAACTCAGGGCTTAATGCTTGCTAAGGAGGGGCTATACTATTGAGCTCCTTTACTAGCCTGAGATTTCACCTTACTTTGTAGTACTATCTTTAAAATCATGTATTTTATACATGTTAAACCATATCTCCATTCTGATGATAAATTTTCATTCATTTATTGCATACAGATTAATTAAATACAAAAATTACTATGTTTCGGTCCTGGGGGGTGAACTCAGGGCCTGGTGCTAAAGCGGGTCCTCTACCACTTGAACCACTCTAGGAACCACTTTTTGGTTTAGGCAGGCATTCTACTATTCAAGCCACTCTGCCAACCCTTGTGGAATCATTTGTTAGGGTTTTTTGGTTAGTTTTTTTTTGAGGAATCGTATTGGGGTTTAAACTCAGGGTTTCTGTTTGCCAGGGAGGCTTCATATGTCATTTTTTTTTTTTTTGTGAGGGCTTTGTACTTGCAAAGCAGGCACTCTACTGCTTGATCCATACCTCCAGTCCACCATTTTGTTCTGGTTATTTTGAAGATGGGTCTTGCAAACTTGCCTGGACTGGCTTCCAACCTCAGCCTCCCAAGTAGCTAGGATTATAGACGTGAGCCATTGGCAGGCATTTGTCAGTTTTTAATTGCTATTAAAAAATATATAAAGTTCTTAGTGACTGTAGGGGGGGTGAACAAGAATTGTGGAGGCAGTGAATTAAAGTATGATATATGAAAAAATAAACTAGGTCTATTAGCAGGAAAAATCCACAGTCAGTTGTGCATCTCAAGTGCTCAGCTACATACATGTCTGATACCTGTCTGACAGCACTTTGGACATCTCATGTAGATTTGTCAGCATTTAGTTGTGATTCTTGAGCTAAATGTGTAGCAAGATTTTTTTTTTTGTAGTACTGGGCTTTGAACTCAGGGCCCCACACTTGCTAGGCAGGCAATCTGCTACTTTTGAGCCACTCTGCCAGCCCTTTTTTATGTGGGATATTTTTGAGATGTAGGATCTTGCTGGCTTGAACCTCCGGATCTCTGATTCCCGAGTAGCTAGGGTTACATGAACCATGTAATCCTGGCATGAGCCACTGGTGCCTGCCCGAAAGATGTATTTTGTTGTTTTAGAGGATGTATTATATTTAAAACCCCATACTGAGTATCAGGGAGTTTTAATTGGTTCCTATTCTGCCTGCCCATCACGGGCCATGCACAACCAGCAAGGACCCTTCTCGAGCCTCAGATGCAGGTTTTTCTCAGTGTAGGATAGCCTTGTCCTAGGGCCTCTTCTCTCTGGACCTTCCTCCAAACAAGTCATGGCTGCCATCTGCTTACCTTTTCACAGAGAACAAGAGTCGAAGACGCACAGCTGATGACTCAGCCACTTCTGACTACTGTCCCCCACCCAAGCGCCTCAAGACCAATTGCTATAACAATGGCAAAGACCGTGGAGAGGAAGATCAGAGCCGAGGTGATTGGGCAGTGGGCTGGCCAGGAGTCTGGGGTACCCATTGTAGTGGCAGATTGTGAGGACCATGCTACCATGCAAATGTGATAGTGACCATGGCTGAGATAACCAAGAAGGGGTTCCCCAATTTCATTTGACCTTAATTTCCTCAACAGAGCAAATGGCTTCTGATGTTACCAACAATAAGAACAGTCTGGAAGGTAATGTGATCTCTCTTCCAGCCCTTCCTTCTGGTAGGTAAGGCCTGCCTTACCTGGCCTTAATTGCAATAAGTCATGACCCTGTCTTTTCTACAGATAGCTGTCTGTCCTGTGGTCGAAAAAACCCCATGTCCTTTCACCCATTGTTTGAGGGTGGGCTCTGCCAGACATGCCGGGTAAGTACTGACACTTTTGCCTCTTTCTCCACAACCTTATCTGCATTTTATTCCCAAAATAAGTCTGCTTGGTATATGTTCCCAAGCCCATTGTCCCCCCCACCCCCTTCCTGCAGCAGAGAATTTAATCAGTAAGGCACCCAGACCACAATGCAGTTTTGTCCCTGTAAAAGGATACCAGGCCACCAGTGACTTGTTCTGACTGTGTTAGAAGGCCCCAGCCAGCAGGCAAACTGGGCTGGCTGGCCTTGGTCTCCAGTTTCACAGTTTCTTTCTGGCTGCCAGGATCGCTTCCTTGAGCTGTTCTACATGTATGACGATGATGGCTATCAGTCTTATTGCACTGTGTGCTGTGAGGGCCGAGAGCTGCTTCTCTGTAGCAACACCAGCTGTTGCCGGTAAGCACTGGACCTTGGGTGTAACCTGGGGACTCCAAGGCTTCAAAGTAGTACCCTGCAATGCCTACAGGCAGCTGCTTTTAAGTTCAATGTTATCCTAAGCACCAAGACAGGCAGCTAAATTGGACTGAGTTCAGTTACAGGGTCCAATATTTTGTAGTGGTTGTGTGCTTATGCCCTACGGGAATACAGTTAGATAAGTGCATGTGGGTGGGTTCATGTGCTCAGGCTAGGTGTATCAGGGCAGGAGAGTGGGTGTCAAGAAAAACTCCCTTCCCGGAGCCTTGCCAATTGGCCTGAAATCCAAAGGTCTATGGGAATTGACTAGAGTGCATTTTTGTGCAAAGGCCTTGTGTATTTAAGGGGAGTGAGGTTTTGAAGGAAGTGGTAGCTAATGGCTTGTAGGTCATGCTGTTGAGCAATGTGGACCCACTCAGGTGGTGGATGCCATCTTCTTGGGGAGGGATCTCAGCATGAGTTGCCTGGTGACAAACACCTCCCTTCTCCGTGGCCACTGGGTACAGGTGCTTCTGTGTGGAGTGTCTGGAGGTGCTGGTGGGCACAGGCACAGCGGCAGAAGCCAAGCTTCAAGAGCCCTGGAGCTGCTACATGTGTTTACCGCAGCGCTGTCACGGTGTCCTGCGGAGACGAAAGGACTGGAATGTGCGCCTGCAGGCCTTTTTCACCAGTGATACAGGCCTCGAATATGTAAGCCAGTCTCCACCCTTCACCCACCATCACAGGCCTCATGGCCACAGGGGTCTGGATTGACCTGGAATTCTCATAGCAAGAGTTAATGGATAATTTATTGCAGTGTAGCTTCTCCTAGCCTTCGAGGCCAAGAGAACATGACAATTGGCACCTCAGTACATGCATCTTCAAAAGTTTGGTTGTAAGAACAAGAATAAAGCTCCTGAAGACAGCAGGAAACCTGTGACTTACTCTTCAGATTTTAGTAGTGGATTTTCTTTTAGAGTCCCTGAGTTACTATTTCCTGTCGGGTCATGTCTTTCTGTGTGTGCCTCCCATTTTGTGCCATGTTCTCTCACCAGTTTCCATGGAACTTCTGGAGAAACCACAGCACATTTGAATTCCTCTCAGTAGCATCAGCCTCTTCCCTCTCGCTTTCTGGTGGAATCTTCCCTCTACTCCTTCACTCCATGACCTTCCTTTCTTCTCTGGCAGGAGGCCCCCAAGTTGTACCCTGCCATTCCTGCAGCCCGAAGGCGGCCCATTCGAGTCCTGTCACTGTTTGATGGAATTGCCACAGGTGAGTTTGGAAATTCATCTAGGCATGCTATAGGAATAGCCAGAGAGTCAGTGTTTAGAAGTGCTTAGAAGTGTGTGTAACCTTTCTGTACCTGTCCTGTTGCTCTTCCTTCTGTGTACAACCTCGTCATCTCCTTACCAACTAGCCCACTGTTGGGCCTTTTTGAAAGAATGCAATGTCTTAGCTGCTGCATTTTAGATTTTATTTTGTTAAGGTCCAAGTAATTTTCATTTCACATGGTGGTCATTTAGGCGACAACTACCCTACTAAATTGTAGCCTTTTTTTTTTTTTTTCTTTTCCCTTTTTATCTCTGGTGCTACTGGTGTTGGAACTCAGGACTTCATTCTTGCCAGACAAGCACGCTACCACTTGGGTTATGCCTCCAGCCAGCCCTTTTTCATTTCTAAGGCTTTCCCATTCATGGAGCAAGAACTGCCAACATGCATGGTGCCCTGTGGACTGGGCCTCAGTTCATTTACTCCTAAAATTGCCAGTTAGGCCATTTTGATTCTACCACACATGGAGTGGATTGAGCTTCTCTGTACTTAGCATCATTTATATTAACATGTGTTCTTGGCCCCCCAACAGGTTACTTGGTGCTCAAAGAACTGGGGATTAAAGTAGAAAAGTACGTTGCCTCTGAAGTCTGTGAAGAATCAATTGCTGTTGGAACCGTTAAGCATGAAGGGAATATCAAATATGTAAACGACGTCAGGAACATCACAAAAAAAAATGTGAGGGCAGCTTCAGCCCTTACCCATCTCTCTCTTCTTCCCTGTCATCCTCGCCACACCCTGGATACTCACAGCTTTCATGGCATACCGTCCCTGTCCTTAGGGCCCAGGGCTGTGGGTTGAAGATTATCTGTGGTCACTTCAAATTATAGTTAGTGAAATACCTGCAATTTAGAAATAATTCAGAATGATTTAGTTCTTGGATTCCTGAGCATGGAGCTTGTTTTGGGTAAGCAATGGAACTGTTGACCAAGCAAGATTGTAGAATCGGGTCATCCCAGAATGTAGGCATTCTCTCACTCCTTCCTCAGCCATATCCCTTCCCTGAGCCTATTTTTGTCCCTCAGATTGATGAGTGGGGTCCGTTTGACTTGGTGATTGGTGGAAGCCCGTGCAATGACCTCTCAAATGTGAATCCTGCCAGGAAAGGACTGTATGGTGAGCAGCCCATCTGGTGGCCCCCAGGGACCCTACCACACTTGTGCTGGTGCCAATAGAGCAGTCTGGGAAGGAGCAATTGATTCTATACAGCCTTGAGCATTGCCCATGCCTCAGTGTAAACTGGGCTAACGAATATTGTGTTGCTTGCATGTTGCTTGCTCATTCTAGAGGCCTCCAGGAAGATAGGGCTGTGAGGTTATTGGTCTTTTCGTGGGGGTTTCGGAATATGAAGGCTTGTACTGCAGGCTTTGAATGAACTCTCCTCTCTGATGTTCTTTTATGGACGTAGAGGGCACTGGGCGCCTTTTCTTTGAGTTCTACCACTTGCTGAATTACTCACGTCCAAAAGAGGGTGATGATCGGCCATTCTTCTGGATGTTTGAGAATGTTGTAGCCATGAAGGTTGGCGACAAGAGGGACATCTCACGGTTCCTGGAGGTGAGAGGACCGGGGCCTGAGAGGGGAAGGCCTTGCTGGCCAGGGTGGCTGCTGGGTTTGGAGTATATGGGGAACATTCGTCTGTAGTCACCCCAACCCAAGTCAGCAGTGATGAGACCATCTTTGCTCTTGCAGAGAGTGCCATGATATTTAACTAAACTTTAGAGTTCTTTTTTCTCTCACTCTTGTTCTGAAAATGGTTGCTTTAGGGGTTTGGGGAAGTTAATTATCTACTTTTTAATATGCATCAAGCATAGAAAATGCTTTTTGAATTTTAGTTTTCTAAAGGACTTTACAGCTTCGGTTGCAGAGGTAACAGAACTGGTTGTCCTGTCATGCCATGTGACTCCTGTAACTGGATGTCACTGAGCCCAATGCTGCTCATGTTTCCTTCCTACAACCAGAAATCTTGACTTACCAGATTTTGATTGTGAGGTGCTTTTACCTCACATCTAGTATGTCTCAGGGGACTTCTTTTCTTCACTGGGACTGGGATTTGAACTCATGACTTTGTGCTTGCAAAGGAGCATTTTACTACTTAAGCAACACCTCCAGTCTTTTGTGCTCTCATTATTTTGGAGATGGGGTCTCTTTCCGTGGACTGGCTTTGAACTGTGATTTTCCTAATCCCAGTTTCCCAAGTAGCTAGGATTACAGGCATGAGCTACCAGCACTGGCTTGGGGACACTTTTTCAAGAGCCTGCAGGTTCATGCTCTAGCCAGTCTGTTAATGGGAACTGGTTTGTCTCCTGGTTGCTAGTACCATTGCCAGGGGACTTGCTCTGATTGAACCCTGAATTCTATGTGGGTTTCTAGCATCCTCCTTCTCTCTTTGCAGTGTAATCCAGTGATGATTGATGCCATCAAAGTTTCTGCTGCTCACAGGGCCAGATACTTCTGGGGCAACCTACCTGGGATGAACAGGTAATAAGTGTGACAGGTAACAGCTAAGTAATACAGAGCTAATGATGTTAGGTTTGACCTTTCACCATTCTGGAAAGTGCTAGCTATGCTGAGAAATGGCCCTACCCAGGAATTCAGACCAACCTGCAGTGTCAGCAGTTCTTCCCTGTTACTATGTTCAGAAACAAGCCAGGAGCTCCCTGAGGAGTCAGGCCCTACTGACTGTCAGCTACAGAACATTGTGACTCTTTTCATTCATTATTTTGTTCTTTATTCTTTTTGCAGTAATGGGGTTTGAACTCAGGCCTCCACACTGGCCTAGGCAGGCACTCTACCATTTGAGCCACTCCACCAGTATTTGGTATTTTTGAGAGAGGGTCTTGAGAACTATTTGCCCAGGCTGGCTTTGAACCGTGATCTTCCTGTGTAACTAGGATTATAGGTGTAGCCTGGATAGAAGAAGATTGACTCTTTGTCTCATTTTTTTTTGTCATACTGGGATTTGAACTCAAGGCCTCATCCTTGCTAGGCAGGTGCTCAACCACTAGAGCCAGCCTGCCAGCCCTGAAAATTGTGCTGGGGCCAGATCAATGCCTGGGATGCCAGGAGTCCTCTTGAAAACTGAGTTGTTGTTTCTTCCAAACCCTTCCTCTTCTTTTTACTACTGTAACAATACCCATTGGGAAATGGAAATAGATTGTTAAAAGGTGTCATTCTTCTTACCCCTGAGATGAAATGACTGACCCCTAGACCAAGCACATAGTGGCCAGCTAGGTGGTAGAGCTGAGATGACAAGTGGCAGCCCCAAAGAAGTGTTTTTCTACCTTTTTACCATATTATAAAGGCAGTTCAGTCCTAGAAACTTCCCCCTCAAAGCAAGTAGCTTTGCTAAAGATTAACTGGTTTAAGAAAAACTTGCTAAATTAAGGTGCAAATGTGATGGTAATGTGATATTCCAAACTTGTAAATGAGTTAAACTTAAAAAAAAAATTCTCCTTCAGATAGAAGTGTTGGAAGCATGGTAACTATTTGGCATTGAGCAAATTGTAGACAGTGGTGAGATTGTCTTAGAATAGCTTGGAGGATTTTTTTGGGGATGTCTTGTCTTTTTGATTGGTTTTCTCAGTCAAATGGTGTCATATCACACGGTATCATGTTAATGTTTAGAATTACATGGACTTACTCAAACCCGACATTTGATCCCACACGCTGCCAGGCACTGTACTATTGTCAACTCTTGGAGTTGACATGTTAGTGGGGGGGGGATTAAAGGTTCATGGCTGGGGGCTGAGCACTGGAAAGGTAGATGGTGGGGGAGACAGTGCCACATCCCACCTGCAGCAAAGGATTGTAGCCATTCACAAGTGTTCCAGGCAGAAGGAAAGACTGGGCAGGCTTAGGAATAATGGGTGAGACCATTCTCAGACTAGGTTAGAGGGCAAGCGTGACTGGGAGAGAAGGGTAGAAAACTATAATTATGGGACAATCAGTGTCATGCATGGTGGGATGAATTACTACATTCCTGGTAGTTTCTGTGTGGAGAACAGAAGAGGGCAGGGGCAGGGACAGGGAAGGCCACAGGTGAGGTTGGTGCATTATCAGAGCAGGATGGATGATGGATTATTGTGCCACCTGAAGGTGACAGTCCTATGTATTAGGTTCCCCAGTCCTATGGGGTCAAGTTCAAGATTTGTTTGTGCATTGGATGACTGAATATGACCTAAAAGGATGAGCAACTATGGCTGAGCTCTTTAGGGTTACATGTGTCAAGCATTAGTTGGTGGCTGAAACCTAACTCATTTACGTTGTAGATCTTAATCTTTGAATATGCACAAGGTCATTTTTGTGTTTTTTCCTTTTCCCCCCTGGTCCCTTGGGTATATATATGCAGGAGAAAGATATGTAGGGGTGGGTAATTTGAAAGGTGAGGGTCGAGGAAATCTGCAGAGTCTAGGGAAATACTGTGTAATTCCTCAGTCTCTTTTTGGCATTTTTCCATTCTCATGTCTGGGGCTTTTTTGGACTTGAATTTCTCAATAGGAGTTACCATGGTGCTCACCAACTCTGCATTCAGAGGTATTAGAGGTTTTGCTCTGAAACTCAACTCCTTTTGGTTCTTTCTCTTTCTCAGCAAGTTTGCATCTCTCTGCCCTTGGCAAATAGGTCTCATGAGTAAGGATAAGGGGGTTTAGTCTTTGGACACTGAGTGTCCTTTCATGTGAGGGTGGCACCCACCCAGCTTTCCTGAGACTGCACCCCCGGTTGTGAGTCATGGTATGCTAGCTGTATCAAGTAGAACCACAAAGTCTAATCCAACCTTCTCACTTTATGCCATGGGGCTAGCGGTGTAGCTCAGTGGTAGAGCACTTGCCTAGCCTACATTGGTCCCTAGGTTCAGCTTTATTCCAAGCACACCCTGCCCCCAGATATGAAGTCCATGACTTGCTAAAGTTCACTAAGCCAGGAGCAGTGGGCCTGGAGGGTTCTCCTGTTTCTCCCTCCAGTGTTCCTTGTCCCTCAGTGGAAGTCTGGCTTTCACTAATTCTAAAATGCGGACATTAGACTGCTGCCTGCAGGGACTAGTAAACCTATACCCCTGGCTTTGCAAAACAGGATTGTTTGGATTGTCCATATGTGGTACATTCATTGCCAGGGCACATTTTCACCATGGAGGTACCCCTCCCTCCTGCCTTGTGAGATGCCTGACTGAGGCCCCCTGTGCAGAGGGTAGAAAGTAATGGGTTTTGGCTGTTCCCAGGCCCGTGATAGCATCAAAGAATGATAAACTCGAACTGCAGGACTGCTTGGAATTCAGTAGGACAGCAAAGGTAAGACATGTTCCTGAACAGCCTGTACAGTGTCCTGGAAAATGCACTTGGTGACCCCTCAGTGGGGACTTGGTAGATGACCTTGGTGGTTTCTGGCTGGTTCCTTTGCCTCCCCCTCCCTGGTGCTGGGCCTCTTTCCTCACATGTTTGTCTCCTCAAGTACAGAGAGCAGGAAATGTTCTTGATTAAAAAAAAAAATCACTGTGAGAAAAGGCAACTATACTTACCAATTGTTACTAGAGGCAGAATTGAAACTGGCCTTTTCACTAATAAGTGTGTCCTTTTGCAAACAAAGTATCTGTTGTGGAGCTGCAGATAAAAATAAGATTTATAAGCCTAATTCTCCCAGATAAAAATAAGATTTATAAGCCTAATTCTCCATGTCTGCATCAAGCAAAAATGTTTGTCCAAAGTCTGGCTGACCATTCTTTATATCTGGGTGGTTTGTTTCTACCTTTTTCCTTAATCATGCTTGATCTGTAACTGGTGTCTTGGCCCCCATGTGATCTCCTTCATTCATGGTCACTTTTTGCTTATCTCATTCTCTGAGGCTTATTTGTTAACTTCTTGGTGTTTGTGGGAAGCACAAAATGTTCATGACTCTCCCATTGTCACTCCCTTTGCAAGCCTGGCCCTGCTGCCTCTCTCCTGCACCTGCCTCCCCCTTCACTGGTGGGCCTTGACCCCTCACAGAAGCCTTCCTCTGCGTTCCCTTCATGATGTCTGTCCTTTTGTTCTCCAGTTAAAGAAAGTACAGACAATAACCACCAAGTCGAACTCGATCAGACAGGGGAAAAACCAACTTTTCCCTGTTGTCATGAATGGCAAAGAAGATGTGTTGTGGTGCACTGAGCTCGAAAGGTGAGCAAGGCTGCACTTGGAGAGGGTCATGGTGCAGGCAGAGACAGAAAGGGGAGGAGCATGAGCTAGGCCTGGAGCACAAATGGGCAGGGGCTTCACTTATTTCTGCAGGTTCTCACTGCCTCCTGTGAAACAGGAGTATCAGAGCCAGCCCTTGTTTTCTGGCAGAAATTGTGGGTGTGGATGGGCATTGAGGAATCTGAGACATGAAGTCATTAGACACCACCACCTGTCTGGCCCCGACATCTTCCAGTGAAAGGAAACCTTATTGCTTATTCTTGGAAGATTTCTTCCAAGTTGCTCACTCTAGCTCATTCCTACTTTGCCATACTTTACCATAGTCTGTCTGTCTTTATTGAGCTAAGTTTGTCTATCCTGATGCGAAGTTCCTTCTGATCTTGGATGGAGTTCCTTCTTTTGTTTTCTCTTTTTTCGTCCTGTATTTTTTTTGTTTGCTTGTTTTACTTTGTTCTTACAGTATTTGAAATTATTATTTGCTAGCAATGTAGTTTAAAGATATGCATTATGTCTTTATATATTTGACTGTATTATGAAGATTTTCATGCAGAGTTTCATTCCAGGTATTTCAGTTCTTTTTTATTTCTTTTGACTTAAAACAAAAGTAGTCGTAGCATAAAAATAACTTCTGATTAGTGGAAAGAAAATTGGTCAGTAACCTTGCCCAATTTATCCATGCTGTAGATCTTGTGAATTTTTTTTTTTTTTAACTTTTTGGTTTTGCTTGAACTCAAGGCCTCGAATTTGCTAGGCAGGTGCTCTGTCACTTGAGCCACTCTTTCAGCCCAGTTCTTCTGGGTTTTGAGATCCAAGCATACAGAGTTAGGTGAATATGTGAAAAGGGGAGGTACAACTGACTGTAACTAAGTATGACAAAACAAGACGTGGCCCCGAGGTGTTGTGCCCTTCAGCCATGGGTATATTAGTGCTATGTTTCATATTGGGTTGTAAACTTGGGTAATACTGAGGTGTTCAGCATTAGGCAAACTGGTGTACTCACACGAACCTACCTGTGATGATGTTTTTGTGAGTGACCTTATTTCTTCATAAGGAAGTTTTTCCATCATTGTGCTTTGAAGAAGGATCCATGTCTGCTGGTAATACAGCTTGTTTGACAATCATTCATGCATATATTAATTTATACAACACATTAAAGCCAGGGCCCCTGAGCACCGAATATGTGCCAGGAATATAGAGCTGGGGTGTATAGAACAGGTGCCCTCACGACAAGTGTTCTGCACAAGTGGACCTGCATTCCCTGGCTGGCAGTCCAGAAGAGGCTCCTCTAAAGGCCCAGTGGGCCTGACTGAAGGAACAAGATGAAGGTAGAAGAGTGGTAGCTTGCCAACTGGCTGAGGACTTCCCAGAACCCAGAGGTTCTTGGCATTCGTGAGGGATGGGCACTTCTGATTTGTCTTCTACCCTGGTGCTCTCCCAGGATCTTCGGCTTTCCTGTACACTACACCGACGTGTCCAACATGGGTCGTAGTGCCCGCCAGAAGCTGCTCGGGAGGTCCTGGAGTGTACCTGTCATCCGACACCTCTTCGCCCCCTTGAAAGACTACTTTGCATGTGAATAACTATAGTGCCTCAGGCCTGCTGGGGCACTGAGGTGTTAGGGCACCAGGGCCCTGATTCCTGAAACTGATTCCCTCCCCCATCCCCCCAGCTCTGCCCTTCCTCAGCTCAGCTGTGTGGGGTCTCAATGTGTACCTCAGCTCTCTCCTGCTCAGTGGGAGCAGAGCCGCCTGACCCTCTCCTTCAGGGGGAGCCCGAGGTGCCACCTCTTTGTGCACAATTCAGACTTGGCTGCTCAGAGTGGTCAAACATGGTGCTCATTTTCATTTCAAACCTTAAAACTTGAAGTAGATAGAAAAATGGCTCCCCCCACCCCTCCTGGGTTTACCTCTCAGTGAATCAATGGCTAAGATACCAAAACCACAGTGCTGACAGCTTTCTAATACTCAGGTTAATGCTGCAAAATCACCCAAGACAGTTACTGTAAGACTTTAATTTTTTTCAATGTCTGCGGCTCCATGTTTACTGGAGTGTGCATTTGTAGACATGTAGCTGACGGACATTTTCAGGGCCCAGGATGTTTTTAGGGATAGCAGAAAAGGAAATGATATATATGTCTTGAATTTTACCTGACCCCTTCCCCTGGCACAATGACTGGAGTCTGCTTTGGAGTATTTCCCATCATGATGATGATTGCAGCAGGGATGACATCATATTCAGGGCTATTTTCCCCCACAAACTCAAGGCAGGCCACCCTTAGCTAGAATCCTTCCCTGTTAACTCCAGTAGAGCCCCCTGGGGAGCTCAGGAAGGGGCAGGCTAAGTTAGCATAATATAAACTGCCATGTATTATGTGGACGTGTTCAGTCTCCCCTCTTCCCTATGTGAGGGGCTTAGGTAATACAGCCCACCACAAGTACCCTCTCCATCCTACACACCCAGGTACCGGCACGGGTCCCCAGATGAGAGAAGTTTGATACTGTAATTCCTCATCTTCCTAGACTGAAGCCATGACAGCCAGGGGCAGAAGCACATTTTCCCCTTCATCTAAGAGATGGCAGAGGGAACACTGCAATAAAAACTCAATCCTCCCTTCAGAGATTTTAAAATCCTTTTTTTATTCCACAATATGTCTGTTTTTAGAGGGATGGGAGGTCAAACAAGCTGCATTTCAGAAATGCTGTAATGGTTTTTTAACACCTTTTACACTTCTTACTGGTGCTATTTTGTAGAATAAGAACAACCTCGACGAGTTTTGTGGGTCTTTTTTTTAAATACACTTTTAAAAAAAAATTTGACTTCTATTTTTATGTGTTTTTCATTACAATTTTTTTTTATTTTGGTTACTGGAGCCACGTAACAAGAATGGGGAAATATTGTGCCTTGCTTCAACAGTTTTTGCTAATTTTTAGACCGAAAGATCACTGCCTAGAGTTTACCTTATTCTGTTTAATTAAAATCAGTATTTCTCTATAATAGTCTGGTGTCCATTTTGTTCTTTTACAGGCCAGGTGGGTGGGGCTTTGGAGGACTGGGCTGAAGTGTAAGGGTTGGTGATTGAGCTAGGTCATAACATGCATTCAAGCACTGTGGGATGCCATGGGGCCCAAGCAGTGTCCTCAATTCTACATCATCAGCTCCTACAGGGCTTGTGATATCGTGATTGCTTGGGACCACACTGGGCTAGTGAATGGGCATCTAAATCTTGGTTCCCAAGCTTGGTTGACATTCAAAGGCTTGGTGTTTGGAATATCCCTCTCTGCACTTCTGAGGCAGCTAACTAAGGTGATGACCACCTACAAGAACACCAGCACAGATACGCAGTTCCTCCTGCTTCTGTGGAATTCTGCACCCTATTTGACTGCTGCCATTTTGTCGTTCTCAATCAGGCACTGGTTGGGAATGGCTTCTGTGATCCCAGCATAGCCTTGGGGAAAAGCAGTTCTCAGTGAGCTGTAACCCCAGACTAAAATACTCTACCTCTAGCCTTTGTTCAGAGAGGTGGCAAGGGAAATACCTCTCCAGAGGCTAAAGCTGATTAGCTGGTGCATGTAAAGAGGGAGTCAGGCATGAATGAGGGCATGTGTGTACTAGGCAGACTTGGCACTTTTGTGACACGGCTATAATTTTGTGACACGACCATGTGCCCATAGGTCGGGTTCCCAAAGTGGCCCTAGAGAAGTTTTGAGAGTGAAAGGATGGGACACCAAATTATGTTAGAAAGTTGCCACAGGCTGTAAGAACCACACAGGTGCAAGTTGCTATGGTGAAACAATTGGCAATTAGCAAGAGGCTGGGCCTGGGCTCCACCTGAGGCATTGAGACCCCAGGGGCCTTGCTTGTCCAATTAAGCCATCTTGTGTACAGTGCTGCAGCAAATGCCAGGACAGGATGAAGCAAAATAAACAGCCTCGGCCTCGGAACCCCAAGAGAGATGGACCACCTCTCAAGGTGAGGGCCTGTTTGCGGGGCAGGTTGGCAGAGGCCTTGGAAGGACTGTGGGGGTAATTCTGTGTTTGCTTGGATCTGCATGGTCTTTGTACCTGTGGAAGCTCGACGGAACATACCGGGGAAGAAGCTGGAGTTTGCTCCCCATGTGGCCCTTTTTTGAAGCAGTCTTGTGGGTTTATGTCAAATCTGGCACACTGCCATCTCACTTGGAGTAGGTAACTTCATCTTATATCTAGAATATAGGGATTATAAATAAAACCTTTGTAGGGTTTCAAGTATCAGATCTAGGCAGGAAATAGCCCCTTCGCTTGTACTAAGTGGTATTGTGAAAACGAGCCATCAGTCAATGCAGTGTTAGTGACATGATGGATGCTGATGACAGAAAGGAGGAATGCTTATGAATAATAAAGTTCTCAAGATGGACTGGGCAGTATTGCCCCAGATACATTGCAGCTGGGCTGTTTATGCTAACTAGCAACTGCAGCATCTAGCATTAAGTCCCTCATTGTCGGGGCCTGGATGCTCCTTGTTTGGGAGGTAGCTTTGGCCTTGCCCAGGGATCTCATCTGGGGATGGTGGTGCAGGGACTGGCAGTTCCATGGCTGTGGTGTCCCACTGTTTTTTTAGCAAGCTGAGTACTTATGACCTTAGGTGAGCCTCAGCTTGCCCAGTTGTAAAGTCTGTCTCAGGACTGATATGTTGGTCAAATGAGCTGCTTTATTCCTTACTGCAGAATTCTAACAGTGTTGGTGGGAGGCCTGGTTGCCTGGATTATAGGAACAGAACTGAGAGGTCTCCTCACCTCCCAAGGTCATGCAGCCACAAGCCTTAGGGGCTGTGAGTTGAAATCTGGTCTGAATTTGGCAACCTTTACTCTTTGGTATCATCTGCATCTTGTTTTATTTTGTTGGAGCTTGAAATGACTTGTTGCCCTTTGTGGCCTGGGGTATAATTACCTTTCTTGCTTCATTCTTTGATCCAACCTAACTGCCTTCCTTTTTCCCTCCCTTTGTTTCCTTTCTGCTAAAATTATCAATTTTTAAAAGCTTTTACAGAAAAGTTGCAAGACTCATTCTCCAAATATGGGCTGGTGGTGTGGCTCAAGCACTAGAGCGTCTGCCTAATAGTGAAGCCCTAAATTCAAACCCCAGTACTGCTCTCCCCAAAGAAAACCCCAAACAATTATTAACGTTTTGTGGCATTGCTTTGTTATCCTCTCTTAATAACACTTTTCACATAACCATTGGACAGATGTAAATGTGATGCCTCTTCACCTTCAAATCCTTTAGTGTGTATTTCCTAAAAACTACAATTTTCTTATAACTTTATCACAGTCATGAAATGAGCATTCATATACAATCCTCGTTTAGATTTTGCCAATCGCTCCAATGATGTCTTTATAGATAATTTTTTCCTTATTTGATATCCATGTTATCCATTTTAGAATCACATATTACACTTAGTTACTTTCAATTTTTAAAACTTTTTTGGTCAGTACTGGGGTTTGAACTCAGTACCTCATGCTTGCTAAGCAGGTGCTCTACCACTTGAGCCACTCCACCAGCCCTTTTTTGTGTTGGTATTTTTGAGATAGGGTCTCCTGAACTGTTTGCCCAGGCTGGCTTTGAAACCTCTAGCCTCCTGATCACTGCTTCCTGAGTAGGTAGGATTACAGGTATGAGCCAGTGGTGCCAGACTCTTTGCTGTTTTGAGACCAGGTCTTGGTATGTAGCCCAGGCTGGCCTGGAACTTGCTATGGATCCTAAACCATGATCTCTAGATTCTCCTGCCTCATCATTGAGGAGTGCTGGGATTATAGAAGTATGTCACCATGCCTGGTTTATTTTTTAAAACTCAAATTGCGAACTATACAAGTTAATAAGACAACTATACATTTAAGCTTGGTATTTGAGATCTTATAACCCGTTTGTGTTCTCTGAGTTGTGGTTTATTCCAAGGTGTCAGCATTGCAGAAAGAAAGCAGAGGTTGGCATCACTGGAATTAGCAAGTGCTCACCCTGAGTCTGTACATGTTAATCTCTGCCAGGAGCAGCTTTCTGCCCTTGCCAGTATAGTCCTCCAGTTTTCACCTCTTCCAGGAAGTCTTCCTTGTCCCTATTCTAAGACAGGATTAGGGCCTAGAAGTAATATAATTATAAATATTTATCTCTAGATAGTAGAATCTATGTTAACACAAAGCACTTTCTATGATAACTTCCTATTTTTGTTGTCATTTCTTCCATGAACTTGTGAAATTCTCAACACATTTTTTTAGTACAATAAAGCTGAGATCTGCCAATACCATTTTTCAATAAAGTTGTCATACATTTGTAAAATTCAGGCAGGCCTTGAAGTCATAGGGCTCTTTTTTGGGGGGAGTGTTACTGGGTTTGAACTCAGGGCTTCATGCTTGTAAATGTTTTATTTCACAAGTCCTATCTGTGATATTACTTCACATTAAATAATTGCTTTCTGGACACAGATGGCTCACACCTGTCATCCTAGCTACTCAAGAGGCAGAGATCAGGAGGGTCTCTGTTCCAAACCAGCCCTGGCAAATAGTTTAAGAGATCCTTTCTTGAAAAAACCCATTATAGAAAGGCTGGCTTTTGCCTCTTGCTTGCCTTTCCTACCCCAAACCTTGTGCCAGGATAATTCCTCATGTTTCAGGACAAGTGTCACTGTCTGGGAAGTCTTTCCTTCCACATGAAGTGATGTTGAGTCTCTTGCAATAGTTTCCTGGAGCAGCACATACCACGGAAACCAGCAGTATGTGCTGGTAATTGGAATATCAAAAATGCTTCCAGCTCCTGCCCAGATGGCTCACCTATTGTTCTCTGAACGCTTCTCTGAGTTTCAGCAATTAACTGGGTGAGACTTGAAAAGAAGTCACCTCTAAAATCCTGCTCACACAGTGCAAGTGCCATCACTACTTGCATATACCACTCCTGCTAGCACAGTGACAAATCAATCTGATTTATCATTAAACAGGGATTTGTGTCATTGTGTCTGTCCTGTTTGCCTCCACTGTCAGACTGGAACCTTTTGAGAGGCCAGAGGCTGGGTCTGGTTTTAAGGTCATCATCATCAAATCCCGAGGGCCTGTTCGGTCACAGAAGATAAATATTTTTGAAACACGAATAAATAATATCTAGACAAAGAAATCAGGCCGAAATTTGAATCAACCTCTGTGAATCTGGGTAAGTCAATGGTCTCGCTGATACTCAGTTTCCTCTGCGGTAAAGTAGCGTAATTCATTCTTTCAGCAAGGCTCTGATGACACTGGGACACATCTCAGAACTGGAATAAGAAGGCGCTTGCTTTCCATGTCACTTTTATGGGAAGGCATACAATAAAGGCATAAACAAAGACAACGTTCATCTAGTACTAAGAAGAAAATAAGTCGCATATTTCAGAGCTCTTACAGATAGAATGGTGCAAGAACGTGTCTGAGTGGACATATCACCTCAAACGCCTACCAAGTATCTTTTGCCCAAAACCCATCTTTGTAGAAATTAATTGTAAAAAACAATTCTTTTTTGGCTATTGCGGCGGAGGCTGTGTAACTGACCCCGCCTTCTGGCGGAGTCAAGCCAACTGAGACGAGATCCCATTGGGTGCAGCCGAGCCAGTCGCTCTCGCAGTCGGCGTCCGCCTCCTGGGTACCCCAGCTGGTCGATCAAAGACTAGGCTCCACCTCCGGCGCACCTCCGGCGCGCAGCCAGGTCCCTCTCTATAAAAGGAGCCGGCGGGCGATGACGAGCCCTTACGTTGGCGCGTCACAGGGGGCTGCGTGTGAGGTCATCGCGCGGGCGGGCGAGCGGGCGGGGTCGGGCGTTTGAACCAGACGAAGACGGAACCGGAGCTGGCGCGCGGGCAGTGGACGCGATTCCACCGAGAGCCGGTGAGTCGGCTAGCGGGCCCGGAGCGGCGGCTGTGGGGGTGGCATGATGGATCTCGGCCATGTAGCCCCTGTGGACGGCCGCTACACACGGCTGTGCTGTTCGGGCCGGGTGGGGGAAGGGCGGGGCCGTGACCCGGCGCGCGCGGCCTGGGCCGGGGGGCGCGCGTTCCGCTCTACCGGGGTGGGCCTGGGGCCGGAAGTGCGGGCTGCTCCTCGGCGGCCTGGGGCTTCCAGGCCGCCAAGGTGTGGAGCTTGCGGACGGCGGGGGAGGGGGGCGGGTCAGGCGCGCCTGGACCCGGTGGGGGGGGTGTGTGGGCATGGTGGGCCTGCAGGGAGCTCTGGAGACCCACAGTGTAGCAGCGGTGTTTCCTAAGGGTGGGCGTTCGTAGACCTGGTTCCGCTCTCTACTCTTCCGACCTTGGCTGGTGCTTTAACCTCAGGGCCTCAGCTTCCTCGTCTGTGAAACGGGGACGGTAGTACTAAGTAGAGAAGTCTTAGCACGCGTAACGTAAGCCAGCTCTTCTTCAAAGGGTGTTTGTCGAATGCCAACTGGGAACCTTGCTAAGCGCTGACTTTATACCCAGAAGTAGACAGGCAAAGACATGCTCCCCAGAAGTAGGCCTTGTGGGGAGGGAGCTAAGAATAAGAAAACGAATACACAGACAAGTTAATTTCTTGTAATTACTGGGAAGGCAGTGTAACAAGGTGATATCAGCAGGGCTTTCCCAGTCCCTGGTTAGCTGCGCCTCGGGTGCTGTGGGGCAGAGCCTGATCTCTGCCCTATGGTGGAGATGAGGATCCTAAGGCCCATTGAGGGAAGTTATGCCAGCCATAACTGATGAGATGTCTCTCTGGTAATGAAGATAGCTTCTTAGTAATTGACACTTGTCAGGCAGTGTATTCAATGCTTGGTGTGGCATTATATCTCTTAATATTCACACTGTTTTTAGAAGATAGTATCTTTGTTTTTATTTTCTTGACACCGCTGGGGATGGATCTCAGGGCCTTCCACATGTTAGGCGAGCACTGTACCACTCAGCTAAGTCCTCAGCCTGTCTTCATTTTACAGAGAGGAGTATGAGACTCTGAGCAGAGAAGTGACTTGCTTTATGCTTCCCAGCAAGTGTCTGAATCTGCATCTGTGACTCCAAAGTCCAGGCTCTTAATCTCCTTATTATGGTTTCTCCTGGAGGTACAGAAAGCACGTTGCCTGCAGATGCAGCCACTGTGAGGTGTGTCAAGTGCTTAAATGCAGTGTATGGTACATAGGGAAGCTGAGGACGTGGTCTGCTTTTCATTTTCAGCTAGGTGCTTTTACTTAGATTCTCATTAATCTTCACTACTTTGTGCAGAAGAGTTTTACCCATTTTACAGGTGAAGTGTTCTATCTAGGTCATAATAGCGGTACCTCCCTCTCTCCCTTCCCACAGGTCTCACGATTGTGCCTTGAGAATAATAGGGTTATCTTCAGCCAGCACTGAATTAGAATGAGTTAGGGACTCTGCTAGGAGAGCTGTTGCAGGTAGAGAGACCTAGGCAGGTGGTGGTAGTGGGTAGAGTTGTCGTGGTAGTTGGAACCTCGATCAGAGAGCCCAGGAAGGGTGAGGTTTGTGTGGTAATCATGGGTCTTCCATTGAGAGCAGGCAGTGGAATTGTTACTGAAGAAGGTGAATGGGAGCTGTAGTTCTGAGAACTAGGCCCTGCTTTGACTGCCTGGAAGAGCCAGTTAATTGACTGAGTCAGTGGATGTTTATTGCACATCCACAGGGTGCCTAAGCCCATGTATTAGTGGCTGTAGAGTTTGTGGAGCACATGGGACCAGGTATTAATGTATTGCTAATGAAAGAGTTTTAAATTATATGATGATGTAAGGTTATTAATGTTTTCTGAAGTGGGGTGTGGTCAGGAGACACACGTGGCTTTACCAGCTGCTTACATTTTATAGTAGCAAGACACAATATCTGGTGTATATATGAATATCACCAAGGTGGATTGCAAGTCCTCAGCCTGGGATTATGTTTTTTGTTGGGATGTTTTGCCTTGGTACCTGATACGGTTTGCTTTTCATTTATTCATTCAGGGATTTTAAACAGGAGAGAGGCTTGATCTGATTTGTGATTCAGAAAATTCTTTCTGGCTGCTGTGTCATACAGCTAATGAGATAGCCTCACATACAAACCCAGATCCTCAGCTGGGTCTGAAATTCTAAGCTCTGCATTGACTGGTTGCCTCCCATCCTAAATCTGGTCTGGAATGGTTCAGAAATGAAGAGATAATGCCAGTCCACTGTGGTAATTCCAGTTGTATATGTTTGAATGAAGTGCTCTGGAAACACAGGATTAATTTCCCAGTAGAGTTAGGAATTAAATTGCGTTTGTTGGTCTGTGGTCTTATCAGTTGATCTTGGAATGTTTAGAGTGTTGATGATTTGCTTTCTGAAAAAGTTTTTCTCTGACAATGTTCCTCATAGCCTGAAAACAAGTAACATTTACTGGGTGCTTGCTTTGTGCAAGGCACTGTGTCAAATGCTGGCAGGAATGTCTGACACAGAGCTGGTAATCATTTGCTTCTATTTAGACCTTCAGTCATCCCTGCTCATTAGATGGGAGGCATCTATCTCTTTTTGGTTCTCACCTTTTGTAGGTTGTGTGACTCTTGAGGTCTATAGTAGCTTAGTGTAGGAAATGCATTGGAGGGGGAGTATGCCACAAGAGAGCCGAGGGTTGGGATCTCATGGTTGTTCCAAATTGCTGTGTATCCCACACATCACCCATTGGCAATGTTGATTCAGTGAAATGAGGAAAATTATAAGTGTTCAAGGTCACTATAAAACCTACTGTTTTATAGTATGTCACTCATAATACTGCCCAGGGATTTCATTTAGATCTGGAGTAGCTTGCCCTTATTCTCATATTGTTGAGTCTTCCCTTCCTGTTTGTTGTCTCTTTACTCAAATTCAAGATAACTTTTTCAGACCTTAATGAGAACAAGACTCTGTCCTACTTAAAACAGTGGGCTTCTTTTTTTTTTTTCAATTTTGTATGAATCTCATTTATTAAAAGGGATTTACTGGTGGAGTGGCTCAAATGATAGAGTGCCCCCCTAGCCGAGCATGAGACTCTGAGTTCAAGCCCCAGTACTGCCAAAGAAAAAAATAATAACCAATAGATCAAACAAGATAAATTACAAAATACATAAATGAAATTAAAAACAGGGCTGGTGGAGTGACTCAAGTGGTAGAGCGCCTGCCTAGCAAGCATGGCACCCTGAGTTCAAACCTGAGAACTACAAAAAAAAAAAAAAAGTGGGATTTGAAGGCATTTTATAAGGATTATATCTAAAGCCATACTTCATTTGACTGTTCAGTGAAAAAATAGTGGGATTCTTTAATAGTTAGAAGAAAATCCAGACTCATGCTGTGGTCTGCAGGGCCCTAACCTCATCTGGGCTATTTCTACTTTTGTTCCTGGTTTAACTCTTGCTCACTGGGTGATTGACCCCTTCCTCCAGGTGAGGCTGCTTTCTTCTGATAAAGTCAGCTGTTGATCAGAGGCTTTCCCTGTCACATTTCCCCACCTCACTGCCTAGATTTTTTGGTATGAAATGATGTTCCTCTGTGTGTTGGGTCTGTGGCAGACGTCTTACCACCATAATGTGAAACACCTTGTGGACAGCACCTTGTCTCTCTTGCTTATCTGTTTTCCTGTTCCTAGAACAGTGCCCAGCATGTGATAGAGTTAGGAAATATTTGTTGAGTGCATGAGAGATGACTGGATTGGTGTTCATAGAGGATGGTACCCACATTTAGTAGTGTATTAGTGAGATTGTTAGGTGTGCGTTGTGTGCACCTGTAATCTAGGTATTCTGAAGGCTGAGGCAGGAGGCTCACTTGAGACTAGCCTAGGCAATATCGCAAGACCCTGTTCTCCTGTCACTCCCCCTCCCAAAAAAAAGAATAAGTAAATAAGTTAAAATAATTATAAAGTTAAATGAGATTTGTTGCTGTGTTATTATTTTTTTATTTTTGCAGTATTGGGTTTAAACCACAGGCCTTGTGTTGGTAGGCAAGCCTCTACTACTTGAGCCTTGCCTCCATTTATTTGTTTTGAATTTAAAAGTCTGGCAGAAGAGTGAGGGGCATTTCTGAGAATGGCTGGATGAGATTGGCCAGCAGTCTTAGGGCCTTCCTTTCTTTACCTGGGAAATGAGGAGAATGAAGTGATTGTGTTGTTAGGGCTAAATGACAAGTGTCTGGAAAGCACCTGGTGCTTAGTAGGCACTCACATATCCTCTAGTCCACAGAAGATTCTGTAGAAATTTATAGAAGGAATCTTCACCTGTTAGGTTGTCCTTTTTTTTTCTTCCTTTTTTTTGTGGTACTGGTCCTGAACTCAGGACCTTATGCTTGCTAGTCAGGCACTTTACCTTTTGAGCCACTCCCCCAGCCCTTTTTTTGTGCTGTGTATTTTTGAGATGGGGTCTTGAGAACTTTTTGCCTAGGCTGGCCTTGAACCTCACTCCTCCTGATCTCTGCCTCCTCAGTTGCTAGGATTATATGTGTGAGCCACCAGTGCCCAACTGTTGTCATTTGACACCACCTTACAGTACCTAGACTGTTGAAAATTATGAACGTATCATACCTGTATCCTAGCTACTTAGGAGGCGAGATAAGAGAATTAAAGTTTGAGGCCAACTTGGGCAAATAGTTTTGAGAGCTCCCCATCTCTAAATAACCGGAGCAAAATGGACTGAGGGTGTTGCTTAGGTGGTAGAGTGCCTACTTTGCAAGCACAAACCCTTAAGTTTGAACTCCAGTCCTACCAATTATGAAAGATTTTTTTTTTTTCGGTGCTGCAGATTCAAACCAGGCCTTGTGCGTGCTAGGCAAGTGTGCTACCACTGACCTACCCTTCACCCCAATGGTGAAAGTAGAAATAGTCTTTAATGAAAATGTAAGAAATACTGAAAGTATAAAGAATTAAGAAAAAGCCCACTGCTACTCTCTGAAGAAAAACTTCTATAACATTTTGATGTAGATTGGAAAGTTTAGACTGAATTTTTTTTTCTTTCAGTTTTAAGGAAATTTAGGGACCTAGTACATGCTAGTGAGCATTCTACCTTTGAAACACCCCCATCCCCCAAACATACACACCCATCCAGGCCTGTGTTTTTTCTTTTTGCAATGCTGGGGATTGAACCCAGCCTCAGCGCATGCTTACCACACTCCATACCAGCCCTTCACCTGTTTTCTAAATGGAATGTTCTTGTCTGTGCATTTTCATGAAGCACTTACTCATCCCTTTACTTAGTGCCTCTTACAGTTTATAATTTTAGGATCACTCATTAAATGAGACCTAAATTTTTGGCTGGCTGATTGTTAGACAATTTTCAGGGATCTTGCTGGAAGTCCAGGTTTTTTGCTGGAATCCTAGTGTCTGGTTTGACCCTCAATGAAGAAGGCCAGACTTAAAAAATTGAGTTCCCACAGGTTTTGCTGTCGGCAAGCCTGTGAAATGCTTGTCCTTACTTGCATACCAACTAAAATATGACTCCTTTTTCCCTTACATATTGTAGAAGATGGCAGTGAATGTATACTCGACATCAGTCACCAGTGATAACCTAAGTCGACATGACATGCTGGCCTGGATCAATGAGTCTCTGCAGTTGAATCTGACAAAGATTGAACAGTTGTGCTCAGGTAAGAGAAATCCACTAGACTTCTTTTCTAGGAATGTCTGCAGGTCCTTTGGAAATGTGCAGGCCTGTATCTGTAGAACCACACAGAGAACTGCCCATTTCTTCCTCTCAGCTCTACCCTTCTTCCTTTTCTAAAAGGCACTGTGCTTATAAAGAGAATGCTTCTGTAGAGGGTGTTCACTCTCTTCTGCAGAGACTGCAGCACAAGACCTCTCAGTCTATACTCTTGTAGCCAGATTTCAAATATTTATTCAAGGACAGTAATTATACTTGTTTTAGTTTTATTTAATTTTTAAAAACAAGTTTGGGTGCTAGTGATTGAAATCAGGGCCTCATACGTGTTAGGCAAGTGTTCTACCACTGAACAGTAATTCCAGAGCTTTTTTTTTTTTTGGTGGTATTAGGGTTTAAACTCAGGGCCTCACACTTACTAGACAGGTGCACTACCATTTGAGCTACTCCAGTCCTTTTTTGTGTTTTGAGTTTCTGAGATAGAGTCTCACGAACTATTTGCCTGGGCTGGCCTTGGACTGCAGTCTTCCTGATCTCTGCCTCCTGAGTAGCTAGGATTACAGGCATGAGCCACTGGCACCCAGCCTAGCCCTCTAGTTTTTATATTAATCTCTGACATTTCTTATTCTCAAGCAGAAGATCAAAGTTGGGCCAGTGCTGTTTGAGCCACAAATTTTATCAAACTACAATTTGCCAGAGAGGTAATGATTTAAAACAAGAACAAAAAACATCATCTGTTTCTGTGTATACTTACTGTATAACATTTATAAAAGTAGTAGAAAATGAAAATGCCTAGAATTGTATTATTCAGAACAACTTTGTCACCTTTCTGTATGTATGTATTCTATATGTATATTGATACATATGCATATGTTCCAGCTTTTATCATTTAAGAGTTTGTGGATATTCTCCAGTATCATTCAGTAACTTGGAAATATTTAAATTTGTTGGAGTTGCTTGATCTTATCCCAGTTTTTGGACATTCAGGTTATTTCCCATTTTTCCATTATTTATAATAACTAGATTGAATATCCTTTAACATTTTTTTCTTTTTTTTTTTTTTTTGCAGTACTGGGGTTTGGATTCAGGGACTTAAATTTGCTAGACAGGCACTGTACCACTTGTTTCACTCTGCCAGCCTTAACATGTATCTTTTGGGTTTTTTTTTTTTTTTTTTTTGCTCTACTGGGGTTTGAATTCAGGGCCTACACTTTGAGCCACTCCACTATCCCTTTCTTGTGATGGGTATTTTCGAGATAGTGTCTCTGGAACTATTAGCCCAGGCTGGTTTTGAGCCACGATCCTCTTTGTCTCTGCCTCCTGAGTGGTTAGGATTATAGGCGTGAGCCACCAGTATTGGCCCAAACGTGTCTTATCTCTGTTTATTTCTTTGGTGATTTCTAGAAGTAGAATTACTAGATCAAGGGTATGAACATTAGGCCCTTGGTAATTATTTCTCATGAAGATTTTATCTGTCTTCCTTTACAGATTTTTGTCTTACTTTTGAATTTTTCTGACTGTCCCTGACTTCAGACATGGTATAGAATGTGTCAGGATTGTCAAAACTGAATCTTCCACAGATGGAAGATGAGGTCAGGAATATTCTAGAAAAGGGATGTGTATTCTGCTTAAATTCTTGTCTTGGGGTCAGGGTTGTAGCTCAGCAGTGGTGGAGCACTTGTCTAACATGCACAAGGCTCTGGGTTTGATCCTTAGCACTGGAAGTTAAAAAGAAAAGAAGAAAAAAAATCAAGTGTTGGCAGCTGGGGCCATAGCTCAGTGGTAAAGTCCTTGCTTAACATGCACAAGGACCCAAGTTCAACCCCAGCACTAAAAAAAAAAAAAAAGTTAATGGGGCACAGAATCAAAACCCTCTGGTTTTCTGGATAATAAGGACAACAACCATTTACTTGGACGTTTGTGTGCCAGAGTTACACAAATGCTTTTCAAGCATCTCCTTCTTTTAATTGTCACTGTACTTCATGACATATTTTTGGTTATCAGTTTCATTCTCAGGATGGCTGAGAGATGTTGAGTAACAAGTTCATGTATATCCAGCTAAGGACTTGCACTTTTGTTCAAATCCAGAACCTGTGTTGTTCAACCTCTATACCTTACTTGCTTTTCGGACTTTTTTCTTTATGACTGGTACCATTTGGATTGATTTAAAATTACTAGTATCATTTATGTTTTTTTGTCAGCTCAGCTTTTGTATTTTTCAAAATTTTGTTTTTGTTTTATGGTATCACTATGGGGTTGAACTTAGGGCCTCACGCTTATTAGGCAGGCATTCTACCACTTGAACCTCACTGCCAGCCTTCTTCAAAAAATTTTTTTTTTTTTGCTGGGTCTTGGTTTTAGTTTCATTTGCTTGTTTTATTTCCTCTTTGAGGTTTAATCTCCATCTCACAGGTTTTACAGATGTTCAGAGGGATGCTATGTGTGAAGGTATACAGTAAAGCAGTGGTTCCCAACAATCTATTTTTTTTTTTTTTTTTTTTTCAATGCTGGAGTTTGAACTCAGGGCTTCATGCTTGCTAGGCAGGTGCTCTACCACTTGAGCCACTCCACCAGCCCTTTTTTTGTGATGGAATTTTTTGAAATAGGGTCTCATAAACTGTTTGCTTGGGCTGGCTTTTAACCTCTGTCCTCCTGATCTCTGCCTCCTGAGTAGCTAGGATTACAGGCGTGAGGCACCAGTGCCCAGCAACAATTACTTTTATCAAACCTTAATTATTTTGTTAGTCTATGACTAACAATTTAAGGCTAACAATTTAGCCTTACATTTGTGCTGCTTTCCCTCCATTTTCTATAGTTTCCTCAGTATCTTCACTTTTGGTTTTTTTGTTTGTTTTTGGTTTTGGTGGGAGTGGAGTTTGAACTCAGGGTTTCCTCATTGGCAAAGCAGGTGCTCTACCACTCATGCCACACCTCCAGTCCATTTTAGTCTGATATTTTGGAGATGGGGGTCTCATGAACTATTTGTCTTGGCTGACCTTGAGCTACAAATCCTCCTGATCTCAGCCTCCCAAGTAGCTAGGATTACAGGTGTGAGCAACTGGTGCCTGCCTTCCTTGTTCTATTTATTTAAGGCCTTTAAAGCGCTTGTTTACCCTGTGATCTATGACTAATGTGTGATGTCATTCTTGCCTTCATTGGAGGCAGCTTTGTCACCAGCAATTTCTCCCTAAAACTTTTCCTATAAATATTCATGTCACTTAACTGGAAAAGAGTTACCTCTTTTCCTGTGTAGGTAGGTTGCACTTGTGCCAGTCTGGCACCAGGTTTATCTCATTTAGACGGAACCGTCGTGGACAGGACTGGGCATGAAAAGGCTTCAGTCTGCTCTGGGCCATGTGACTTTGGAGGAGTCAGTTGATATTCTAGTTTCTCATCTGTTAAACTGGGGCAGTAGCACCTGGCCCACCTGTTTGACTGTTGTGAGGGTGCCTTGTAATAATAGCTCTTAGGTATTAATTGTTTGCCAGACCCTGGAGGTGAGTGAGTGACCTCTGGAGAGGACATGTCCGTGTTGCACAGATAGGAGATTGCTCATGTGGCTTATACATTGCCTATGGAGCCTGGTTTCGAATTGAGATCTTTCTGACCACACAGCACATATACTTTCTACGACATGCATCTTATATTTTAAAGAAACATTTGTTCTGTTTTTCTTTTGGGGAGCGGGCAGGACTGGGATTTGAACTCAGGGCTTCACCTTTGCAAAGCAGGTTCTCTACTGTTTGAACCATATCTCCAGCCCTTAAAGAAACATTTGGAAGAGTTGAACAAATATAATTACATATAATCAATGACAATGACACTGTTTCACTACAAAATCTGTGAAGTATTTCAGTTTTTTTAACAGCTGCCACTTTTCTTACCACAGATAAGGTGCTTTTCCCTAGTAGAAAGTGGTAAGTGCTAATTCATAAACAAACTTGTATTCATTCGTAAGTAGTCTTTCTTGAAAGCTGGGTAGAAGCTAACTTTGAGTACTAGCTGATAGCATTTGTCTTTCACTACTGTCCCTTCCAGTATGAGACCATAAAGGATGAGCTCAGATACTGCCCTGAAGAAGGCCTGCAGCCAGGGGATTGGAGACAAGGAGGCTCCTCCATCCCCTGTGGTTTCTGAGGCTGGAAGAGAATCTCTATAGCCTTTATTAGCACTGGTGCCTGCTTCCTGATCTTGCCTCTGGTGAGCAAAGGGTCAAGTAGACAAGAATTCACCTAGCACAGGCTTTAAAAGATAAAAACAGGTTTTTCTCAGGAGACAAATTTTTGAGGTGCCTATGAAGTGGCAAAGTTTTGTCAGCACCAGGAGCTCCCTGTCCCCAACAGTGTAATGAGCCTTTGATTGGCTCTGGTAGTGAGAAGAGGTGAGGTTAACTTTCAATGACAGAGTTGGCAGGTTGTTTTGAGATTCATTGTTACATTTCATAGTCTACTTTGGAGAGCTAGTCATCCAGTAGTTTGGAAAAATAGTGATCAGGAAAAAATTCGATCACAAGAGAATGATTTTGATAAGGGATTGCTTTTGTCAAAAAGACCACTAATTCTTTTTTTTTTTTTTTTTGCGGTATTGGGGTTTGAACTTAGGGCTTCATGTTTGCTAGGTAGGTGCTCTACCACTTGAGCCACTCCACCAGCCATTAGTTGCCTTTTGCCTACCATTCCTCTGTTCTGTCTGTAGTAGGGTAGTTCTCTGTATCAATCCTGGTAATGGAATGGGTATTTAGTTTACAGTTTGTTGTCCTTCCAGACTGTTGCGTTAAGTAGTATATACGAACACATGTATTTCCTGTTTTTAAAGTCAAAATAGTATTTTTCCTATTTCAAAACACCCTTTTTTTTTGCAAGTACTGAGGTTTGGACTTGGCCTTTGCTTGCTAGGCCTTACCACTTGAGCCACACTCCAACCATTTTTTGCTTTAGTTACTTTTCTGGTAAGGTCTTGCCTCTGGGACCAGCCTCAGACCTTGAACCTTCTGTTTGTGGGTTCACTTGCAGCTGGGAACGAAGATGTGTGCCACCATACCTGGCTTATTGATTGTGAGAGTCTTGCTAACTTTTTGTGTGGGTTCTCTGTGAACTGCAATCCTCCTGACCTCTGCCTCCCAAAATAGCTGGGATTATAGATGTGAGCCATTGTTGCCAGCCTCCATGTTGAAATATCTTGAGCCTGATTTTTAATGTCTGTATTAATGTCTTCATTGCCCTTTCTTCCCATATTTTATTCGCCGTTTTAGATGACTCAGGTTTCACCTACTTACTGAAGCCTGAACACTGTTACAGTTTATAGTCTTGTGTTCCCTTTATGTTAGTGTTAAAGCATTTGGGAGGTTTCTTCAGTTTTTTTTTTTGTTTGTTTTTTGAGAAAGGACCTCAAGATATAGCTTGGACTGGCCTTGGAGTCAGGATTCTTTTGCCTCAGCCTCTTGAGTTGCTGGAACTATAGGCATATGCCACCAGGCTTGATTTTTTCCTTATGTTTAGATTACTTCTTTGAGTTACATCCCCTCACCCCCATGTGTTTATTAGTCACTTACGTGTCTTCTATGAATTGTCCAAAAGCTTTATTTTTATTGGGGTCTTCCCCCCCAGTTCCAGTGCTGGGGATCAAATTTGGGGCATTATGTGTAGTAGGCAAGCACTGAAGTGCTGAGTTATATTCCCTTTGTCTTTTTGGTGGTACTGGGGTTTGACTTCAGGGCCTTGACCTTGTTAAGAAGCACTCTACCACTTGACCCATTCCTCAAAGCCCTTTTTGCTTTAGTTTATTTTTTATAGGGTCTTGCACTTCTGCCCAGGGCTGGCCGTGGAACACATTCCTCCTACCTCCACCTTCCTTGTAGTTGGAATTTTAGATGGGTACCACCACATCTGGCCCTTAATGTTTTTCTGTTCATATATTAATACTTTGAGCCAATGACAGTGAAATAGCAGAAAGTGAATCTTTTCAAGTGCATGGTATCTTTTTTTTTTTTCTTTTATTATTCATATGTGCACACAAGGCTTGGGTCATTTCTCCCCCCTGCCCCCACCCCCTCCCTTACCACCCACTCCATCCCCTCCCTCTCCCCCCACCCCCTCAATACCCAGCAGAAACTATTTTGCCCTTATTTCTAATTTTGTTGTAGAGAGAGTGTAAGCCATAATACCCAGCAGAAACTATTTTGCCCTTATTTCTAATTTTGTTGTAGAGAGAGTATAAGCCATAATAGGAAGGAACAAGGGTTTTTGCTGGTTGAGATAAGGATAGCTATACAGGGCATTGACTCACATTGATTTCCTGTGCATGTGTGTTACCTTCTAGGTTAATTCTTTTTGATCTAACCTTTTCTCTAGTTCCTGGTCCCCTTTTCCTATTGGCCTCAGTTGCTTTTAAGGTATCTGCTTTAGTTTCTCTGCGTTAAGGGCAACAAATGCTAGCTAGTTTTTTAGGTGTCTTACCTATCCTTACCCCTCCCTTGTGTGCTCTCGCTTTTATCATGTGCTCAAAGTCCAATCCCCTTGTTGTGTTTGCCCTTGATCTAATGTCCACATATGAGGGAGAACATACGATTTTTGGTCTTTTGGGCCAGGCTGACCTCACTCAGAATGATGGTCTCCAATTCCATCCATTTACCAGCGAATGATAACATTTCGTTCTTCTTCATGGCTGCATAAAATTCCATTTTGTATAGATACCACATTTTCTTGATCCATTCGTCAGTGGTGGTGCATCTTGGCTGTTTCCATAACTTGGCTATTGTGAATAGTGCCTCAGTAAACATGGGTGTGCAGGTGCCTCTGGAGTAACCTGTGTCACAGTCTTTTGGGAAGTGCATGGTATCTTAAGAGGACTTCTAATGATGTGTAAAAGAGCAGTGGACAGAAATCAGAATGCTTGGATATGGTCCTAAGCTTGGTCTCTGGCTTCTGTGATACTGGGCCACAATTTTTGGTCATTGTTTAAAAATTTTTACCCAGTGTTGAGGATTGCCTTAGGGGCCTTGAGCTGTGTAGGCAAGCATTCTACCACTGAGCTACATTCCCAGCCCAGGTGTGAGTTTTTAAATTTATAATGTCTCTAAGCATTCTTCTAGTTCTAAAATAAAAACTGTGATAGTTCTTTTCCTGAGAAGCAGGTGACTCTTGCTTTTAAGTCCCATGGAAGATTTGAGAATACTTTATTTTTAGTAAATGTGTATTATTTTGCTATTTCAGAAGAATGTCCTTTTTTGCATGTGAAATAGTCCTATGTAAAACAGTACTGTGAGTACAGATGCTTAATAAATCACCTGTGGGGTTTTTTTTTTCTCTTTTCTTCCTCATGGGACTTCATGCTTGCAAAAACAGGTTCTCTACTGTTTGTGGCATGTCTCCAGTCCTTTTTGCTCTGGGGGTCTTGCAGACTACTTGCCTAGGCTGGCCTTGAACCGTGATTTTCCCGATCTCAAACTTCCAGGGAGCTAGGATTATAGGCATGAGCCACTGATGGCCAGTATCTATGTAGTTTTATTTTTTTACTAGCTTATACTAATTGTACCAAATATTGGGTTTCATTATGACATTTTTGGATTTTTTTAAAAAGTTGATTTATGTAGGGCATAGTGGCTCGTACCTGTAATCCCAGTTACTTGGTAAGCAGAAATGGAAAATCATGGTTTGAGGCTAGCTAGGGCAAAAAGTTTGTGAGACCCCCCCATCTCAACTAATAAGCTGAGTATGATGGTATATATCTCTAATTCCAACAATGTGGAAGACGTAGGTCTAAGGATGGCCCTAATCAAAAAGCATAAGACCCCATCTGAAAAAATAAAGCAAAGAAAGGACTGAGGGCATGGCTAGCAAGAGCAAGGCTGAGTTCAAAACTATAGTTTTGTTAATAGATTTTTAAAAGTTGACTTTGAATTCAAGTGGTAATGAAGCTTTTGGTTTGTATAGGACCACTTTATAGCTTTTTAAATTTTATTTGGGTAAATGCTTCTTTCATAGCATTCAGTGATGCAGTGTTTATTGTCTTATTGTTGTTGTTCACTCAGGAGCTGCCTATTGTCAGTTTATGGACATGCTATTCCCTGGCTCCATTGCCTTGAAGAAAGTAAAATTCCAAGCTAAGCTAGAACACGAATATATCCAGAACTTCAAAATACTACAAGCAGGTTTTAAGAGAATGGGTGTTGACAAAGTAAGTAAATTTCATTCCTTTCTTTAGGTTAATTTGGAAGGTAGCCCATGACTTTGAGATTTTTCTTTTTCCTTTCCCCAATTTATATAGCTCTCTTTTCTCTAGTTAATATGTATTTATAGGAAGCAAAGTTTTCCTCTCTCCTCCTATCTCTGCTTCCTTTTCTGTCTTCTTTCTTTACCAACTGAGTTTAGTAACTATTTGGAGGAGTCAACTCTACATCTGTACCAGTGATTTAAAAAAAAAAAAAAGATTAATCTCTACTATTTTGGGAGCTAACGCTCTTTAATCTCTGGATTTACTTCTTTCTTTCTTTTTTTTTTTTTGTTGGTACTGGGATTGAACCCATGAATTGAACCTCATGAATGTGATTTACTTATGTAAAGCACACTGTAATCCAACAGAATAATTTCCAGTAGAAAATATTTGATTTTTATGGCAGGGCCATGGAGGATCCCTGGTGTGCTGGGAAGCTCCCTGTTGTGCCTGAGGTTATTTAATGGTACCAGAAATTGTTTACCAGCTTTATTAGCACAAATAATTACCTTTGTTTTAGTGGTTAATAGAGTATGCTAAAGTAAGCAGTTATTATTTTTCTCCCCCACATTAGAACAGCTTATCCTTTTAAACCATTTTTGGGGGAGGATAACTTTTCTTTTGATAAAGCTTACTGTCCTCGATAATTTTTTTTTTAATTTTAAAATCAGTTCTTATTTTTGTTTTAGTTTTATTTCTGTGCAATGTATAATGTATAAAGTAAGCATTTGCATTATAAGAATATCATTTAGTTTTTAGGCATAGATTAAGAGTAGCCTATATACAATGACTTTTCTACTCTTTTTTATGAAATTATATTCATTTTGAGCCTAGGTCTTGTTATGTAGCCCAAGCTGGCCTTGAACTTGTGATGGTCCTGCCTCAGCCACCCTAGTGCTATGATTTCAGGTGTGAGCCATCATGCTTGGCTTTATTTTTTGTTTTTTTTTTTTTTCATTTTTCTTTTATTGGCTTTATTTTTTGAATGTGGAAAGATTCTAAAAGTATACAAAAGCAGAATAGTGTAATGTACTCCCTCCCCTGTGTACCTCAGTGGTTATCATAGTCAGTTGTGTTTTAACTCTATCTTACCCTGTGTCCTTCTGAATTATTTTGAAGGGAACCCAGACATTTTTTTTTTTGTGGGAGGGGTTATAATACTGGGGTTTAATTCAGTGTTTCACAGTCTACTGCTTGAGCCACACCTCCAGCCCCAATTTGTGTGTGTGTGTGTGTGTGTGTGTGTGTGTGTGTGTGTGTCTTACTCCATATCTAACCCAGGCCTCACACATGCTAGGCAGACTGTCTACCACTGAACTATATCCCCAGCCCCAGACATGTTTTATTAGAAAATGTTTCAATGCCAAGTAATTAAAAAAAAATTGTCAGAGGAGTATAGTTTAGATTATATTACTTTTTTGATATTAAAACATTTTTAATTGGCACATATTATTCATTGTACGTATTTTCTTCCCTCCCTTACCCCCCCCCCACCCCCAGCTTTCTAGCCAGGTGCTCTACCACTTGATCCATGCCCTTATCCCTTTTGCTTTAGTTACTTTTCAGATAGGGTGCTGTATTTTAACCTGGGGCCGGCCTTGGGCCTCCATCCTCCTACCACTACCTCCCATGTAGCTGGGATTATAGATATTTGCCATCACATCCAGTTTGTTCTGTGAGATAGGTCTCAGTAACTTTTTGCCCAGTCTGTCTTCAAACTGTGATCCTTCTGATCCTTCTGGCTTTATAGGTTAAGCCACCATGCCTGCATTAACTTTTTTTTTTTGAGTGACAGTTCTTTGCTTTGAAGCTTGCGGCTGATTTCACACTTGAGATTCCCTGCTTCAGTTTCCTGAGTGCTAGCTAGGGTTATAGGTGTTTACTACCATTCCTGGCAGGGTTTTCCCTTCATAGTACAACGACACATCTTAGAAAGGTTTGGTTTATATATGTGACTTAGATGATACTTGTTCCTTTTTCATTTCAGATTCCTTTTCATAACTTTGAGGGATTGGGTAGGGATTGGTACTCTTTTGAAGGCAAAACGAATGAAACTTGCTCTTTTAACTTGTAGGGCTTAGTATAAAGTTCTCTAAAATACATTTTTTCTCCCTTTGATAGAGCTTTATGCTGATTTGGACTTATGGGCCAGTTTGATACTTGCCAAAAACTTTCTCTTTGGGGCCTATAAATAATTTTTTTTTTTCTGCAGATAATTCCTGTGGATAAATTAGTAAAAGGAAAGTTTCAGGATAATTTTTGAGTTCGCGTACAGTGGTTCAAGAAGTTTTTTGATGCAAACTATGATGGAAAAGACTATGACCCTGTAGCTGCCAGACAAGGTCAAGAAACTGCAGTGGCTCCCTCCCTTGTTGCTCCAGCTCTGAATAAACCGAAGAAACCTCTCGGCTCTAGCAGTGCAGGTAAGGAAAAAAACTCAAAAAACCATAAACCTCATTTCTAGTAGCTCCAGTGCTCATTCAGCATTGAACCAGAGTTTATTTATTTATTTATTTATTTATTTTTGGCGGTACTGAGTTTGAACTCAGGGCCTACACCTTGAGTCACTCCACCAGCCTTTTTTGTGTGTGTGTGTGATGGGTTTTTTTGAGGTAGGGTCTCAGAAACTATTTGCCCAGGCTGGCTTCGAACCATGATCCTCCTGATCTCTGCCTCCTGAGTAGCTAGGATTACAGGCATGAGCTGCTGGCGCCTGGCAGTTTAAATTTTTAAAAAAAAATGTTTTGGTATTTGGGTTTGAACTCGGGACCTCACAAATGCTAGGCAAGTTTTCTATCACTGAGTTATGTAGACTCTTAGCCCTGAATCAGTATTTTTTGAGTAGCAATAAGCTTGGGGATCTTCAGACATGTGGAAAGAGCATGGATTTTGGCATTAGGCAGTTCTGTGTTCTCTGCAGCTCTGTGTGAGCCCCTCCATCTCTGCTCAATCATTTCCTCCTCTGTAAAATGGGAGGTTTAGTACTTGCCATAGAGCATTGCTTTTGAGGACTGAATGAGTTACTGTATGCTCTTTTGCCAAAGCTCTTTGGTTGTGTGGAGTAGAACTAAGGTTAGCTTACTAAGCAGGCTTTACTTATGTTGAAAATTGGGCATTTCATAGGACCCTAGGAATGTAAGTTATAATTAGTCCTGAAGTCTAGGACCTGAAGAATCTTTCTAGGTCTCAGGGACTGTCCTAGGCTGTCATCATCATGCTGTCTGTAGATCAGCTTTCTCAGCTTACTCTAGGCTTCCCTGCCCTCCCTAGAGCTTTAGCTGGCGAACAACTGTGGCTTAATTTGATGCTAATAAAGTTTGGGAAGCAGGGGGAAACAATTTTCAGAAGGCATTGGCTTGACATGTTTCCCAAGGTGTGTTTACAGTAGTATATTCATAGAACATGTACATTGGGGCAGGATAGATTTTCTACAATTGCTAATTCCTTCTTTTCCAGAGGTGGCGAGAACATTAGTTAAGGTCTCATACATGGTACCCAGAGAGATCTGATTCATCTGGTTGGTTAGAGAGGGTGGGTTGAGTACTTCTTTGAACAGTGTTATTGAGATATATTTATATGCCACACATTTCACCTATTTAAAATGTTTAATGATTTTCTTTTTAATATATTCAAGGAGTTGTGTAACCATTACGACAAAACAATTTTAGAACATTTTAGAACCTCATGCGTGCTCTGTAGCAGTCATTTCTCATTTCCCTGTAACTTTTCCCTTCCCCAGCCCTAGGTAACCACTAATCTACTTTAATTGATTTGCCTATTCTGGACATTTTTTATAAATGAAATCATAGACTATGTGGTCTTTGTGTCTGACTTCTTTTACTTAGCATAACGTTGTCAAAGTTCATCTGTGCTAGATAGCACTTCATTTTTCTTGCAGAACAGTATTCCATTGTGTGCCTATTCCTCATTTTATTTATTTGTCAATTGATGGTCCTTTGAATACTTTCTGCTTTTTCACTGTTACGAGTAGCAGCACTGTGAAGATTCATGTAGTTTCTATGTGGACACATGTTTTTTCATTTCTCTTGGGAGTATGCCCAAGAGTATATATTGTGGAATAGAATTCCTGGATCACATGGTAGGTAACTCTGTTTAACCTTTTGTAGAGCTACCTGTTTTTCAAAGTGACTAAACCATCGACAGTACCATGAACAGTATATGAGGGATCACATTCCCCCAGATACTGTGTACTTTGATTCTTCAGCTGTTTAGAATGGCAACTGCATAGGTAACCTTCTATATTTCATATTTCAGATGCTGCTAACAGTTGAGTGGAGATTTGTAATAAGCATTTAGTTTTCAGGATAAATGTATACTAGAAAGAGTCATCCAGAGGAAATGACTGTTACTGTGGGGGAAGGCTTGTGCTTACAGATTTTGGGGTAGGCAGAAGGCCTGTGGTTACAGGTTTTTGGGTATTGGGAAGATTAACTATATCTAAGCCTGGCATAGTGTACATGTTTTGTAGAATAACTGCTTGATGAATAAGAAGAGTCAGGAATGATATATTTATCCTGAGGCACCCCATTCATGATTATTTTAACTTTATATAGGTTAGTTGCATTACTGCTTCATCTGCTTTTGATTGTAAATACTGGGAGAAGTCTATAAATCCTAATCAGTGAGATGCTTTTCTATCCTGATCTAAACACCTTCTAAAGGGTGAGCAGAGATAGTGGTTTTGACGTCATAGTGGTGAGAGAAAGTTCTACCAGCCTTATGGACATCTTCCTTCTTCTGGAGGGAAGTCTGAGGTTATGAGTTAGGAAGGTTCAGGTTTTCCATATAAAGCATAGAGGTCACCAGCAACAGTTGGGATATGATCTACTCCTGGTAGGAAGATTGCTTGTGGTCCATGTAGCTAGCTGCCCTGTTTGTGGATTTGATGGGAGCTGTGTTAAAAGTAAATCATTTCTACCCACCAGAATGACTGTACCTCTTTCAGAGGACAGTACTGTTCACTGCAGCAGAGAAAAGACCTCACTGGAGGACTTAACTCCCAGCACAAGAGAGCGTAGCTAAAATTAGTACTTAGGTCTGCTGCCACGATAAAAACCACTTTTGGCAAATGTGGGGTGTTGACTTACATGCTGGAGTTCTCTAGCATTGGTTTCCTTCATTGAATGTCTGTGGAAAGCCGTTGATCATAGCCTTACCTTGCTGTCTTGTGGGTTTCTGTTTGTTTTTGAAATTTCGTCTCTTATATAATATTTAATCCTCTCTCAGCTCCACCAAGGCCCATTTCGACACAGAGAACTACTGCAACTCCTAAGGCTGGCCCTGGGGTAGTGCGAAAGAATCCTGGTGTAGGCAATGGGGATGATGAAGCAGCCGAATTAATGCAGCAGGTAGGTACTCCTGTGTCTAGGATATCAGTTGCTCTGGTTTTTTCTTGCTGCAGGAACCAAGGAGGGTTCCCTACTTGCCAGATCAGTCCTGCTCACACACCTGTAGTGTGGAGAGTGAGCATGGGGGGTTTGGGAGGAGGGGTCAGGCATTTCTGTGCTCTGCTAGTACAACACAGACCTGTCTGTTTGGAAACCAGCCCTTAGAGCAGAACCTTGTTGGATGTTTCTGGGATGTTCTCAGGGTTTCTGGGATTCAGAGAGTGAAAGGTAAAGCAGTTACTTTCTGGAAGTTGTACTTGAGTAGAGCTGGTATGAAAGGCCTATTAGTCTTTTGGTTCTGTCTTTACGAATTTAGTGATTCAATGAAACATATTCTGGATAAAATATTCTTAAAGTTTTTGTTAAAGATCTTGTTTTTTATTTTTTATTTTTTGGGGAGGGGGAGGTGATAACTAGGGTTTGAACTCAGAGCTCCTTGCTTGCAAGGATTGGACATTCTTAAGTCTTCCTGGAGAAATTTACATATTTTGTTTGAGAAAAGGTCTCACTATTGTAGCCCAGGGTGACCTTGTACTTGTGACCCTCCTGCTCAGCCTTTTCAGTGCTGAGATTAGACATGCACCACCATGCTTGGCTCAGATTTTTAATGATCTCACAAATACGCATTTAGAGGAGTGCCAGGTAAAGCCACTGACTTGGTATATACATATTTGTTTCTTTTGTATATATAGTCATTGAGTGTTATGATGGACAAATGATATTTTAGCCTTATAGGTGGGACTCAGAAGACTTTGGTGGCCTTGATGACTTGTAGGACACAGGAGAGTTAAAATGAGTTTGTGAGGTTGGCATTAGTGAAATGTGGGTGTACAGTGGGACTGAAAGCTAGTGTTCTTTTTAGGAATACAAATAGGTAAAGAAACTGTCAAAATATCCCTATTTGCAGATAATATGATCCTATACCTTAAAGACATAAAAAAACTCTACCCAAAAACTCTTAGACACCATAAACAGATATAGCAAGGTGGCAGGATACAAAATCAACTTAAAAAAATCATTAGCTTTACTATACACCAACAGTGAAAAAACTGAGAAGGAATACATGAAACAATTCCATTTACAATAGCCTCAAAAAAAATCAAATACCTAGGAGTAAACTTAACAAAAGATGTGAATGACCTACAAGGAGAATTATAAACCCCTGAAGAAAAGAGATTGAGGAAGACTACAGAAGATGGAAAGATCTCCCGTGCTCATGGATTGGAAGAATCAACTTACTAAAAAAAAATAGCTATACTATCAAAAGCAATCTACATGTTTAATGCAATTCCCATCAAAATCCCAATGACTTTCATCACAGAGATTGAAAAATCTACCCTAAATTTCATTTGGAAACACAAGAGAGCACAAATAGCCAAGGCAATACTCAGCAAAAAGAGCAATGCTGGCGGTCTCACATTACCTGACTTCAAAAGCAATAGCAATAAAAACAGCATGGTCCTGGCACAAAAACAGACATGAAGACCGGTGGAACAGAATAGAGGACCCGCATATGAATCCACACAACTATACCCACCTTATTTTTGACAAAGGTGCCAAAAATATAAGATGGAGAAAAGACAGCCTCTTCAACAAATGTTGTTGGGAAAAGTGGTTATCCATCTGCAAGAAACTAAAGCTAAATCTGTGTCTATCACCCTGTACTAGTATCAACTCTGAAGTTAATACAGGAAGGAGCAGGAAACACTCTGGAACTAATAGGTATAGGCAAGGACTTCCTCAGTAGAACCCCAACAGCCCAGCAACTAAGAGAAAGAGTGGACAAATGGGACTTCATAAAATTAAAAAGCTTCCACACAACAAAAGAAATAGCCTCTAAGCTAAAGAGACCACCCACAGAGTGGGAGAAAATATTTGCTAGCTATGTATCAGACAAAGGACTGATAACCAGAATATATAGGGAACTTAAGAAACTAAACTCTCTCAAAATCAATGAACCCATTAAGAAATGCGCAACTGGACTAAATAGAACTTTCTCAAAAGAAGAAATTCAAATTGCCAAAAAACACATGAAAAAATGCTCACCATCTCTAGCCATAAAGGAAATGCAAATCAAAACCACACTGATTCCGCCTCACCCGTTAGAATAGCCATCATCAAAAACAGCACCAACAACATGTGTTGGTGAGGATGTGGGGAAAAAGGAACACTACTCGTACACTGCTGGTGGGAATGCAAGCTGGTGCAACCACTCTGGAAAAAAATTTGGAGGCTTCTTAAAAATCTAAACATAGACCTGCCATATGATCCTGCAATGCCACTCCTGGGGATATACCTGAAGGAGTGCGACACAGGTTACTACAAAGGCACCTGCACACCCATGTTTATTGCAGCGCTATTCACAATAGCCAAGTTATGGAAACAACCAGCATGCCCCACTACTGATGAATGGATCAAGAAAATGTATTTATACATTTTCTTCCATTTATACATAATGGAATTGTACTCAGCCATGAAGAAAAATGAAATCTTATCGTTTGCAAGTAAATGGATGGAACTGGAGAACATCATTCTGAGTGAGGTTAGCCAGACTCAGAAGACCAAAAATCATATGTTCTCCCTCATATGCGGTCTTTAGATCTAGGGCAAATACAGCAATGTTGTAGGACTTGGGTTACATGACAAGGGGAGAACATATACAGGAGGTACGGGGTTAGATAGAAAACCCAAAACATGAAAGCATTTGATGTCCCCACTCCAGAGGAATTAATACAGAAACTAAAGCAGCAGAGGTCAACATGAGAAGGGGATCAGGAACCAGTGTAAAGATCAGTTAGAGATGAATCAACCTGGGTTGTAACACATTTGTACATGAAAGCAATGCTAGCAATCTCTCTGAATGGCTGTCCTTATCTCAACTAGCAAAAATGCTATGTCTTTCTTATTATTGCTTGTTTCTACTCTTCAATAGAACTGGAGAAAGGCGCAGAACAGGTTCTGCCTGGAAGGGAGGAGGGGGAGGGTGTGGAGGTGGGGGCAGGAGGGAGAAATGACCCAAATAATGTATGCACATGTGAATAAATGAATTAAAAAAAAAAAAAGCTAGTGTTCCTTTTTAAGATGTTTACTTCCTTTTCTCCTTGGTTAACTGAGGGCACCAGGCTGTTGTTAGAAGGCCTCTTCTCTGCCTTTTGGATGGTAGAGCTGAAGCTCTGAGGCAGCTTTTTGCTGCTGGGCTGGTCATCTTTTGCCCCTCTGTCCCCTCCCTTCTCAGATCCTACTTTGGGGCTGTTAGTTTCCGGAAAGTCAACAAGCTGTAGCAAAAGCAGGAGTGGGTGGAATGGGGAAATAGATTTTAGCTTTGCTGGCCATCAGGTGATGGTGGTGCTGTTTCAAAGTGATTTCTGCAATTTTTTTTTTCCTGAGCATATTATGCAAATATTTATTTGAAAATATGTCTCATTGCAGTGCTATAGATTTTGAGCAACACAGAACACAGATATGTAATAAAATTAAGAAATTTAATGGACAAGGTCAAGAGATACAAATAGGATAGAATGGTTTAGGTGATCACAGGATGGGATGAGAGAAGTAAGATGCAAGTACTGTTAACACTAGAGAGAAATTTGTAGACATGTGAAAGTTTTCAACAATTTCTATAATTGATAAAGAACAGTGAAAAACTTTTTAGAACATTGTTTCTGGTTTGGCTTGCTCCGAACTTCCATGATGAGCTTTGAGGTTAGGGGTCTGGCAGAATTATCTGTTGCTTCACTCACATGCTCCTCATTTCTGAATGCTTTTTGTTGTTGCATGTGCATCTGGGATAGAACCCAGGCCCTGATGATACAAGGCAAGCTACATCCCCAGCTCCTCTGAATTCTTCTTTTTTTAAAAAATGGCACTGGTGTTTAAACTCAGTGATGCTCTAGCGCTTGTGCCACGCCCCCAGCTCTGAATTCTTTTTGACTGTACCCCTGGATGAAATTTGATCTCCTCAGCTGTATTTGGTTTCTTTCCCAGGCTATGGGGAAGTGTGATCAGCTGCCTGCCTCTGTGTTTGCCAGTGGTACATTTGGAAGGTTGCGCTAGGTGATTTCTGGTACCTCGTAGTGTTCTCAGAATTTGCTCTTGCCCAGATCGTTCTCTCTGGTGTGCTTTTGATTTCCTGGTTTGACTTTCCATGCTGTTTTGTGGCCCTAGCATATAGATCAAAAGTTTTGTGAGCATTTTATGCTGCATGGTATCCCATGCAGTTTGCATTCAGTGTGACTTAAATTCACTTATCATAGATTTGTATACACTGGAAAGAAGGTGCACCGTGGCTAAAGTACACAAAGGACCCTGAGTTGTTGTGACTTTTACTGATTTCGGCTAGAGTCCTGAGATTTATTTTTTTAAATTTTTATTCTTTTTGATACAGAGTCTTGCTAGGTAGTTCAGGCTCATCTTAAAACTGATGATCCTCCTGCCTCATCCTCCCCAGTAGGATTAAAAGGCATGTACCATCATGCCTGGTGAGATTTGTTTCTTTTCTTTTTCTTTTTATTTATTAAAAAAATTTTTTTGTGGTGTTGGGGATTGAACCCAGGCCTCAAGAATGCTAGGCAAGCTGGGAATGAGCTGTATTCCCAGCCATTCTTTGAACCAAGGTCTTGCTATGTTATGTGTAGCCCAGGCTGTCCCTCAGATTCCCAAGTCTGGGACTACAGGTGTGTACACCATGCCTGGCAAGATTTCTTTCTTAATAGCCCTTCAGTGGGGCTAGTGGGAGATCACACTCTTTACTTTCCTATGATTCCATGTATACCCAGACTTTGACTTGATTGGCCAGTCCCTTTGGTAAAGACTCAATTTGTGATTGTCCTCATCTTGCCAGGCTGGATTGTAGATTCTACTTCAGGCTTCCTTAGTTTTTTTTACTGGCTCCTTTTTTTAGTTCCTGAATTTTCAATGTATAGCCCTTTCTTGGGAGTTATTACAGTTAAGTTTGTCTTGAACTCAGGGTTCACACTTGGAAAGCAGATACTCTACTGCTTGAGTAACACCTCTAGCCATTTTGCTCTGGTTGTTTTGGAGATTGGGGGGGTGGGGGGGGTGTCACCAGCTATTTGCCTGGGCTGGCCTTGAACTGCAGTCCTCCAGATCTCAGTCTCCCAAGTAGGATTACAGACATGAGCCACCAGCACCCGGCATGGGTTAGAAGTTTGTGTGATATTTTATTGATGTACCAATGCCAGATCCCTTACCCTTTTTAATGCATTGTGCAGGTCAAAGTATTGAAACTTACTGTCGAAGACTTGGAGAAAGAGAGAGATTTCTACTTTGGCAAGCTAAGGAACATTGAACTGATTTGCCAGGAGAATGAGGGGGAAAACGACCCTGTGTTGCAGAGGATTGTAGACATTCTGTATGCCACAGATGTAAGTATTCACATGAAGATACTATCTTTCCATTTTGCCAACTCAGAAAAAAATAAATTTAATATAGTTGGTTTTAGCACACTGTGCTGAAGCTTATGTCCATTGTAGCATTCTTAAAAGATTTCATCTTTGATCCCTCAGAGTCAGCCAGCACCTTTTCCCAGCTTTAGTCTCTACCTTGAGGTCCACGAACCTTTGAGGAAGCAGTGGGACAAAGAGGTGGCTGGCTGGCTTGCTGAGCCTCTGTAGTTTGTAGTCACTGAAAGGCCACAAAATGCTCTTAGCCTGAAATGCCCTCCATTCCCAATCCATCACCTGCAGCTTGAGGTGCTACCTCCATTTACTAGCACCCCAGCCATGTTCTCTGTCCTGTTATGATGTTTGGTGCCCCTAGCTGCCAGGGTGTGCTTTTGCTTCTCCCTCAGGAACTTGCCTGTTTTCTAGTCCCTCAGAGTCCTTTGTGGTAAGTTTCTTTGGAACCATGTTTGTTGATAACCAAGTGTGCTATATTAATCATAACATGTTAACTGATCAGGGAAGACTGATTTTCTCTAGATTTAGGATTTTGTATTTGGATCTGTCTACTGTTTAATAGATACAATTTCGCATGCCTAGTAAGGTCTGTGGGCTCAAACACTGTACAAATACAAAGTAGTACAAATATAAAGTAGTAATAATGCTTTTATTGATGTGTTCTAAACATTTCTTGTGAATTTTGGGGGATTCAGACAGATGGCTAAAAAGCTGATAATAAAACAGATCTTTAGGACTTGATCTGTGCTAGATAATAAAAATGAAGATGAAGATGCAGGGTCTTTGGTTTAGTCTTGAGTATTTTAGTGGAGGCACATTTTACGTACATTCAGCAATAGAGATTTAGTTTGGAAAAAAAAAAGGTGTGGTGCATGTCTGTAATCCTGGTACTCAGGAAGATCTTCAGTTTGAGGTCAGTCTGGGTTACGTAGTGAGACCGCCTCAGAAAAACCAAGGCTGTGGCTGTAACTCAGTTGAGTGCTTGCCTAATATGCGTAAGACCCTGGGGGGTTTGATACTCAACACTGCGGTTATGATAGTATAGTGTACCATTCCCAGCTATAAATACATGAGATGCCTTGGAGTAGGCATTATGTGGGAGCCTCAAATCTGATGTTTTAGGTTAAACATGGTTCCTAAGTAAAACAAAAGGAATGCATAACAGAAAAGCTAGTGGTTTATTGAAGTTAGATGATAGAATACGGGAGACTTGAGGGGTTTTTGTGGGCAGTTTTCTTTCTTTTTTAAAACAACTTATTGACCTGTAATAAACTGCACATATTTATTTATTTTGTCCATGTTGGGGTTTGAACTCAGTTCCTCATGCTTGCTATGCTTGTGCTCTACTGTTTGAGCCATGCCTCTAGTCAACAACACATATTTTAAATGTACATTTGATGACATGTGAAATCAGACAGCAAATATTTATCACCTTCAAAAGTTTTGAGGGCAAATTTGTTTGTGCTTAGTTTTGGCTTCATGTAACAAGCAGTTCCACTGTCCAAAAAATAAAAGTAGTGATAATAAAGTAAGGGTTACCTGACCCATGTGATTATGTGCTAGGTATGTGGTAGAGACAAGAAGAAATGTCTCATTTGAGAGGCTTTAAACGTGAGGAAGGTGACCCACAGTACAAACAGATCATTCCCAGCTGAGTAATACCTTTCTCCTCTCATTTTCCCATTTTAGGAAGGCTTTGTGATACCTGATGAAGGGGGCCCGCAGGAAGAGCAGGAAGAGTATTAACAGTTTGGACCAGCAGAGCAACATCTGAATTCTTCACTCCAAATCATGTGCTTAACTGTAAAATACTCCCTTTTATTATTCTTAGAGGATTCACTGGTTTTCTTTTCATAAGCAAAAAGTACCTCTTCTTAAAAGTGCACTTTGCAGAAGTTTCACTCCTTTTCTGATAAGTTTGAGTTAGGAGCTTTTACCTTGTAGCAGAGCAGTATTAACATCTAGTTGGTTCACCTGGGGAACAAAGAGGCTGACCATGGGGCTCACTGTGTGGATGCTGGTCACACTGATTGCTGGAGAAGGTGTTTGGTATAACACACTGAGGTGGTGACCTCAGTTGAGAAATGTAAAGACTGAATTGAATTTCAAGCTAATGTGAAATCTTGGCAGAGAACATTTTAATAAATAAATGCCTTAAGAGTATTTAAAATATGCTTCCATGTTTCAAAATAGAAAATGTAACATGACAGAAGATGTTATGTGTCTGACATTGTGTCTGGGAAGGAAGGGCCAGAACTTTGGGAATCTGCTGTCTTAGGCCTTGCAGGACTGCTTAAATCCTCACAGGCCTAGTCTTTGGCCCAAAAGGAAAGTTTAAAAAGTAAAATGCGTCTGTAAAGCCATTTGGTGTCATTGACCAGTTGCTTCCCTGCTAAAAGCAAGTGATGTGGTTGCCTGGGTGCATTTCAGCCTTGAGATGTTTTGAGGTGAAGAACTCAGTTTTCACTGAGCGGTCCTCTGATGATTTTTTCAATTAACCCCGAAATTTCTATGTATTGTGTTTTTTGGGAAATGGGATCAGTCCAGTTTTTTAATCTAACAACTACTTTTGGGGAATTTCCCACATCTCTGGGATTCATATGGGAGCTGTGTCCCATTGTCTTTTAAGTTTACATTTAACATTCTCTCCTCTGCTCCCCTTGCCTGCAGGGGGCTCCTTTTTGGCTCCTTAATTAAGTTTGCTGCTTAGTGTTGAAGTACAGCGGCAGGTGATCAGGCTGCAAGCTCTTGCTGGGCCTCTGCAAAGGGAGTGATCGGTGAAGGCCATCGTTACCTTGGGATCTATCTGCAAGGCTGGGGTGTTTCTGGATCTGCTGTTCACAGCTTTCCACTGTTACCCGAATACGTTGCCAGTGCACTAATCTCTTTGGAGATAAAATTCACTAGTGTGTTACTAAGTGTTCATTTTTTTCTTTTTTTGCAGAAAATACAGTACCATGTTTGAATTAATTATTAATATTTAAAAGACTTCATTCCTTAACCCTCCCTCCTTTGCTTTGCCCACAGCCTAGTCAGTCCCTTTGTTTGGCAGAATTCTGCAAAATGTATTTTACCCACTACTGATTGTTCAGCCCCTAATGTGTTTGTATTGATTTGTTTCTGGTGGTAGCTTGTCCTAAAATGTGTGTAGAAAACAGGTATTTTATGATAAAATTGTTGTGTAGTGCATGCTTTGTGTGGAATTCAGAGGAAAACCCAGATTCATTGATTAACAATGCCAAAAAATGCAAGTAACTAGCCATTGTTCAAATGACAGTGGTGCTATTTCTCTTTTGTGGCCTTTTAGACTTTTGTTGCCCTAAAATTCCATTTTATTGGGAACCCATTTTCCACCTGGTCTTTCCTGACAGGGTTTTTTTCTACTTTAAACAGTTTCTAAATAAAATTCTGTATTTCAAGAGTGTATGTCTTCTGGAATTTGTCTTACCCTGGTATAAGCTTTTAGGTTACAGTGATAAAGTACCTATGCTTCTTAAATTAGGAATGATCTTTTCAAATTCCTTGCTGTTTTTTTCAGATGTGTTTATTTCTAAGCCTGTTTTCTTTTTTCTTCATTCACATGACACTTCTCAGCCTCCTGCTGTTGTAAATTTTCATTACTATGAGTTTTTCCTCTCAGAAGCCCAATGTTTGGCCTAGCTCCTGTGAAGTCTTCATGCTATTTACTCTTGAGAGGTACAGCAGGACAGTGCTTGGCTGATGACCATGCTTGGCAGAGATGTTTTGTTTTTCTGAAAGTATGTTTCAAAGATACTTAGCACAATCTCAACCTATGAAATAATCTAGAGCTGTCACCATTTTTCTTCCTTTATAAAGTCCTATCTTTAGAAATGAGTTCAAAAGATGACTCCTTGCCATTTTCAGTATGAAATATAGTTTAATGGGTAGAAAACAGTTATTTATATGCTCTTTAGATACCTATCATAATTGTGGGTGCTCTGAAAACCCAACTTCATGATTTTAGGGTTGCCCTTACATTTTCTCTGGAAGTTAATAGTATGATACCTTCCTTAAAATGTTATACACCTTCAGAAGGAATTTAATACTGTGTATTCATAATCTGCAAGAAGATATCTCCAGGAGTAAATGGAGTTTGTGAAGACGCTGTTGGCTGAGAAGTTACTTCTTGGTAAGGAATGAAGCTGATGCCATGTGCCTGTGATCTCAGCACATTGATCTGGCTCTTTAGGCTGAGGCACATAAAATCTTGATGTGACTGGTTTGTGTTAGCTCACTAGCTCATTTAGTAAACTTAAATAAGCTACATGTTGGCTTGGCAAGTTCTGTGTTACATGGAGGATAAACAAAGGGTTCTCTGCGTAGATTTGGATTCAGTCCTCTGACTGGTCTCAAACTGATGGGCTTCAAGTCACCTGGGGAGTGAGTTTGGCATAACGTTTGTAAATTCCATTCCCAAAGATTCTGAGTTAGGAGATTAAAAATCTGCATTTTAATATGTATCTCAGGTGGACTGTACTTGGTCTCTGCCTAGATGTCTGCAACTTCAGAGTCTTAATTCTGCATAGAGAACATCAGATTTGAGCCCTCCTAGCTTTGTGAGTTTTAAGCTTAATTGACCTCTTTTTCCTGTCTGCAAAACAAGGATGATGGTATTTGGTAAAGTGCCTCTCTCCCTGGGTATATGTTTGGGCTCACAGTGAGCTAGTGGATGAGGAAACAACCACAGTGTTAGAAGGTCTGAGCAGACAAGAGGCATTATTTATGGCCTGTGTTCTTCAAATCCAGCCTAAATTGTGTTTAGAGATTAGAAAAAGCTGAGAACAAGATTTTTGTATCCTGAGAATTCTATAAAATGAGTAACAAAGTTCTTCTAATGTTTCTTTTTCAGCTTGGAGGTATTGATAAGTCAAGCTCCTTTCTGTCTTCAGACTGATTTTCCTCCTGTTTTTCCCCAATTGGAATCAAGGTCTAAGCAGACATTTCATCATTATCTTTTAAATGAAGATTCAGTGACTCAGATTCATTGTTTTAAAAAGATCACATTTTCTTTCTTCTTCCTTTTTTTTTTTTTTTTGCATACTGGGAATTGAATTTAGGGCTTTGTGCTTGCTAGGCAAGGTGCTCTGCCACTTGAACCATGCCCTCAGTCCTTTTTTGGTTTTAGTTTCTTTTTCAGATGGAGTCTTGTGTTAACTTTGCCTGGGCTGGCATCAAACTCTGATCCTCTTCACCTGCTGGATAGCTGGGATTATGGGAGTGTACCACTGTTCCTGCTATATAACTCTCTAGGCTGTAATATGGTTTGAAAAAGTAGTTTTCTTTTGCTGTAACCAAGGTGATTTCTCTAGTAGTTTTTCTTTTAAAATTATTCTGTATGATGTAGTATGAGGAGCTTATGATGTTTTCTTTTTTTTTCTCTGAAGCTTTATTCTTGTGATGTTTACCATAGTTAATAGTTTGCTTAGTCCACAAATAAGTCCTAGGCTTTAAGCCTGATCACCCTGGTCAGATTAGCTTGCTAGCATGTGGCTGACCCAGATCTGGTGTCATCAGCCGAGAGTATGGAACTACTTGCTTTGAATTAAGCTGCATCTTATCTTGTGATCAGTGTCTGTGAATCACTAGTCATTTCTCTGGCCTGGCACCATTGTTCTTAACTTTTGAATTCATACATTCAGTTTATAAAATTTTAAATCCAAATGTGTTAACATTCATTTCAGTATCCTCATAACATTTGCTGCTTTTTCTTTTTCTTAATTCTTGAAGTCAACATATAAATTGAGTATGTAGAGTTCTCTAAAAGGCCAAGGAAGGATTCTGAACTTTTACTCTGAACTTGACTGTGGTTAGAACTATTAACCTAGATGACTTCAGCCAGATTGGTATGTAGCGTAACTCATGAAGGTCTGTTTCCTCTTGGACTTAATCTGAATTGGTAAATAATATTAACTGACTCTTGGAGTCCAGAAGCTTTCTGTTGAGATCATAGTCAGGTAGCCTCATTGATTGATTACTTAGGTGAGCAAGTCTAGTCTTAGTGTCAGATTTCTAGGTTTCCTTAATCAAGAACCTTAAGTCTTTCTTTTCATAAAATTTAGGTAACCTTCATTTCTTTTGTATTGGAGGCTCTTGGGTTCTGAGTGTAAATTGTGAATAACCTTCAGAGACACGTTTCTGAGTGGAGGGGAAAACTTCTTTTTTCTGTCACCATTTGAAAGCTAATCACCTTGTCCACCAAAGCTTCCAGCTTTGTAAATGGCATCAAGGGGTAGATTTAGAACCAGAAAATGATCTGTCAGCGACTTGGTCTATGAGATTTTTGACTTAACTTTTTGAGGGCTTGGAGCATGATTGAGTGGTAGAGAGAGCACTTGCTTAGCATGCCTGAGCCCCTGAGTTCAGTACCTTAAGGAAAAAGAAATTTCTCCTGTAACTATGCAGTCTGCAGGAATTGTTGGTAAGGGTAGATAGCTGGGCACAGGTATAAGGCATAGAAGGAAGAATAAATTTATTCTATCTTCTAGTATCTTTAGTTTAGCTTTCAGTTTTGGCCCAAGAATGAGATGTGGAAAGCTTTTGATAGGTGAGATTCAACTGGCACAATGGCTCAAGTGACAGAGCACCTGCCTGGCAAGTATGAAGCCCTAAGTTGAGGCCACCAAAAAAAAAAAAAAAAAAAGAAAAAAAGTGAATTTAGTTTGATAGGTGAGATTCAGTCCTTCAGGGTAAGTTTTAAAGCTGACTTAATGGCTCTTACTAGTTTGTAGTAGGGACTGAGATGAGTTTTTAAAATTTCATCTTGATAGACACTCTGACCAAAATAAATGGAGACAGCATTGTATTTGGAAGGCCCCTCCTCTAGGCTCTGTATCCTATCCCAGGTCTATAGAGAATGGCTTTTCATTAGTTCACTGAGATAAGCCTTCTAACTGAGAAAAAATTAATGAGCTCTGTAAACGCTAATAGGATACTGGAACAAGAAAGAGTAGGAGAGTATGCAATTCCTAACAAACGTTCCTCTGGAGGCTGGTTTTCATCAGCTAAAGGACAAAATTTTTTGTTTCTTGTTTTGAGATGAGGAATTACTCCATAGCTCAGGTTGACCTCAAATTTGTAATCTTCCTGCCTCAGCCTCTTGAGTGCTGGGATTGTAGGTGTATACCACCATACCTTGCTTAAAAGTACTTGGTTTTTGACTATAAAAGGAGGGAAGCTTTGACAGAAGTAACAAATGGTTCGGCCCCTTTGACTTTTTCTATAGATTACATGCTTCAGGGAGAGCCTCACTAATAATGTCATCACTGAGTCATTTAATTCAAGAATCTAAATGCATTTTTGCCTAGGACCTGTTGTGGTTTATCCTCATCTTAGCTTGAGTGGCCCTCAGATTTCTTTACTTTCATGCTTGCTTTTCATTTATTTTATTGTCTTCATATTTGTATTTCTGAACGTACTGTCTTAGACAGCTCGGCCATCCTGATTCATATTTATATTTCTTATCATGGAGCTTGTTTATATATTTTGAAGTAGCTCTAGTGATATTAAGATAACAGCATAACTTAAAGGATATCTGCATTTTAGCATTCTGAAGTTTTTTAACCTGAGATAGACCCTTTTTTTTTTTTTTTGTGCATTTTATATTTTCCTACAACATAAGCTGGGAGAATTAGACTTGTATAATTATATAGTGCTGTTTTTACTTTGAAAATATATATATATATTTTTTTAATAGGCGGCTAAAGGCTTTCCTAGTTTCTCCCCGAATGCATCTGTCCTTTAATTTTAAAGCCTGAGAGGAAGTAATAGTCAATGTAGAATGAAATATTTTAACAAATTTTCTAAGAAAATTAATTAAAACAGTTTTTTTGTAGGACTGGGGTTTGAACTCGGGGTTTCATGCTTGAAAGCATGTGCTCTACTGCTTGAGCCACACCACCAGTCCATTTTGCTTTGGTTATTTTAGAGATTGGAGTTTTGGGAACTAGTTGTCTGGGTGGCTTCAAACTTTGATCCTCCCAATCTCAGCCTCCCAGGTAAGCTAGGATTACAGCCAAGAGCCACAGATACCTGGCTAGAATTTTAAACTGACTTAATGGTGCTGCTGAGCATTAAGAAGTGGGGTTTTTTTATTTGTTTGTTTGGTTGGTTGGTTGTTTTCTTTTGAGACAGGTTCTTTCCATGTTGCCCAGGCTGACCTTAAAGCCTTGGACTTCAGTGATCCTCCCCACTCAGTCTCTAGAGTAGCTGGGACTACAGGTGTACCAGTCTACCTGGCTTAAAGTTCCCTTTGGCAGTGTGGTGTGGTTGGAGGAGCATTGTTGTAAAAGTCATGTGAGCCAGGTTGAGCTCAGCCTGACTGCCAGCTGAAGGTGTGATGCTGTCACTGATCTCCAGCCGCCAGTGACTTCTACCTTGTTTATTCTTGTTCAGAAAGGAAAAGCCTCTTTTTACCAGATTGTGTCTTAAGATTTTTGACAAACTACACAGACCTGAAGAAGGATACAACTGTTGACATCTTAAAACCCCAGTGTTGAAGTGTGAGGGCAGCATTGCTGTTGCTAAGTGGGAGCATGAGGAGGTGATTGTTGTTGAGTGTGGCTGTGTCTGTGTTGATCAGGGTGCTTGCTCACTTGAGTGGCCCTTTTCTGTTACTGTCCCCCTAGTAGGGATCAGAATTACCTTAGGGTTAGCAAGTGATGCCTGACTTCATCTTAGGTAGGACTTTTAAATTTTCCTAGAATCGTTCATATACTGAGGTTTATCTAGATTTTCCTTCCACATTTTTTTTTCCCCTATTTTTTGGTGGGACGGGGGTTTGAACTTGGCTTCATGCTTGCAAACCAGATGCTTTACTGCTTGAGCCACATCTCCAGTCCATTTTGCGCTGGTTGTTTTGGAGATGGGGGTCTCACGAACTGTTTGCCTCTGGCCTCGAACCATGATCCTCCTGATCTCAGCCTCCCAAGTAGCTAGGAATACGGGTATGAGCCACTGGTGCCCAGCATTTAACCTTATTTATTAATGATTATATTTTCACTCTTGATGGAGTTTTTAAAACTTAACTGAAGAGAGGAATGCACTGCAATCCATCCCTTTTTTCCTCGTGTTTCTTCCCAGAGAGGGAAATTTTATTTATTATGACAGAACCTAGCATATTTTAACCGTATAAAAATATTAGTAAAGTTATTGATCAGTGAAGATAGGATATAGTGAAAAAATATATATCATTTGATTAGTAAATGTGTCATTGGAAAAAAATGCAGAAACTGCCATAAAAATTGATGATGCTCTATTAGGAACTGATCCCACTGAGCCAAAAACCAGTGGGAAATAGTCAGATTTAGGTTCATCAGCCTCTTTTTTTTTTTTTTTAATCCTTCTAACTTGTTCATCCCTAATAAAACCCTATTAATATAAAGGACTTCTGTACTTTTTTTTTTTTTTTTGGTGCAGTATTAGAGTTTGAACTCAGTACTAGGGTTAGAGTGCTTGTGCTTGCTAGGTAATGCACTCTGCTGCCTAAGCCATGCCTCTAGCCTACTTCTGTACTTTTTTAGGCATTTCACTTATGCACTTTACCTTCAATGTTCTATAATATGACAAAATCCCTTTTTCTCCATTATTGGTAAAATGTATGTTGATGATCTCTGTTTAAGCCCAGAGAGAATGTTTTGTGTAGTGATCATTTGATAGTTTGGTAACATTCAATTCCTCATGGAATGTGATTTAGCTGTTTTAAATGTGTGATCTTTTAAAATCTGGAATCCATGTTCCTGGCTGAAATCTTTCCTGAGATTTGCCTCTCACCAGCTAGCCCTGCCATTTTGTGCCGTGGACCAAGGTTATGCAGTAGCTGCAGCATGTCCAACCTGTCCCCTATCTCACACAAATGCTCCTGTTGCCTTCCGCTGCTTAAATAATTGGGTCTCATGCAGAAGGGGCTTAGAGAGCCATTGTGTCTTTTGGTGTCCAGCCATGGAAGCCAGTTGGCCTTTTGGTTTGAGTGAATCCTGCTTTACCTTAGGGTTCCCTGGCCCTCTCCATGGTTCCCATTGAGAGGTGGGGTTTCTGTGCTTGTCCTATGGATTGTTTTGTATTTGTACTTGTCCTGGCTATTTGTGCTGTCTCCTGTCACTGTCTACTGTAAGTTCAACTTCATTAATAAAAAGAATGTCTCATGTTGGATAAAAATGGCTGTGGTTATGGTTTGTGGAATGGATTCTGATACTCTGTTTATGTTCTTCATGTGGAATTCCCACATTTCCCTGGTTCTAAATGACTCTGGTCATATGGAAGCCCTCAGAGTTCTGCTGCGACTTCACAGAGGAGCTGTCTTGGACTTGGACAGCTGCCAAGATGTCGCAGTTGGAATTGGAGTTGAAAGCTGACAACTCCCAGACAGCCAGTGTACTTAGCTGGAGAGATGAAATTGAGTCAGGGTGAGTTGAGTGTTGGGTTAAAGTCGCCCTCCAAAAATTGGACACCTTGCCCTTAAGAGTCACTTGCCTGACATCAAAGGTTGGATGGAGACCAGGGGAGCATCTCTTACTCATTTCTGGGACAGTTGTAAATTTCCTTATCCTTTAGTAATCTACCAACCAGTTATGCAGTGCTCCGGTTATCCCCTATCACTAGCAAGCTCCTCTATAGGCTGTCCCAAGCTCTTACCCATTTCCAGATCTGTACTCTTCTCCCTACCCCTCTCTTCATTCTTCTCTGGACAGGGCAACTCTAGGGAGTACATAGAGGCTAGTGGCTGTGACCGCTGTTCATTCCTGTTCTCTTAATTCTAAATATAAAGTGAATTCTGTTTTCTCTTCCCTCCAAAATTGGAAATGGTACTTCTCTATGTGCTGTCTCTCTTTTTTAAGATTTTATGCTGGAACTGTACTCCTCTCTCTGCTTATTTATTTTTTTTCTTTTTTTCTGTCTTGTGGTATTGGGGTTTGAACTCAGGGGCTTGGTCTTGGTATGCAGGGGCTCTTGAGCTGCACCTCCAGGCCCCTTTCCCCCTTTTTTTTTGTCTTAGTATGCTGGCCTCCCATCCCCAAAGCCCCCCTTTTCTCTTTTTCAGGTGCTGGGGATTGAACTGAGAGCCTCACACATGCCAGGCAAAGTGCTCTACCACTGAGCTATACTCCAGTCCTGGTCCTTTTTTGTTGGTTGTTCTATGTTGTCATTGACCAACTTTTTTTCCCAGTTGGTGCAGAGCTGCTCTCTCCTGGTTAAAGACATCTCTTAGGAAATTTTGTTTTGAAATTATTAAAATATGTGAACTAGTTGTAAGAATAATACAAAGAGCTCCCCTTTGCCCAGATTAATTGTGAACATTTTTCCTGATTTGCTTTATATTAGTATTTGTTGAGCCATTTGAGAATAAATTAGGTGTCATGCCCCTTTATGTTTAAGTACTTTAAATGCACGTATTTCTTAAGAAAAAGGAAATTCTGTTTTATAACCATAGTACAATTGTCAAAAGCAGAAAATGGTAATACAGTGTGTAATCCAGAGTCCCTATTCAGATTTCCCTTAATTCACCAAATAACGGGCACTATAGATTTTTTATTTTTCTAGTCTGGAATCCAATTCAAAAATCACACATTGCCTGTAGTTGTTGGTCTCTTGAGTAGCCTTTAATCTGTAACAGTTTGCTAACTTTTTTTTGTTGTTGTTATTTATATGACATTGGCTTTTTTGTTACTGTTATTTTGAGACAGTGTCTATGTTCTTTCTGTCTGTCTCTCTCGTTTTATATACATACATACGTATATATAGCTATCTGGAGCTTGCTATATCGTTCAAGCTGGCCTTGAACTTGCAGTCCTTCAGCCTCAGTCTCCCCAATGTTGGGATTATTGGTGTGTGCCACAGTGCCCAGCACAACATTGAAATTTTATTTTAATTTTTGGCAGTACTGGGGATTGAAACTCAGCTTCACACTTACTAGGCATGTGCTTTACCACCTGAGCCACTCCACCAGCTCTTTTTTGTGTTGAGTATTTTTGAGATAGGGTCTTGTGAACTATTTGCCTAAGCTGGCCTCAAACTGCAATTCTCTTTGTCTCTGCTTCCCGAGTAGCTAGGATTACAGGTGTGAACCACCAGTGCCCGGCCCTTTTTTTTTGCCTTGACATTTTGATTGAGTAAAACCCAGTTATGTTGTAGATTGTTCTGCAATTTGGGTTTGTTTCCTCATGATTGAGAGCATACATGAATGTATCACATCCAGGAGATGCATGATGTCTCCATCATTGGTAATAACTTTTATTGCTTGTTAGCCAAGAATTTAAAACAAAGCCTAAGTCATTTTCTTTGTGGGCACTATGCTTACCTGCTTTATATAAATGTGATGATACATTTGCCTTTTGTTAGTTTAGACTTTTTTCTATTCCCTTTTTTTAACTTACTTTTCTTCATTAGCCTTCAACTCCCTGAAACCCAAACTGACAACTTAGTGTATAACCCTCCATATGTTTGTCTGTACTCATAATTTGCACATACATATAGTATATTTTCCTCCCCCCTTTTTTGGTAGTACTAATTGAGACATTTACAAAAGTTCTTACAGTATATCATACTTGAATTCATTCTCTCCATCATTCTCCTTTATCTTCCCCCCACACCCGTGCTGGGGTTTTGAATTTAGGATCTTACACTTGCTAAGTAAGTGCTCTATCCCTTGAGCCACATCCCATCCCACAGTATCCTCTTAAATCCAGGCAGGAAGGTCCCCTTCCGTGGACCCAGAGCTTTGTTTTAGCAGGGGAGGAAGGTGTCCTACTTTGTTTCTCCTCTGACAGTGTCCTACTTGATTGGGTGAGGAGTCCAAGGAGTCAAGGGGATATGGTCACCAGAGCCAGTTCACCACCCTGTGCTCTGAGTACTGGAACTCAGTACTAACTACTCTTTCCACTCCACTGAAAAAGAGTACCATGAGCCTTTTTTGAATGAAAATAAAAATTAGAGCAATGTATGATTTAGAAAGTAAAAATCTAACCTGCTAGAGATAACTACTATTAGAATATACTTTTCCAGGCTCTCTCTTTTTTAAAATGCATGTGCCACCATATACATGTATGTATTCTTAACAGAAATGGACTTTTTTTTTGGTACTAGACTTTGAACTCAGAGCCTCAAGCTTGCTAGGCAAGTGCTCTGCCACTTGAGCACATCTTCAGCCTTCCCCACCCTTATTTTGGCTTTATTTTTCAGATAAGATCTTAGTGTGGGTTTTATTGTTACTGTTTTGCCTGAGGTGGGCTCAGACGATTTCCTGCTTATGCAGGAGGGATTACAGCAATGCACCACTGTACTGGTCCACCAGATTTCCAGATATTTGTGTTTTATTTCAAATTGAACAGTTTAGTATCATATGCATCAAACCACTTTCCCTCCCTGCTACTTTTTCTGGAAATGCTTTTGCCATTTGCCTCGGTTACCTTGGTTTTTGGCTTCCAGATCCTCTCCCTTGAGTCTTTTCTCTCCTTTGGTCCTTAAGTTTGGGTTGTCATCAAGACACCATTGGTGTCTTGGCCCATCTTCAGTTTTCTTCCTCTTCCCCCTCACCTTCCATCTTTTGCTGAGAACTTTCCATAATTGGTCTTCATCATCTTCAGTCTTCCTGATCAGAAATTTAAGATTTTGCATTCTCGTTCCAATTTTTCTTTTCACTCTTTTCTCCTACTGTTCCTCTCCTCCCTCTGTCTCCCAGGACCCCTTTGGTAAAGACTAGAGCCTCATTTGTTCAGTGTCTTGTGCATATTAGGCTTGTCTCTTGGCGATTCCTGCCATCCTTAAAGAGCCTTTTAACTCTTGCCTGGCAGGGACTTGCTGATGATGAGGTAGACTGGTGCCCCAACATCCTAACACAGCACTGACTCAGAAAAAATGCCCTTGACTAATATTAGAGCAGAGGCCCATGGAAGAGATCTCTCCCACATGACTCTCACCTGATCCTCATGCTGTTGTGAAGAGAGTTCCATCAGGAGTGTGTCTATGTTGAAAGTCCAGCCTGTACTGCTCACCTCTGGTGCATGTCTTTGACTTTTGGATATATGTCTGCTTCTGGACTTCATTTCCCTCAGCTGTGAACTGTTCTTGGACCACCAAATGGCTCTCTAAAAAATCTCCCGGAATTCCATAGAAAGTGTGGTGTCTTTTAGGGTGCCTCTAGTTTTTACTTCCTGGTCAGGAGTAAAATAACTTGAGAAGCTCCACAACTTCAGCAGGGCAACTCCTTTCCATCAGGGGAAGGAAGGATCTGTTGTAAACTTGGGGAAAAATCTATGAGAAAAGGGATGTTTTTGAATTCCTTGTTGGGAGTGCTCATGGACAAGGGGCAGTTACCCTGTCCCTTGATCCTATCTTTTTCACCTTTCTGTGGCTTGCTGGGTTAGTCTCCCACATGGTATTACAAAGACTGGAGCTAAAGCGCCTATGATTGCCTATTTTAGGTCAAGACTAGTGTCTCCTGAGGACTTAGGAGAGAGCCGTCCACCTTCCAAGGTAAGCACAACATCAGGGTGAGTAAAGTGGAATGACACTCTGGAGCTATCCAGAGCATGACTCATCAGCATAGAAGCCCATGAGCCTTTGCAACCAGGCTTGTGCACTTGGGTATTCATAGGGCCAGGTAGATAACTTAAATGTGCCCACAAACAGTCTGTTTTCTCCTTTCAAAGCACTGCATAGGCCAAGTGCCACACACTTTTGAGGCTGTTAGTTTGCAGTCTGTACATGGCCTATGCTTAATTTTCTCCAGCAAAGTTGGGACAATGGTGAGATGAGCTGTATAGATTATTATCATGCCAATCTGTTAAGTGCATGGACCTGGATAATAATACAGAGGTAATAGAAATTAAGGCCAGGCTAGGTGCTGATGGCTCACTCCTGTAATCCTACCTACTCAAGAGGATCATAGTTCAGGGTTCAAGGCCAGCCCAGGTCACCCTGTCTCAAAAATAACCAACATGAAAAAGGACTGGTGGACTGGTTCAAGTGATAAGAGTGCCTGCCTAGCAAGCATGAGGTCCTGAGTTCAAACCCCAGTACTGCCCAAAAAAGGGAGAAAAAGGAGATTAAGGCCGGGTTTCTGTAATCCTTCCTACTTAGGAGGCTGAGATCAGGAAGATCACAGTTCGAAGCTAGCCTGTGCAAATACTTTGCAAGACCTCCATGTCCAAAAATAACCAGAGCAAAAATGGACTGGAGATGTGGCTCAAGCAGTAGAGCACCTGCTTTGTAAATGTGAAGTTCAAACCCCAGTCCTACCCAAAAAAAAAAACCCAAAAAACCCGAATATACCATTGTCTTAAAAAGCTCACTCTGAGATGAGTGACAAGAGGTTTTGTTTATTGCGAAGCTAATTTTGCTGGGCTTCCTGCATATTCAGGTGTCATTTAGTCTCTGTAACCCTGTAATGTGGGTACTATGGATCTCTTGTTTTGTAGATGGGGAACTCTGTGGCTCAGAGAAGTGATGGGAATATGCCCATGATAACATGGCTTGGAAGTGGGGGACCCAGGCAGAATTCTAACCCAGAGCTCTGGGACTCTGCAGCTTCTCCTCTCACCTGCAGTCTCCTTATGTAGAGACCTGCCATGGGTGGTTGAAGTGAACAGAGAGCCTGGGAACAGAGAGGTGGCAGGGTTGGCTCCTTGGAGGAAGTGCCATCTGAGCCAGGCGGAAGAATAGGTGAGAGTTCATGTCTGGGGAAGGTGGGCTGGGTGAATAGAACTGGAATGCCTGTTGGGTTTGGGGCCAGTGGAAAACAGTGGTGTGCCTAGAACATGAAATACACATTGAAACTAGCAATTAGGTCAAAGCTAGACTGTGAAGGGCTTTGAATAGCACACTCAGGATCTGGAGGTAGAGGCAGTGGCCATGGAGAGAGTGTCAGAGCCAGGCACCGGTGGCTCATGCCTGTAATCCTAGCTAGTTAGGAGGCAGAAATCAGGAGGATTGTGGTTTGAAGCCAACCTAGGCAAATAGTTCATGAGATGCTATCTTGAAATAAAAATTAAAAAAAAAAATAATCACAAAGATGGGCTGGCAGAGTGACTCAAGGTGTAGGCCCTGAGTTCAAGCCTCAGTACTGCCAAAAAAAAAAAAAAAAGTCCTGAACATAGTTGCCTCCTAGGAAGGTGCCATTGTTGGGAGGTGGATTGGAAGAGAAGACCAGATCCTGGTCTTGTGGGGAAACTGCAGAGGGCCAGAGTTCGGGGTGAGGTATAGATTGGGAGAGTTTTATGATAGATCCTAGTAAGAATCAACAGGAGGGGCAGTAAGAATGTATAGGATGAAGAGAGAAGAGCTGGCGACAGCGCTGGGATTTCTAATTTGGGGCAAGAAGAGCTGGTGACAGTGCTGGGATTTCTAATTTGGGGCCTGGTGAATGATGAAAGCATTAACAACTCGTTTGTTGGGCTCCACGAAGGCAGGGACTCCCCACTGCTCACTGTCGTATCCACAGCATCTGCACTCAGTAAGTGTGTGTGGCCTGCGAGTGAATGAGCTTTCATAGGAGGATGAACATGGTTGCTCTTTTGGCAGGGCTAAGGCCCCTTGCAGAGTCCTGTGTCTTTTAACCTTGCTGAGCATCTGTAAAAAGAGTTGTATGATAGATGAATAAAGTCAGGAGAAGCAGTCTAGATTTTTGTTGATCTTCCTAGGCCATCAGTTAGTAACATCATAGCACTACTTAGTCTGTTCTTCCCTAAAGACTCTGTCAAGTAAGATGTACTGAAAACTGTTTGGTTTGGGGTATTAACTTGGTTCAGTTTCTGGTTCTTGAAGCCTTATTTGTTGCAGCTGTACCTCCAAGGTGGACTCCAGGACAAAGAGGCTCCCAGCTCCCCAGCACCGTCTATCACTCTTAGCCAGAGTTCCTACCTTCCTCACAGGACAGAGCAGTTTACCAAGCTACAGCTGGCTGAGGTGGAGAAAGTGTTTGAGGAGAACGTTGGCTCAAATGGAGGTAAAGCTGCATGGCCAGCTCAGGCTCTGTGACTTCTGTACAGGACCGGTATGTGGAGGGTTCAGATTGGACCAGCAGTTTTGTATTCAGTGTCTTGTTTAAAACTTAATCATTGGGTGAGTAGTATAAACATATGAGAGGTTATTTGGGATCTGTGAAGTTTTGAAAAATCTCTGTAGGTCAAACACACATTCACAATTAGCATTTTGAGGTGTTTTCTTCCAAACATTTTCAGGTTATTATCAACTGCTGTGTTACTGCAGTTCCACAGGCTTAGTGGCTTCGACCAGCATGAATTCATTATCTCATAGCTTTGATGGGCCAGTAGTGAGGGCACAGCTTAGCCAGCTCCTCTACTTAGTGGCTCACAAAGCTGTTGTCAAATTTATCAGCTGGGGCTTCAGCATCATCTGGGGCTTGATTCGGGAAAGATACATTTCTAAGAACACTCAGGTTGTTCCAGAATTCAGTCTCTTGCAGCTGTAATACGGAGAGCTTCCATTTCTTCCAAGCTGGTGTTGAGAGGCTGTCCTCCGCTCCTAGCAGCCACCCACAGTTCCTGGCCATGTGGAATTAACCCACATGGCTGCTTGCAAGGCTCATGCCAACAAGGGAGAGAGCAAATCCAGCAGGATGAGCATTGCCATCTCATCTAACATAGTCATGTAATCATATGCGTATTATTTTGTATATCCTGTTAACCTGTGTCATGTTCTCTAGGCTAAAGGAAGTCACAGGTCCCACCACACTAAGTAGAAGGGGACCACTAGAGGGCACCAACACCAGGAAGTAGACATTCCGGGGGTGTTCTTAAATCTGCTCCCCTAATGGATAGCTACATTTGTTTCTGTGTGTCTATAATTGTACAGTATGGATGCTTCTTTACTTAGGGTGGAATATGTCTGTTATATGGGCTATGTCTAGTATAAATCTGTTTTAAGTTGGAAATACCATAGGCTGAAAATTCATTTAATATACCTAATGTACCAAACATCATAGCTTAGTTTAGCCTGATTTAAATGTGTTCACAATGGGTGTGTTAGCACATGCTTGTAATCCTAGCTACTTGGAAGGCAGAGTTGGGAGGATTGAGGTTCAGGGACAGCCTAGGCAAAAGCATGAGACTCTGTCTGAAAACACTTTGGAGCAAAGAGGGCTAGAGGTATGACTGAAGTGGTAGAGTGCCTGCCTAGCAAGTGCAAGGCCCTGAGTTCAAGTCTTAGTATCATACTGAACACTTACATTCACCTATAGTCAGGTAAAATCATTCTAATACAAAGTGCATTTTATAATAAAGTGTTGATATCATATAATTTACTGAATATTGTACTGAAAGTGAAAAGCAGTGATTGTATGGTACACATTTGCATCATAAAGTCAAAAAATTACAAGTTGGGGACTCTGTATATGTCATTTCAGACACTTCTTTTTCACCAATCTTAAGGAGTTTTCCATGTTGCTGCATAGTCATCTAATGGCACCAGGTGTTCCACTGCTGACTCAGCCACCCCTCTATTTTTGTATGTTGAAGTTTTATTGAGTATAAGTGATGTTTTGAGAATATTTTTTTCATATCAACCTTTTACTCATGAGAGCTTCATTTTTCTCCTTTGGAATAACACTTCTAAAAGCCAAATAATAGGAATACGTAAAAGCATAGTTCTTTATAACCACTAGACTACGAGTGCCAATGCCCCATGTACTTGCCTGTTACTTTCTCTTGAATTTTACATGATGTGTGCAGGAAGGGATAACAAATCCTGTTTATAGAGGAGCAAAGTGAGACCTAGGAGGCATGATTTGTGTCTGCCCTGAAATGAGGTAGTTCCTAAATTAGGGTTCCTTAGTTTGGTGTAGGAGCCAAGAGGTTCCATGGTTACCTAAGCAGGCCTGCCAGTCACCGAAACAACAGGTTCTGCAGAAGGAAATGTATTCACAAGGTGGCCAAGCGTGGAGGTAGAGGCCCAAATCTCAAATCCACCTCCCCACGGATAGCGTTTGAGCATATTTATGGGAGAAAGAAGCAGGTGACTTAAAGTGTAGGGAAAGATGAGGAGGTGGTATAGTCAGTGGTCTGTGCATGTTTATCAAGCATGCTCTTAATGGGACACATGTTCAGGAAATGGCAGCATTAGCATAGTCTGAGGGTAGAGTTTCAGGCTCCTGATGTCAAAAGGTCACCTACTGTCTGGTAGGTCTATGCCATATGTAAGAGGATTGCGGTCTGAGGCTGGCTATGGACAAAAATGTGAGATCTTACCTGAAAACTAAAGCCAAAAAGGCGTCTGCCACTTGCCTACCGAGTAGAAGGCCCTGAGTTCAAACCCTAATCCACCCAAAACAAAACAAACCCACTCAGGACCAATGTTTGCTGAATACTGAGGACCCAGTCATGGATGCATTTCCAGAGCTCACAGGCTGGAGTAGGAGACAGAAGACAGTCAAATCAAGTGTCAGATAATGAGGAATGTCAGGAGGGACAGTAAAACTAGGCAGTTGGGGTGGATGGCCATCTTAGATCATCTTCAAGAAGGCTTCCCTGTGGAAGGACTGACCTGAACTGCAGGGAGGGAGGCTGTGTGAAGGCCCTGTGGTGGGCCTAGGCTCAGGGGTATGAGAAGCAGTGAGAGGGTCATTATCACTGCAGCAGAGTATGAAGGAAATGGTAGGAAGTGAGACCCAAGAGGAGCCAGGTAATGCACAACCTTCAGGCCATGGGGAGGATTCTAATGTCTGAGGGGTTTTAGAAGCACTTTTTTAAAGACAGTAATTATAAAAAAAAAAAAGTAGATGGGCTCTTGACACATTGCAAACAGATTCCCCTCTAGTCATAACACCCAGATTGAGGAGAGTATTTTATCCTTGTCCTTTTCTTCTCTTCCCTCACCATCTTTCTCTCCAGCCAAAGTTAAATTGTGTTAAATTAAAAGATGCACATCACAGGCTGGGAGTGTGCTCGATGGTGGAGTGCTTACCAGGTCCTAGGTTCCTTCTTCAACACAGGAAAAAATGAAAAAAAGAGTGCAGTTCAACGCTCCTCTGTATGATTGAATTTGTTAATGTCTCTTCATTGCCATTAATTACTTTTGTTTTACTTGTGTTCTTTTTTTTGGTGGTACTGAGGTTTGAACTCAGGGCCTTGTACTTGCAAGGCAAGTGCTCTAACGCTTGAGCCATGTTTCTAGCCCTTTTTGCTTTATTTCTCAAATAGGGTCTCACCAACTCCCCCTCCTCCAGGCTGGCCTCAAACAACAATCCTCACATCTCCACCATTCCAAGTAGCTGGGATTACAGGAGTGAGCCGCCACACCCAGTTCTTGTTTTGCTTCTATTCTTTGAAGAATTGCTATTGTTGCAATGCCTAGACTGTCTTATTTGTTCAGCAGTGGAGCTGGTCTTTTTAGAACCTCTGCCCACCCTCCTGCTGTGGGACCAACACAGGAAAGGTGCTGATGCAGGGTTTGCGAGGAATTGAATGTGGAACATTGCAAACAATAATCAAGTGATGGTGGAAGCCTCAGGAAGCAGTGGGCCTCTGCTAGGGTGGATGGAGCTGAGCAAATGACTATGTGAGGGACTGGGGAGCAGCAGCCTTCTGAGGCGCCACACCTCTTTTTTTTTTGTTCATTTATTCACATGTGTATACATTGTTTAGGTCATTTCTCCACCCTGCCCCCCACCATGCCACACCTCTTGAGACATTTCCTTTCTCTTTCCCCTCCAGTGCTCCAGCTGAGTATTACAAGGAAGGCAGCAAAGAGGCTGCCTCAAGCTGAAGGCACCCAGTAGATGTGGTCCTTTGCCCATGTGCTCTCAGTGCCTGTGGACACGGGCCCATGAGGGCTGAGTGGTTTGTGGCTGAGTGGATACTGTTCTTTTCTTTCTGAAGCCCTGGACATGAAAGCTTTCATTAGGTCCATGAAGAAGGTGCTGAACAATGTGTCAGATGAGATGCTGGAGACACTGTTCTTGAAGGTGGACTCAGACTGTAATGGCTATGTCACCTGGGTGAGGAGGAAGCCCTTGATGCCTCAGGGAGCTGGGGGGATGGGGGCTGTAGCAAACAGGTCTGAAGATGGGGAGATAGCCACTGTGTTGGGCAGCCTCCCTGGATTCCCATATCAGCTGGGTACTTGTCAGGTGGGGGTTCTTGGTATCTCTGAGAGGTCCCCCTGAGACTTCTGTGGCCTGGGCTGCTCCTGGGGCATAGGAGAGAAAGTGGCAGGTGTTAGTGGCCCCTGCATAAGACCATCTCTTAGGGCATCCCTACCTGCCATGTAGCTCTCCTGCATGCTAACCTCCCTTCTAGTTTAGGTGGTCCAAGCTGTGTTTCATCTACCTCATATCTCTTATAATCACTCAGGCACAGGTAAACCTATGGCTGTTATATCCAAACTGTTAGGGTTCTATAGTGTAGAAATAAGGCTGATTTTCTTTTTGCTTGCTTGCTTTTTTTTTTTTGAGTGTTAACTAGAGTTTGAACTCAAGGCTTCACACTTGCTAGGTAGGTGCTCTACTACTTGAGCCACTCCTCCAGTGTGATTTTGTTTCTTGATTCTACATTGAGCATATATAGCATTCAAGCATACAGAAACGTGCCAAGCTTAGTTTGACGTATTGATATCGTATATCATTGATTACATAAGGCCCCACGCTAAGCACTTAATGTGTTATTCTACTTAAATCTCGTGGGAATCCTATAGGGTGGTGGTATTTGCTTCCATTAGGCAGATTGGAGCACTGAGACAGGGAAGTTAGGAAACTTGTCCAGGGTTGTAGAGCTGGTTAGCAATTGAACCACTGTTCAAACCCAGGGAGTCTGTCTCAAAAGTCCATGTGTTACCTGGCACAGCATGCATACCTCCCAATGGTTTGGGTATATATTCCAGGCTTGTTTTATTTTTTCTTTTTATTTATCTTAACATTGTATAGTAAACATATTTCCAGCGTTCTCCACCATCTACACAGAATCCTTCTTAATGATTCCGTATTTCCTTGTCTTCATTCCTTTCTTCATTCCTTTGTTCTTCTGTTCTTTCCTTCCTTCTTCCTTCCTACCCTCTCAGGTCTCAAACTTCTGGACTTGAGCAGTCCTCCTGCCTCAGCCTACTACCAGTGTGTATCAGTTGAGTGTACTCAGCTCCCATTTTTTGTTACTGCTTCATATAGTGGCTTGTTTAGGCCCTGACCATGTTGTCATGAGGCTGAGGTTGGTCAGTAGAGCCTGGAGTTGCAGATATTTTCCAGAGTGGGTGCATCTACCTAGTTATGGGTCCTCCCTGCTATTAACTTTGTACATGAACTTGGACAACTACAACATACTTACATGGGCCTCCGTTTTTTATCCTTTCTATAAAGTGGAGGTGAATAAGGAACTTTAAATGAGATCCAGCTCTGGATATGGCACTGGTGTGCTTAGCGTTAATGAAGTTAAGGAGAGAGATGGTGTTGTGCTGTTCTGAATAGGCCCTTCTCATATTTGAAATCATAGGTCTGATGCTTGGCCACTTCCTTTGGCCAGTGCTCAGGAAGCAGCTCTCAGAGCCCCTAGGCTGAGGAAAGATGAAGAAAGATGTTGGAAATCAGGCTTGGGTTCCTGAAGGTAAATGCCCAGATTGCCACCAACACCCTCCCTCCCTTGTTTGTCTTCTTGAGGTAGCCAAAGTATGTGGATTACATGATGCGGGAGTTCCAGGGAAAGGAGGAGATGAGGAAGAGTCAGTACCGCCTGCACTTCCATCTTCCCATGAGGATTGTCCGCCTGTAAGAGCCTTTCCCTGGACCTGGGGGTGTAAGGGAACAAGTGTTACACCAGCCCTGCAGGGAGTCACTTCCTGAGTCCATGCGCCCCCTGCTGGTCCACCCAGGGGCCTGACAGTGGGCTTGGTGCCGAATGCCCAGTTCTTTCAGTCTCAGGACCCTGTGGGAGTTCATAAAGACAAAAGGTAGGTGATTTGTTCCCATTTTATGGATGAAGAAACTGAGACTCAGGTCAGATGGGTTTTCCCAGTAGTGGTGGGATTGCTGTCTTCGGCCCTCAGCCTCTCCCCCTGTGTTAAACACTCTCTTCACACTCAGTACTGAGTGTCTGGCATTGTCATCCCCAGGGGCACAGATGATCAAATATGCATAGAAAGGCTTTTCTCTGAGGTGATAGGGAGGAAACTGCTCCTGAGCCTGCAACTAGATACAGAGGTCTCAGTATTACTGGCCCTTAGGAATGAGTTGCTGGAGCTTGGTGGCTCTTGTCTTGACTGTGCTTGACCTGCTGCTCACTCCCCCTGTGGCTTTTCTACCTACTGTGCCCACTGGACGTTGACCTTTGAGGGGAGGAAAATAGCCTTTCTTTCTACTTGTTTTAGGCTTATTGGCTGGGGCTTCTATAACAGAAGACAGATCCATAAGAGAAGAGCATACAAATTTATTAATTTTTATATTACAATGGCAGCCTTCCTTAGGTAATGATCCAAAGACATGGTTTTAAGCCTGAGTGCTTTCATGCTAGGTTTGGTGAAGAACAGAAATTCATCAGAAATAAGATGGGAAAAGATGGGTGGGAGCTAAGTGTAATTACTGGGGAAACTTAGCAAGCTTGTCTGTTCAGATTCCTCTGGGTCCTGGGATCAGAGACAAGGAGCCTCCTTCCCTCTTGGTATGAATAGGGAAGCTTACAATGAGATCTTCTCACCTGCATCACAGGAAGGTCAAAAAGTCGCTCCTGAGCGTACAGTTCCTCAGATTCCTTTAGCTTAAAATTTTCAATATGCCAAGGTGCCATATTTTGGGGTAGCATGTCTTGGACACTATCACCTTCTTCCTTTCTGTGCCATGGCCCTGTTTATTCTGTTTTTTCTTCCTTCCAAACTTCCTAGGAACAAGTAGCACTTGGTGGCTCTGACCTGCTGGTCCCAAGTAGCCCCCTGCAGCCAGGGCTCTTGAGTGGGGCTGCCTGTGGGCCACCACCCCTTCGGGGGCACCAAAGGCATGGGGCAGGTGGTGGGAACTAAGGAACCAGCTCCTGTGGTATGCAGTGTGGTGACCCACATTTGAGGCCTGGTCAGGAGAGGGCTGTTGGGGGTGGGGGGGGGCTGTCCTCAGAGGGCCTCCATACCCTCAGGCAGCCTGGGCCTTAATAGAGAAGGTAGCTTAAATAAAAATTATGAAAGGGTAACTTATAAAAAAAGATTGGAATTTAATTGAGTAGCTAATAAATATGAACAATAAAAGATTTTGTAATTATAATTTTGGCACAAACACTTTGCTTGATGTAGCCACACCTTCACTGGTCTTCCTATTTCTTTGGAACATTTAGATCCCAAGAATGTTTAAAGGTTCCAAGACAAAAATGTCAAGAAGTTTGTCTTTCACTTTCTCCTGTTTATTTTTACAACCTACAAACTCAGAGAGCATTTCCAGTTTGATGAAGAAAATAGCCAAACAATATTTGTTACTTTCATGGAAGGGTAACTATTTAAAAGTTGGCTTATCCTTACTGAGCCTGTGTGGATTGTACCCATCACAGTTCTGGGAGGAGGAGGAAGTGCTACTGTCACTCAGATGAGACAAGACCTCACTGAGATGACACTCCCTGGCTGTCCTAACTTTTCAGAGCCCTCACCTCTGTTCCTCACACTCTAATTGGAACTGGTGGCCTCAGGGATGTCTGAGAATGTTGGTCATGATCTGCACAGAGCATTGGGCTGTGGGTAGGAGAAAGGAGACTGTGTCTAGATACACACTTCCCTTACTCTCCTGCTTGGAGAGCAGTCAGATTTCACAGTGGCATGGGCTCTCCTTAAGCCTTGGGTCAGAACATGACCACAGGCAAGGTTTGGAAAGGCCGCTGGAATTGGGGTAAAGGTGCCTACATTTTGTTCCAGCTTGCTGGTAATCAGGATGTGACTTCAGGCAGTGGGTGTCCCTGGAGCAGGTCCCTGTAAGGTGATGTAACATGACCAATCCTACCAGGTCTCAAAAGATAGGGCAAATGAGGTGAGAAAGTGTCAGGAAGCCAAAATGGTGGTGACCCTTTATGGCCATGTAGCAGGCTTAGCCAACTTTGGGGCAGAAGAGCCATTGGAAGAAGGTACATTAAAACTTACTGGGAAGACTGTAGGGTCTGGCTTGTTTAAACCAGGTCTGCCCCTGCACCTATTCTCTGAGCTTAGTGTATGTCCTGGAGATGAAGAGTGGATGCACAGGACCCACTAACCTCACCCTCACCGTTCTCTGATGCAGTCTTCATTCTTGCTTCTTTTAGTAGAACTGGGCTTTGAACTCAGAGCTTCACCCTTACAAAGCAGGCACTCTGCCACTTGAGCCACACCTGCAGTCCATTTGGCTCTGGTTATTTGGAGATGGGGTCTTGTGAACTGTTTGCCCAGGCTGGCCTCAAACCATAATCCTCCTGATCTCAACCTTCCAAGTAGCTGGGACTACAGGCGTGAGCCACCAGTGCCCGGCTCACTCATGCCTCATTTTTGTACTCTATTCCCCTTTCCACCCCAAGCACTAGAGCAGTGGCTAGAAAGTGTTATTTTTTTCGGTTTCAGTCATAAGCCCACTCTGTTTGCGCTCTGTGGGCTGTTTTTCCTGGACAAGAAGCTTTGTAGAAGACCTCTGTTCTCTGTCCCATTACCTTATGTAGGACTTAGCTTGTTATTTCTCGGTAAGCTTTGGGAGCCTCATCTCATACCAGCATCATACTTAGCTCTTTCTCCTTTTTGTGGTGTTGGGGATCAAACCCAGAGCCTCACACATGCTAGGCAGCACTGAGCTATACCCCAGTTCCCATTGGGTATCTTTTTCTTATGTCACAGTTAAATCCGCTTGGAGGAGGGGTAGAGTTTTTGCAGCCAGCTACAGTTTCTTGGTGTGCACATGTGCATGTGCAAGTGAAACTTCCTTGCTTGCTTTGTCTTTCCTCCTCTGTGGCTCTTTGTTCTCATGGAGATGCCCCTCCTTTCTGCATACTGTCCACAGGAATCATGGGAGTGAGATTGTGAAAGTGGAGTTTTTAATCCAACAGTTCAAGAAGATTGGGTGTTTCCTGACTGTCACCAAGGATGGAGTCCTGCAGTTCCGGTCTGAATCCTTCTCACTGACCAGCTCCTTTAAGGTGAGTGAGGCTGATACCCATGAGCCTCTGCTGTAGCACTCTGACAATGTGGTTCACCTGGACCCAAGTGGGCTCATCCTTGGGATTTGGGGTCTAAGCAGCCTGGACTTGCAGTCACAGGGTTTGGGTCCAGATCCTGGTTTCTCCATGAGAGCTTCACCCTCTCTTCTGCTAAGCAGGAGCCCATCTAGGTGTTGGCTCCACCTGATGTCCATCAGACACCTCCAGTCCAGTTTGTCCAAACAGCCTGTCACTGCAGGCCCCTGCCCACACGGCTTATTGCTCTCAAGTCCTCATCTCAGTGAGTGATGATTATCATCAAGCAAGGCTCCTGTGCTACAAGTCTGCCTCCCTTCCTTACCTATCTCACTTATTCTGTCCCCAAGTCCTGATGATTCAAACTCTTTGTCCAGCAAGGCAGGACATCATGCGGTTGTAAGCGTGGGCTCAAGAGCGTGACTGCCAGGGCTGAAGCTCAACTGTACCATCTACCATTCTGTGACCCTGGGCAAAGTGCTGTGTGCTCTCTAGCCTTAGATTTCTCATCTGTCAAGAGGGGCTTGTACACTACCAGTGTCCTTCCAAGGCTGTGGGAGGAGTTCATGTCAGGACACAGGTAGTGTGTGAGCAGGGCAAGAACACAACAAGGACCTGATAAATAGAATCCAACATCATCATGTTTTTCTGCTGTAAGAGTAAGAAGCAATAAAAGACTCTTAGGAAAACCTGCTGTGTACTTGATGCTGCCCAGCAAGTCCAGAATCTGGGCTCCACAGAAAGGCTCATGGAGAATGCTGCCAGCAGCACAAAGGGTTTCCTGCTTGTGTCCCTCTCCAGTCCCTACCCTGAGCAGTGTTTCAGACTTGCAGCAGGGCTTATCCCTTGGGGTGAAGGGACCCTGATGGCACTAAGGTTTGTAGAGGTCTTGGGACTCTCCCAATGGCTTTCATATCTGTGTTCCCAAGCTCATATGTGTATTGTATAGTGGGGGAGGTTTCATTGCAGCCTCAGTTCCTGATGGCAGCTGCTACATGGCACCTCCATCTCCTTCAGGGGAGGCTGAAGAGATAGAGGGAGACTCCCTTGGGAAGTCCCAGCAGGCCTGGAGGCTCTTCCTATAGGGGCTGCTTTGGCAGGTAGATTTTGGAAAGGGTGAGATTCTCAGTACCATCTGTGAACACCCACCTGTGTCTATTGTCACACGGATGGAAAGCTCCAGAGTTGGAGGTGGGCCTGGGCCTTAGTCACTAGCTATGTGACCTTGAGCAGGTCATTGAAACTTCTGGGGCTCCTGGTTTCCTAGCTCAACATTATGAATGGTAGAAGTTACCAGTTTGTGGGAGGATGGTAGGTTTACTCTAACCTTGGACTTAAGAGAGGCCTTCAGGGGTTTCTGGTCCATTGTCCTCACTGTCCAAGTCATCTTGGGGAGCCTGAGGGTACATGGTGTCCTCTGGGTTCTGATGGGACATCTGCTCCTTGCCCCGCTGAGGAAATGCTTTGGTGGTCCTGCATATCCAGCTGAAGGACTTGCCTTACCACACAGCCCCCTTTTCCAGATCATCCTCCCCTCTGCTTTCTGCAACTGAGAGCAAAATACAGATTCCTAAGTGAGGGTCTTACTTGGCTGGTCTCTGTCCCTCTTCAGCCCCACTCTGCTGGCTGGCCTCCTCTTGCTCCCTGGACACAGCAGCTCATTCTTGCTGACATGGCTTTGCATCCAGCTTCCCCACTTTGAGCGCCAAGTCCAGATTTCACCTGTGTGCATCGTACATGAGACTGACACCAGCTTCGAAGGGCATGGGCACCACATTGGATACCTCAGCTTCCGTTACCTCACTCAGTCCTGTCTGGTGGGACAAACCCTCCTTAAAAGCCCCTTTGACCAGATGACACCTGTGGATAGTGGACAAGATTCAGGCACATGGAGGGGAAGTGAGTCTCCCTTCTCTGCATATCATTCCTCTCCCTGGAGACACATACTATGACCAGTCTTGGGTAATTCTTCCATGGATAGTTTATATACCACCCCTCCACTTTTTTTTTTTTTTTTTTTTTGGTGAGTTTGAACCCAGGGCTTCATTCTTGCAAAGCAGGTATTCTACTGCGTAAGCCCCACTTCCAGTCCATTTTGCTCTGGTTATTTTGGAGATGAAGTCTCATGAACTATTTGCCTGGACTGGCCTTGAGCTGTGATCCTCCTGATCTCAGCCTCCCAAATAGGTAGGATTACAGGTGTGAGCCACTGGCACCCAGCCCTTGCTTTCTTTTTAACCATACAAATGGTACAACAGTGTGATACTGCTTCCCATCTTGCTTTTCTACTTAGTACATGTGGCAAGCCTTCTTTGTTGGTAATGCACACAGTTCCCTCCAATCTTAATGTCTGGAAGGTGGCAGTCTACTGCTGTCATGACACTCAACTACATCCATAGATGCATCTTGGAGACAGACCCCTGGATCAAAAGCTCTGTACATTTAAAAGTTTGTGTGATTTTGTGAAGCTACTCTTAAAAAGGGGTTGTGAAGATGTATTCTTTAAGCCTGTTTTACAGGTGAGGAAACTGAGGCTGAAGGAGTTTATCCAAGGCCCCCTCATTGATAGAGAGTAGTAGTGCTGGGCTGTGCTTGCTGTGGAGCCTCTTGTGGTAGGAGAGGGTTTGTGGGCCCGTATAGTTCTGTTGTACTCTGCTGGGTTGCTGGGTCAGCTGCCCAAGCCTAACCCTCTTCTGTTGTCCCTCTGTCAGCTTAATGAGCTCCAGCAGATCCACAATCAGCAGATGTGGGTCATCGACATGGTGTGCCTGCACAACATGAACCTCATTGCCGTTGCGTCCACTGAGCTGAAGATAGGTGAGTTCCCAAGGCTCCATGGGCCTTCGTTTGGCCATAGCCACACATTTGCATTTGGGAGAGGTCTGTTGGCTGAGCAACCATGAGCATGGATAGGAACCCTCTAGGAGTATTGCCATGATCAGAGGGTGTTTAGAGAGGGCTTCTTAGTGCTGCAGGCCACAAAGACTGATCACATATGTTGTTGACTGCCCAACCCACTTTGTAGGCAGGAGGTGCTCAGTGAATGCTCACAAATATTGAACAGGTCCAAATTTATAAGCTGGAGGCCATTATTAGTCTTTCTCCAGTCCTGATTCTACCTTCTGTCTTCTGCCTCTCCCAGTCCAGGCCATCTTAAGCTCTTTTTTTTTTTTAATTCATTTATTCACATGTGCGTACATTGTTTGGGTCATTTCTCCCCCCTGCTTCCCTCCCCCATCCTCTCCCCACCTTAATCTCTTTTTGAACAGCCTGGAAGCCTCCTCTTGATTGCTACATTTCCTCTCAAGGCCCACAGAACAGCCAGGATGAACTTTAAAAACATCTCCCTGGGGCTGGTGGCTTGGCTCAAGTGATAGAGAGCTTGCCTGTCATGCACGAGGACTTGGGTTCCATCCCCACTAGTGTGAGCGTGCGTGCGCGCCTACACACACTCTCTCTCTCTCTCTCTCTGTTTCTGTCTCTCTCTCTGTCTCTCTCTCTCTCTCTCTCTGTCTCTCTCTGTCTCTGTCTCTCTCTCTGTCTCTGTCTCTCTCTGTCTCTCTGTCTCTCTGTCTCTGTCTCTCTCTCGCTCTGTCTCTGTCTCTGTCTCTCGCTCTCTCTGTCTCTCTCTCTCTCTGTCTCTGTCTCTGTCTCTCTCTGTCTCTCTGTCTCTCTGTCTCTGTCTCTGTCTCTCGCTCTCTCTGTCTCTGTCTCTGTCTCTCTCTGTCTCTCTGTCTCTGTCTCTCTCTCGCTCTCTCTCTGTCTCTGCCTCTGTCGCTCGCTCTCTCTCTCTGTCTCTCCCCCTGAAGTTTTTAGTTCACCCCTGTTGCTCTTAGGAGGGAGGCAAGGTCCTTAGCTCTTCAAGGCCTTGAAGGTCTGACCCCTGCTGCCTGCAGTCTTCTCCCCATCTTCTGCTCTCCCTGTTGGCTGAGGCCCTTGTGGCCCTCTCTTACCTCCTCTTCCATGTGTCCTGCCATTCTTCCTGTGCCTCTTCCCACCCCTCACTTTCTACTTTTCCTTTGGGATTTGTCTCAGATGTCACTTCCTCAAGGGATCCCTCCACAACTACCTAGTCTAAGTCAGGTGCTTCTGGGATGATGGGTCTTTTTCTCCTCATCGTCCCCTTTTGAGTGTAATCACACTGTTGTTAGTGTGATTCTTTGTTTGGTGTCTGTCTTCTCCCCTAGACAGGAGGCTCATGGATCAGGGACTGCATCTGCTTCACTCAGCTCTATCTCAGCACCTGGTATTACCTAGATGCCCAATATTTATTTGAGTGGGTGAATAAGAGAATGAATGAAAGAGTGAATGGGCTTGGCAGAGCAGAATTGAACGGTGTCAGGGAGAGGAAATTCATGTGTGGAATTGTAGCCCATGGTGCAGAGCTAAACTGGAGGACAGAAAACAGCTGTTTTGGAATGAGCAGGGCCTGCATTCAGACCCTGGTTCTGTCACCCTATAGGTTAAGCAATTACTTTACCTTGCAGGACACCAGTTTACTCAGAAGTTAAATGGGTCCTTTAACACATGTCCCCAGATGAGTGTGGCTTAGTGGTTAGGTGTGTGAAGCTTCTGACGTGGTACCTGGCAGGTGCTTAGTCAGTACTAACCTCACTATGGGGACAAAAATTGTGTGATACAGACAGAGAAAGCAGCCAGTCATCAGCAAAGGCAGGTCCAAATTTATGGAGCAGGCTGGAGGTAATGTGTGGCCCGGGTGGGCTTCAGTTGCAGCCCATGTTTTCGGAGGATCAGGTGCTGACCTCGGTGTCCTCTCCTTTCATCCAGCCCTGAGAGGTTGGCATTAGAGAAGGTCATGTTATCAGTGCTCTCCTCAGTCAAGGCCAGAGGAGGGTTGGAAGTCCACCAGTATGAGCCTCCCTCTGTGGTCCCAGCCCAGCCAACACTCCTCTGCTGACCCACAGCTCTTCTCAGGGGCTGGCCCCCTTGAGAAGCTGGCTGAGGGGTGGCAGCCTGCCATTCCCATGCTGAAGGGAGCTTGGCAGTGAGGTTGTAGCTCATTACACAGAGACAGAGCTGAGGTTTTTAAGAAAGGTTTAGGTCTGAAGCAGCTGGGTAAAGGGCCCCATTGAAGGCTTTTGGACAGAGTGAAAATAATGTTTTCAGAAGGTTAATCTAGCAGGGCTGGTGCAGACAGTGAGGGAAGGGGTGAGCCCTCAAAAAGCCGTCTCTGTGAGCTGTTCCTCATAGTGTGGCTGTGTGTCATTGGTTCACCTAGTGTCTGCCCTGCCTGGGGTTTTCAGCAATGGAATGATGAGGTTGTGCCTGGGCCCTGGCCCTTCTGGGGAGGTGGGCGAGTGTTGGGGAGGGAGAGTTTTCTGTTTCCATCAATTCCCAGCATCTTAAGGGTCATATGGGGAAAAGCATGTTTGGATTAGTAGAATCCAGAGGAGACAGAATCTTCCAGCCACCCTCAGGGCCCAGGGCTCAGCATTGCTCCTTTCATTCATATGCCACAGTCAAAGTCATACAGCAATTACCTATACAGCCCTCGGTGCTCTGCTAGGCATTGAGGATACCACAGGCCACCAACAGACACACTCCCTGCCCTTATAGAACTTCTGCTCCCCAAGACCCTTGTTCCCAAATGAAACCAAAAACAAATTCAAGGTTGCAATAAGGAAAATCAACAAGGAGCTGAGTGGGAGAATGGTAGGGTTGACCTTTCTGAGGAGGGGGCATTAAAGCTGATCTTGAAGGAGTTCCAAGAATGTTGTAGGTAAAGGGAGGAGCAAGTGGGGAGGCCCAGAAGTGGGATGAGCTTGATGTGTCTGCAGAACTGAAAGGCCAGTGTGCCTGGGAGCTGGGGTAGAGCAGTAGGCTGGGTGATTCAGAGGCAGAGGTGGCCAGTACAGTGAATTTTAGATGGGTCTGTGGAGAGTCTGATCCTCCAAGCCTTGGCAATCTGTGGCCAGTCAGACAATAGGGATTTTATTCTAGCTGAGGTGGGAATTTAGAGTTTACAGCTGGGTCTTGCTTTGGCGGGTTTACTCTTTGGGCTGCCCAGGGTTGCCATGAGAAAGGGCTAAGCAGGGCCAAGAGGCAGCACTCTGTGAGGCTGCTCACCATCACTAGACACTCCCTGACCTGGGCTGTGGGTTCTAGTTCCACGTGTGCCTTCTTTTCTGTCTTTTCCCCAGAGTTCTTCGATATCAGTAACCATAATTGTGTCCGGGCCTTCACCTTTATTGACCTGGATAGCTGTGTCCTGGTCATGGACTACTGGTGAGTCTCATGGAGATGGGTGCAGGGTCTTAGCAACTGCCATATCACAGGGTTAGGGAACCCCAGAAAGCCTTTCTGGGGACAGGCCTGGAAAGATCTCCACCCTTCTGGTTCTGAGACCCTGTGTCCTCTTCTCTCAAGCTGCTTTTTTTCTAGGGTCACCTTTATGGTCCCTCTGACCATGGAGTCCTTTTTGTTTCTTTCCCCCCTTTCCTGGCCCAGTTGGTCATCAAACCTGGCAGAGGCTGATCCTCTAGGACTCTAGGAAACCAGTTAGTTGAGATGAAATACTGAATTACGGTTCAATAATGATGCGAATGTGGACCCCCGGTCCATGTTTGTCAGCTGGGTAGAGGTCCAGGGCATGACCTGGAAGCTTGTTGGCACTACTCTCACTCCCAACATGGAAGGAGCTGTCTGAGGGCTGGGGATCAGGAGGCTCCACAGCATCTTCTGTATCTGTCTTTCCTCAGGTCCGACTATCATAGAGGTGTGTTCTGCTATGGGGACACCAAGGGCAATGTCGTCATCTTCACCTCTGACAACGTGACCAATGGGGTGTTCAACCCCAGCCTCCTCCCCAGGACCTCCAAGTGGGGTAGTTAAGATGTTCGGGCATGAGCAGAGGCCTGGGGAGTGGGTAGAAGTGGGTGCTGAGTTGGCCTTGGCCCCTGGGTACTCGCTACTCTCCCCGCTCTGAACTCCTTGGGAAGACTGCTGCTCAGAACTCAGGGAGAGCTGCCTGCTGAGCTGAGTGGCCTGTGTGGGGCAGGGGCAACAGCAAAAGACCTGAAGGGCTGAGGTGAGGGGAAGTCTTCTGAGCTTGTGCAGATGAGACTTCTGAGACCCTCTCCACCCTAGGAAGAATGAAGCCTGCTGGCTATCCCTGGGGAAGCCCCTTCTGCCTCGAGGGCCAGGATTTTGCAACCTCCTCATATGGCTGTGAGGTGGCTTCTGTTCTCCTTGGTCTTGACCTGCCTGCAGGTGGGTAGGGTGGGGTGGAGGGGTCCTGAGGTGGGCTCTGGTGGGACCTGGAGAAGCACCCGGCTTGGCAGGAGTGTGAATAAATGCAGCTGACATTAGGGAGCAGCTCGGTGCCAAATGTTTTGATGCATCACCTCCCATCATCTCCACTCACTGCCAGGAGGGAACGACTTGTTACAGCCCATTAATCAGAGAGGTTTAGTAGGCCAAGCTACTTGCACACACCCTGTAGCTGGGAGTGATGGCTGAGGCCTGTCCACAGTTTACACTGTTAATGATTTGCTGGGTTGTGTCCCAGATTAACTAAGGAAGCCATTTGGATCTTGTCTGCCAACGGGCACTAGATCCCCAGGGGCCATGGAATCTGGGGACTCATCTGGACCCTGTCTATGATTGTGCCTTGGATGCACTGTGTTGGGCCTCTAGGCCGTTCTGTGTCTATCTAGAGGGACCCTGATGCCTGCCCTGCCCTGGTCTCTGTGTGCCACCCTTGGAATTAGACCATGGTCAGTGGTTGGGTGGGAAACTGAGGAAGGGGCAAATGAAGCTGGACATCAGGCAGGATTCCTTCTAGGCCACCTGCTAGCTGAAAGCTGGAAGAAATATGAAGACAGGGTCAGCATGAAGGTATGGAAGGGGATGGATAGACCTAGGTATGCACTCAGCTGTGTGCCTCAATCCCCTTATTCAAACAGGGACAGTGGTGTTTAATTGATGTTTTTTCTGTAAGATGAATGGAATGGAATGCACTGTGCTCAGTGGCTCTGTCTCCCTACATGCTCCAGGACTTCATGGCCTAGCGGGGAGAGAATGTGATCATGTTTCGGGTCCCTCTTATCCCCACCATAAACATGGCTGGTCTTGCTTTAGAAGCCTTGAGTAACTTCCAGTTCAGCTTGGGGCTTCCTTTGCAAGCGTCCTCCCTTGTGAGACGGAGCTGGTGACTTTGCAGTAGTAAAATGTTTGGCATAAGCCCCCCTATCCCCCCTTTCCTAGGACAGGAAACACTTCATGTTCCCTGGGCATTGCTGTCAGACCTGAGGCCAGACTGACCTGCATTTCTTACCTACCTTCCATGAACTGCTCCTGAGGGTGGGCTCAGGTTTGTCCCCTGGCATGGGTAGCTCCACCCATCTGTGTCAGCTTGCTGTTCTAGGAGATTCATTAGCTGCTGCCCTCAGGTGGAGGAGGAGTGGTCAGGAGACTCAGGGCTATGGTGTGTGTAGTGCCTGGTGCATCAGTAGCGTTGGTTCAGGATGCATGTGTACATCCTGTGCTTCTCAGAGTGTGTACTTTCTGACTGAGGAGTCATGTATCCTGAGGCATGATGGCAAATTCCCGAAAGATTAGTTTTCCAAGTGAATAGAGCCTGGACTCTCATTCATTCTCCTCTGCAGCCAAGCTGGTATTTGTTATGAAGAGTCAGCCTGTTCAGATTGTAGCAATGGGATCATGCAGGTCCTGAAACCTGGTTACTGTTGCCCTATGAGCTATGGAGGCATGCTGGGCGGTAGTGCTAGCACCCTAGGTGATGGGCAGGCTTGAGCGAGTGTTTGACTGGGAAGCTTTTGAGAAGCATGGAAGTTACAGACTGACACAAGATGCCATGTAAGGTTTGCCTGTCCAGCAAAGGGGAAAAGCTGGTGATGGGGACCTTGTTTATTTTTCCCTATCAGAACACTGGTCCAATATTTCCCTCAAGAAACTCCTAAAAGAGAAGTCCACTTTGTATAGAAGTTACCAACTGAAGGTAAGTTACATCTTTCCTTTGCCTGATACCATGGTAATTATCCATATACATGCCACCAAAAATAAATGTGAGCTGGGTGCTGGAGGCTCATGCCTATAACCTAGCAACTTTGGAGGCTGAGATAGGGGGGATTGCAATTCAAGTGTTATAGTGTCTGCTTTGCAGGTGTGAAGCCCTGAGTTCAAACTCCAGTCCCACCAAAAGTAAATAAATGAATAAGTGAAATGTGACTTTACCCCTTGGTTCAATCTTAGTCCTTGGGGTTTGGTCTGTAAAAGCAGGATTGAGGCAGCTGTCTGTCGGATCCCATTAGTGCATCTGCACAAAATCTGTGTCCCAGGTGTGGTCTTCATCTCTCATTGCAATGCCAGGCCTGTAAACATCACTTTTGTTGTCGATTGCTGTAGGGTTTCTAGCTGGCCTCCCACTCCCTTTCTCCATGCAGTGCTTTCTTCATTCAGCAATCATTCCTTAGAAATGTCTTGTAGGCTGGGCACAGTGGCTCATGCCTATAATCCTAGCTACTTGGGAGGCAAGATTTAGAGACTCAGAATTTTGAAGCCAGCCTGGGCTCAACCAATAAATCTGAGCATGGTGGTACACATCTGTCATTCCAGGTACACAGAAAGCGTAAATAGAAGGATCTCAGTCCAGGCCAACTTGAGCATAAAAGCAAGACCCTACTCGAAAAATAAAGCATAAATGGCTGGGGTTGTGGCTCAAGTGCTTGAGTGCCTGCCTGTCAGGCGCAAGACCCTGAGTTCAAGCCTTAGAACTGCCAAAAAAAAAAAAAAACAAAAAACAAAAACGAAAAGAAAACAAAAGAAACAAAACAAGTCATGTCACCCTAGTAGCTCTCATCATCTTGAAGCAAAATCTCAAGTCCTTACCATGGCCATCAGAACACAAGGCGATCGGGCCCTTGGCTTGCTCCAAGCCTTGTTTTCTAACCTTCTCGTTTGCTCTTCTGGTGGACACAGGCTCAAGTTGCTTTCCCTGAATGCTCTAACCTCTTTCCTCTTTCCTACTGCAAGGCCTTCTGCTCTTATCCTCACATGATACTTTGTATCATCTATCCATTATTGTTGTACTGTCATCTTCATGACAGTGACAGCTCCTTGAGGACAGGGATTTTGTGTGTTGTGCTCTCTGTTCTGTCTCCAGTGCCTGAAACAGTGCTCAGGCTTAGAGGGCTTCCAGTACAATTTATGGAATAAAGGAGTGAATGAATACGTCAGGGCATCTTCCTCCCCTTTTCTTCATCTTCTGTGGGAATCTCACTTTGGTTGTGGTTTTCCCTCTGAATTGCTAAGTGTCCCAGGTCTCATTCAGTGCCTTGGGTTTGGTGCTGTCATTGTGACAGATTCAGAGAGATGGTGACATAAAGCCTAGCTGAGTTCCTTGCATTTCATAAGTATTTGAGAATTTGGTCTCTCCAACCCATCTCTTCCATTTTTGTCACTCTCCTCCATTCTTGTCCTAGAGAGGAAATTCTCCAGATTAAGAAGGCCAAGCATTGGTTCTGGCCACAGAGCCAGAGCTAGGGAAATCAGAGCACAGTAGCCCACCCACCTCCTCTACTTTCAGTTCTGTCATCCTTCTGATGCCATAGTTGCAGTAGAGAGTGCCCTTGCTGGAGAGCAAGACACCATGTTCTGACAAACACACAAGGTGGTGGGCTCTTTGTAGAGGGGCTCCCTATGGAAGACAGACTGGGACCCTGGCAGTCTTGAATCCATCCTTTCTTCCCCTTTGAGAGAATGGTATTAGCATGGGCCTGACTTCACTTGACTTCTCACTTAGGAAACAAGAATGCAAATTATACTAGATTTGGTGCTTTTAAGCATTTTTTGAGACAAGGGATGGCCACTCTTCCCTACTCACTGAACCTGGGGTAGGGCTCTTTGCTACATCTCTAGGGAATGGAAGGGCCTTAGACTCCATGATCTCTGGGCCCTTCCAGTCCCTAAAGCTGGCCACATTCCAGGGACCAGGGCTGGAATGGGATTGACCTTTGGAGGATCTCCCATTATGGCTGCTCTCTTCCCCAGGCTCTCCATCACAACTGGTGTCAACAGGTCAAGTTCATTCCTGGGCTGAACCTGGTGGCCTCCTGTGCAGCTATTGCAAAAACCTCTCTGGTGCTGACAATATTACCAGCTAAAGACCCCGAGAAACTTAAGTAAGGAGCATCTTCTGTAGGGAGGGGGAAGCTAGTGTATTTCTGGTGGGTCTGATTTTCACTTCAGTCACATGTGGACATCCCTGCCTAGCTTGGAGCCACCTTCGTGTCAGTGGCATCGCCAGTGGGCAGGGCAGTGTCCTGAGGAGCATGGGAAGCAGTGCCTGTCCTGCAGGCTGACTGGTGTGGGGGCTAAAGATGGGCTCCGGACTCTGGTTTTAATCGTCATTCCAGCATTGCCTCCAGTGGCAAGAGGATAATAGGCTTCTCTTACCAATTAATACGCAACAGCAAAGAAGCCAGCACGTGGTAAGTGGGCAGTCAAAAAATTTTTTCTGAATGAAGGAATGAATGTGAGTTGCTTCACTTCTGTGAGCCTCAGTTTCCTTTTCTGTAAAAGGAGTGGCGATAGCTTGCCTCATTTGCCTCGGGGATTCCTTGAGGAATAATGTTCTGTGTGGTGTGTGTTCAGCACCTTGTAGCATTTATTCTTCGGAGATGGTGCCACTCTGTTTTCTTCATTTTATTTATTATTTTATTGTTTTATTATTCATATGTGCATACAAGGCTTGGGTATAGGACAGCTATAGGACAGCTAGCATTCCATAACTAGCATTCTGACTTACTCCACTGTCAAGAGGCTGCCTGTCCAGAGCTGACCTAAGGCAGTCAGCCCTCAGCTTAGAGAAGTTAATGATTCAACAGCCATTTGAGGGAGCTTGGGTCAGATCTTATGCCAACCAATCTGTAGGGCTGCTTTGTATCTACATCCCATGGCCCCCAATACCACCATTAAAGCTACCACATTCCCAGGCACATGGGGAGGCCTAGATCTTGCCTCATATGTCACTCCTACTGGCCTTCAAGGCAAGCCCTAGCCACTTACCTGCTTCAATATCTTGCTATAAAGGACAGCACACAGGGCTGTGTTGTGCGTTGTGAACTTCCCTGCTTTTATAGGCCCCTCAGACTCCAAGTATCCACTTAGGATCCCAATCTGCATGGACAACAAGGGCAGACAGAGTCACAAGGGCTCTGCCCTCAGTGACTAAGTCTCCCTTCTGTGAGCGACCCATAAAGAAAACTCCAAGTTGCAACATCAAGACATTCCAACTGTACCCACCAGGCTCCTCAGCTCCCCGGGGATTGCTGCTGCTCTCATGTTACTCTACAGTCCCCACACCAGGGTTGGGCCCCTTTCACCTTTTATCTGCTGACGAGCCAAGCTTCACATGGATGTTCCCTCCATGGGGCTGCCCCAGCATAGATTAAGGATTTCCCTATGCTTCAAGCCCCTAACATTTGATGCTTTCATAATATGTGGCTTTTTTTTTTTTTTGGTGGTACTAGGGATTAAACTACCACTTACTAGGAAGGTGATCTACCATCTGAATTATGTCCCCTGCCCTTATGTTTATGTCTTGTTTTTGAGACAGAGTTTCAATAACTTTGCTCAAACTGGTGATCCTCCTACCTCCACCTCCCGAGTAGCTGGGATTACATCTGGCTTATACATAGCACTGCAATTAACAGTGACTTAGTAATACATTCTCAGCTCCCAACAAAGAGAAGGAGGTTTCATAACATTGGATGACCTGAAATGAACTTCTAGGGTCTGTTTCATTTGACAAATCAGTCTGGCACTCAGCAACGAGATGGAGGCATCCACCACTCTCCTTCTTAATAAATGTGCTGTCTGGAGGAGAGCCAGCCAAGTGCACAGAAGGATGTTTGTGTTCCATCAGGGTAACCTGGCTGATAGAGGGTATGAGGTTTTGGTGGAGCTTACCAACAAATGATACCTCTTCTCTTTTCTAGACAGAACCTCCTGCCAATGGGCTGCCAACTGTCCCTGCAGCCCCTAGGCTCCCTAGGCTATGGGCCCACTATCACTTTGGCCAGTCTGCCTCTGGGGCTCGCCACAGACTCTGCTGTCCTCCAGCGTCAGGAAAGACCTCCTGGGTACCAATAAGATCAAAACTCACAGGCAGTCTTCCTGACAGTTTTCTCCAGGGCCTGTCCTTCAGAGAGCTGCTTGGGCATGGCCTCACCTTCCTGGAGTTCAAGATTTAGCAAGAAAGTCAGTCATGTAACTGTGACAGGGCCAAAGGAGCATGGAGGAAGGGCTCCTGACCCCACCTAGGACAGGGTGGTTTCCAGAAGGTGAGCCTGAGGGATGCATAGGTGGGAATACAGCAGAGGCAGCAACAACCAAGATGCAGCTGGGCTAGGGCCTAGAACCTGCCTCTCAGGGAGGCCCAAGAATGGGAGCCTCACAGCCAGTCCAGGCCAGGCCAGAAGCTTCAGAAAGTTCAGAAGGGACAGGATGGGTCAGTCCCTGACCACTGTGCTCTTCCCTCCTAGGACAGCACTCACAGAGAAGGTGCTGCAGATAAGGGTGTTGTCCCTATGGAAGTAGGCACTGGTGATGGGGCAATTCCCCAGAGCAAACAACTTTCCACAGAAGGACTGGAGGCACACATAGTCTTGCAGGTCCCACACACGGATGTTCTGAAAGTGGGAATAGGCAAGAGGCAGAAGGCAGGTCATCATGGATGCAGATGGAACCTGAGATCCTGTGGCTGTCCCTGTAAACAAGCCAGGCTAGGACAGTCAGAGAATAGCTACCAGTCAGTTTCCAAAATGGCCTGTCCCCAGACTAACCCCCTTTGCATTCAGCCTGGAACATGAACTGGAAAGGCTATACCCTGGCTCTGCCTGTTGCTAACCATAAAGACTTCAGCAAGCCTATTCATGTCCCCCACATTCACCAGCCTCAGGTCCTCCATCAGACGTGAGAACACCAGTTCATGGGCCATTGAAAGAATTCCAAACAGCAGCATGCATGAGAATGTGCTGGGGAGGGTGGATCAGGGTCCCTGAGGACCCCAACAGTTCTCAATCTACTGAGTCCCAGAAAGTACAGACTTCTGCACTGAAGGAGAGAATATCTGGCACTGCTGGCCTATAGCTCCACACAGCCCAACACCCTGCACAACCAGCACATGGGCAGCATCCTGAACCCACAGCTGCACAGAAGCAGAGTGACGGGCTGAGGCATTAAGAAAGGTCCAGTCAGGCCCCAATAGCCAGGGCAGCTGAAGAGGGGTACAGATTCAAGTGGGGCAGGGGAAGACAAGGGTTCACACACATCACCCACTACTTCGTGCCAGACACTGCACAGTTCTTTTACTGCCTTGTGTTCAACAACCCAGTCTAGGGGTTCCTCCCTCAGAAGGCCACCTTGGCCACCTGCATGGTAAATCTATTTGGGTCACCACCCTATGGGCCTGTGGCCAGGTATGAGACTTCTATAGGCTTCAGACCCAATGATGCCCCCTCTGCTGGCTAAGCTAAATTATTGCCCTCCATCAGAGTCTTCTGAGAAACAGAACTGGGGAGATGGAGGGAAGGGGTGTGCTCCATGAGGGCACCTTGTCCCTGGAGATGCTGATGAAGATGCTGCTATTCTTGCTCTTCACAAGGATGTGAGTCACTGAAGTCCGATGTCCCTTCATCAGCCATACAGGCCTTTTCGAGACTAAGGGGTTCCACAGGCAGATATTGGGGTCATAACCACCAGTCACTAAGGCCAAGAAAAGGATATCAGTCACCTGGGGCCTATACCTGGGGCCAGGTCTCAGACCCCACCCAGTCTTGCCAGATGTGGAAGGGTCACTGGGGTCCATCGCTGCCCATCCTGCTCCCTCTTCTCTACTCCCATCCCATACAAAACCTGCATATCATCTCTCTCTCTCTCTCTCTCTCTCTCTCTCTCTCTCTCTCTCTCTCACACACACACACACACACACACACACACAGATACACACACATGCTCATGAGTGGGGTGTGAGTAGCCAAAGAGGAAGCCAAATGCTGGGGGCCTTCTCCTTGGTTCTGATCGTCCCTAGGCCCCCAGAAGCCCTCACCTCAGCTGTTGGACCAGCAGCTCCTGGGGGACATGTTTACTTACCCAGGAAGTTCCTGTCTGGACAGTAATCAAAGCAAAGAATTCCTTTTCTTAAACTCAGCACTGACAACCTACAATATCAAAAAGGAAAGAGCAGTGACCTTGGGGGAGGGGGGCTCTGTGTTCAACTTGCGGTGGGGGCAGCTGGAGGTAAGGCTTCCGTGAAGGCCCAAGAAAAAGTAACCACCTATCTACCAAGGGAGCAGAACAACCCTGGAACTGCCCAGGGCTCATCCTGCAGCCAAGGCTTGCAGGCAAAGCAACAGTTGCCAAAACCAAGAGCTCATGGAAGAGGCAGTCACCTTTCAGGAGAAAACAGCCCCAAAAGAGAAGTCTCCTTCCATTGGTAAAACATTTTGCCTTACTCTAAGGGCAAACTTAAGGTGACTTTCACATCAACCTTCACATCCTCCAGCCATGACACAAATCAAAAATAGGTGGGGCTCCCAGTGGGTGCTGGACTCTCACTCAGTGCTGGTCTCTGTGCTGGGTGCCATCTCATGGATCACCTGGACCCCTCACACAACCCTGAAAATGTCATTGGTCCTGAGCCAGGGATGAGAACATAAAAAGGCATTTTCCCAAAGTCACATAGTAAGCAGATTGGTAGGGGGGTCAGGATTCAGCCCCAGGGTAGGTGTGTCAGGAAGTAGCCAAGGCTCACTCAGGCAAGGAAGAGGCTGAGCAATGCTGGGCAGACTCAAAAGGCCAGAGTGACTCAGACAGGATTACAGAACACAGGCCACTCTGTGCCTCTACCATGCTGCTTCCTCTTGTCCACAATACCCTGCCCTGACAAAATCTTCTACTTAATGCTCCCCTCGGAACTCAATTTAAAGGCTCCTGCCAAAGGGTGCTCCAAACCGCTAATGCAGCATGCCCTTCACTGAACAGGCCCACCTGGGGATCATCCAGGAGAGAGCAGGCTGAATTTTCCTTGCCCACTTTCCACCACCCCATAGGCTCTGTCTAACTCAGCCCCCCGGCCCCTTCACTTCTGAATCAGCTTCCCTGGCTGGTTTCTTAACCTTCAGTCTTTCTCCTCCTCAAATCTTCAAGAACAACATGTCAAACCACACCTTCCTCTATGATTCTTTTGTGCAGAGAAATATTCTGGAAAAATGGTCAGCAAAGGGTTAGTAGAAATTATTTTAGGCTCATTCTCTCACTCATCTAACAAGGATTTGATAGCTCCAACTCCCTGCCAGGATTCCAGAAGCAATGGAGGTTTCCTTCTGGAAAGCAACATGTGAGCAAGGACATGGTCTAGAGACAGGGAGAAGTAAGTGACAAATATTGGAAGGACTACAAGGGAAGCAAACGGGTGGCTCTGATAGAGAAACCCTGGACAGCCTGTCTGAGGAAGTTCAGGGAGCTGAGACCTTAAGATGAAGCCGAAGGCCACTCTTAGCCAAGAAGGGGTGAAACTCAGGAGGGGGCAGCAAGTGCAAGGCCATGAGGGTGATACAGGAGGCCAGGAGGAGGGCAAAGGTCAGGGGAGAGGCAGGCAGGTCCCGGACCCTTGAAGGCTCCAATGCAGGGCCACAGCTGGGGACTGAAGAAGTGGCTCAAGCAGTAGAGCACATGCCTAGCAAACATGAGGCCCTGAGTTCAAACCCCAGTGATAGAAAAAAAGAAAAAAATCTGTAGCTGGCTATTGTGCAGGGACAGTAACCAGAGGCTGCTAAGAAGGCCACAACACACAGCTCAGGTGGGAGATGACAGTGGCTTCCACTAGGTGGTTGTGAGAGAAGGAAGAGAAGAGGAGAAAGAAGGGGAGCTATTGTGAGTCAGTCCACACTCAACACCAGCTCCTATCACTCCTATCACCCCTATCCCAGCTTCTACACCAAGCTTCACTCCTGGATCCAAACACTTGAAGATCTCAGGTAAGATCAGCTATAGGAAAGGCAGGCCTTCAGGCCCAAACTGCCTGGGAGGCTGAGGCCAACTCCAAAGGAAGCTGAGTTCCCAACACCAGGCTAATAAGCCCAGGCTAACCAGCCCACCTGTGCAAGGTGGACTAACCTTCCAGAGATCACATCCCAAGACACAGCTACAAGAATGGGAAAACAGCAACGTCAATAGTAGCACCTGCTGGCCAGGGCAGGGCATTATCGTGTGTGTGTCTGTCTGTCTGTCTGTGAATTTTATAACCTACCCTCAAATTATATGTCCCCAGTTCTTCTATCTCCAACTCATAGCCAACACTCGACCACCATCATGTGCAGCCTGAATTATTGCTGTGGTCTCCTCCTTGGTGTCCCCACCACCACACCTACCTATGAACTTGCAAGACGTAAGTCAGACCCCACCATCCCTCTGCTCAAAACCTTCTCAGTACTTTGC